CGAGACCGAACCCGGAAGATCAGTGGGGAGAGAAGAAAAAAAAACCTACGACTGCGTGGCAATAGGAGTAACCGAGATCTGTCAATCGGGTCGTATACCCAAAATAAAGTCCTTCCTAATCAGATCCAATCAGACGGGATTTGTTCCCTTTCGTATCTCTGGTATTTAGGCCAATTCGGGATGCTGACCATGCAGCTAAGGATTTCGATAAATTAATATAACAAATATTCATAAGCTAGCGCTAAGGTATGTAGATTGCGAGAACTATGTATGTTGTACTCGAAATCTTGAGAGTGCCAAGTTAATATAGACCCTAGAGAGACAAGAAATTGGACACGTCTGGTAAATTGTTTTTTTTTCTCAAAAAAAAACATGTTCGTACAGATACTGGGGGACACCTGGGCACATGCAGCAAGGGTAAGCCGACAATATACTTGCACACTGCATGGCGTCAGATCCATCACATATTTATATATGGATATATATTGACTTTTGTGACATGCAGAACCTCTTCAGGAGTACTCCATACTCCATAATAGCAATATATGCGTCTTCGAGGCCACGAGAGACCCTGACTCTAGCCAGATTAAGAAAGTTGAAACTATCCGAGATGTGATGTCAAGAGATGGGAAGACCCGGAGTAGAGAATCAAGTGGGGGGGGTACAAAGAAATTAAGACTTTTTACATTCACATTCACAAGAACAATAGTAAGAACAGGTCCAATCTACATTTCTTTGAGCTTCAAATCTACAAAATCATTCCATGCCGCTCATCGGGAAACCTCGCAAAGTTCGATTTCCGAACGCACAAAAACCCAACCCAACTTCAACAGCGCCCGCCAAAACGACAGCCATGTCTACTGACTCTAACCAACCGCGCCCGGGGATCCCGGCCTTGTTTACGCAGCCGCCGCCCATCCGTGACCCGCTCATCACCGAGACCATTGATCTACAGAACGCGACGCTGGAAAAATGTCTGCCATTCTTGAAAGGCATTCACAGCACTCAGAAGGACATCAACAAACATGGTGTGCCTGCCCTGCAACGTGATATCCACACCAGCTTCCTATATGATGCTCTCGAGGATTATCCCGAGGGGTTCGTCGCTATGGACGCCAGCCGCCCGTGGATTGTGTATTGGGCGTTGGCGGGACTCGCCATGCTGGGAGAAGATACAACTCGGTTTCGTGAACGGTACGTGCATGTTCTACATCCTTGCTTTTATTTTATTATTTTGATACTATTCCCCCTTCCCCGCCTCGTTCTACAATTTGCTTTTTGCTTTTTGCTTTTTTCTTTTTATCTGTCATATGTCCACACAATGGCGAGCCTCTGGAGATATACCCTGATTGGAAACGATCATCTCATCCGTACAACGTGAAACATGAACCAAACAAAAAACGCCTTCCTAAACTTTTCTCTATTTTAGTGTGATTACTACGCTTCGGCCGATGCAAAACCCCACAGGGGGATTTGGCGGCGGCCACGGCCAGACATCCCATCTCGCGGGCAGTTATGCAGCCGTCCTATCGCTGGGTATGGTTGGAGGCGAGGAAGCCTTTGGATTGGTGGATCGAAACGCGATGTGAGTTGTCACCAGCAGCCTGCTGCTGCATGTGCGTCTTGTGTGATCCTGTGCGTCTGACCCTTTTCTGGCTTCCCCAGGTGGCAATGGATCGGCAGATTGAAGCAGCCAGATGGAGGATTTCGGGTTTGTGAGGGCGGGGAGGAAGATGTGCGGTAAGTAGAAGTATACAGGGCTAGAGCAGGCGCTTGCTCGTAATCCCGTTTCCCTTCCCCGATGCAAGATCTGACCTGTCATTAATGCAGTGGCGCATATTGCGCTATGACTTTGATCTCGCTACTTGATCTGCCGCTGACGCTCGCTCCGGGCTCTCAAGCGCGGGAAGCCGGATTGGAGAGTTTGACGAGTGGTCTTCCTGAATATCTCTCACGATGTAGGAGTTTGATGTTTTGGGCTATAGCAGATTTTGAGATGTGCTGACGCTTGCGCTTAGGCCAAACATATGAAGGTGGTATCTCCGGTAGCCCTGGGTCGGAGGCCCATGGAGCATATGCTTTTTGCGCTCTGGCATGTCTATCTATCTTGGGACCCCCCGAGGAGATCTTCAACAGGTCCGCGACCATTCTAGACTAGAATATCCTCTCTGTTTTCATATGCTAATGTTTCCCGACAGACATATGGACATTCCCATGTTAGTGTCATGGTTGTCCGCACGTCAGTCCGCCCCAGAAGGAGGTCTTTCCGGACGAACAAATAAGCTGGTAGATGGATGTTACAGTCACTGGGTTGGTGGATGCTGGCCATTGCTTGAGTCTTCTCTACAGGGAAAGCCAGATAAAACCGAGCCACCAGCCAACAGTCTGTTCAGCCGCGAAGGTTTAACCCGATACATCCTTGGATGTTGTCAAGGAATCGATGGCGGTCTCCGTGACAAACCGGGAAAGTATGTTTCCTATCTGTGACAGGTTCTTTTGCACATATAGCTGACCAAGACCAAGGCATGTCGATTCATACCACACCTGTTACGTTATGGCAGGATTGAGTGCGACTCAAAACCATCATTACCGAACGGACTCGAGTGTCTCAAGCGGCAACTTTTCATCCTCATTTTCCTGGAAGGCTTCACCGAGCCGCGATCCGGGCAATGTGTTCTCCAGAGGTGATCGACTAGAGTCAATGCACCCATTGTATGTGATCCCGCACAAAGCCGTGGAGCAAATGCGGCTCTGGTCCGAGGCCCAGCCCCTCACTGTCTAAACGGGAGGGGCGTGAGTCGACGCCATATCAACAAGAAGACACGGGACAAAGCGCCACGATGGATTGAGGTTGGCTTCAAAAAGTTGAAGCAGGTGTCATTGGTAACCAGACATTCCGAGCGAGTGCATATGCATGACTAGCCTTGGATGCCTGAGACCGCAAGCCCCCACGGTCATAGCAGCGGTCATAACATGGAAGCCACGAGGGTGATTTTGACCAAGCCAAGGAAGATGCTGTGAACGAGACTCAGACGCAAGGGGTTGGGTTGGGAATGTTGGGGGTCCGAGTATGACTTTACAGAATAGGTCATAGCACATAGCACCAATTCCTTCTATTTTTTTTTTTCTTTTGTGCTGGTAGTGATATCACCGATTCTCCGCAGCTCTCACCAAAAAAAAGCGATCCCCTTCAGCGCTAAGGTTGAAGATTTTGCTTTCCCCGTCATTCTCGCCGATCAATACAACATATGAAACTGTTATGATGTACATCATAATGAGTTTGCCACAAAATAACACAAGCTGCACGAGGCCCAAGAGGGCAAAAGTAATCGTCAATACCAGAATATGCAGATAAATCCAACGCTTTTCCCCACTGCAATGCCAGCTCATCACTGCGTCCGATGCCTGCCGAGTAATTGAAGTTCTTCGACGCCTGCATTTTTCCATTCTCCGATATTCCAATTCATCCTATTACCCACTTGATGTCTTTCATGATTCCATTGACCCATTGACTCATAATCCACAAGCAATTGACCCCTCTTCAGACGCGTTCTGCACAACATGAACGGCCCCTCCTTGGCGCCAATCACCATTCACAGACCTGCGCGTCTCGATATCTAGCAGGGCGGCAAATTTAATTACACTTGAATGCGTCTGTGGGGCCAAAAATGCAATGAAAAGGCCACTCCGAGAGTCAACAAAAAAAAAATTCAACCCGTGTACAAAGTGTATACAGCATAGCACCGCCATAGCACTGATTTCATTCCAACCACTCCGTAATACTGGGATCCATAATCTTCAGATGTTATCATTCTGCAGATTACAAGGTGTCTCTTAGTCTCCGAGAATGTTCATGTTTTGATCGGCGAATTGCAGCATAATCCGACAGCTTACCCACGGTGACTCCCGGTCTTACTGGCAAAGAGAAATGCCAGCGCATCAGTAAAACCCGCCGAGAAAACGGCACACGAAATACGTCGAACCCCCGTTTGAGTTACTGTTACCCTTTGGTTCTGGGCTATTTCCGAGGTCCAATGCGAGTCTGGCGTTTGCGGGCATCTATCTTCTTCTCTTCTCTTCCTTTGTACTTTGTTTACCTGGAGGAGGTAGTCTATACTCGGATTCCAGATCCATGTCCTAGGGTCTCTTTCGAGATTGGATTGTCTACTAGCTGCTTGATATTACTGTTACTGCTTACTGTATACTCGTCTTTTCTTTTTCTTTTTCTTCAATCTTTCAACGGTGGGTATTAAAATCTTAGTAGTTTTGACTTTTTGGTTCAATCCCTTTTTTCTAGTTCAGGTTCTCTGCATTGAAACTAAGTATCTCTTTTTTTTTTCTGTTTCTTTGTGCGCTGTCGCGATTGCAACCGTTTCCCTCTGTTGGTACTGTGTACACCGGCCACCTCACGGTATGACTTGGGAAGGGTATCAATGCAAAAAGCCCCACCTATTTTCCAGAAATAATCAAGTATATGACAAGCAGCAGCTTTGTTCCCCTCATTAATTTGTTTTTCTTTTTTCCCCCTGTTGTACGGGAGAAAAGGGGGGGAGACTCGGTTCTACTATATCTGTATATGGGTGTGGCATCTTTCCAATATTTCTTTCGTTTTGATTTAGTTCTCAATCCCTCTCTATTGTACTGCTCTCACCATCGTGCTTCATATGCCCTCTCTTTGAATTAGACCTTGGCTTTTGCCAGCATTATAATCGTGCTTTTGTTTAGAACGCCAGCACATCCCCACCTAGCTGCTAGCAAAGCAAACGCGGTCCGCCGGCCGTTGGGCATCACAATCCGCATATCTTCTGACTGCACACCAGCTAGCAGCACAGCCTCCGCCCTAAGCCTGCCTCCCTGCAAGCTAGATCTGTCCAATGCGTGTCGAGTAATCATCACAATTCGTTGCAATCAGACGTGTGGCAACGCTTTCGTCCGTCACCCGTACCCAGTTTCCCCATCTTCTAGCTTCCAGCTTGCTTGCGTCCAGTCCGGATCGAAAGATGTTCTATATCCTCTACCTGACCAGTATGTCATTACCCTCCCCACCTCCTCCCCGAGCTATGTATGTCATGCATTGTTGCCAACTCGAGCCACTTCCCCAAATATCCAATCCCGAAAAGCAAACATCACAGCCCTAATCCCGATCCTCATCCCAGCCACACAATTCCACCAATCCAAAAGCTTGACTGACCAAATCCAAATCTAGGCCTTTGCCGGCGCCGCAATTGGCCCGAACCAATCTATAACGCCTACACAAGTAGCAGCGGGTACACCTGCACGGTGCGCGTCAACAATCGCGAGTACCAAACAGACAGTATCTGCAGCAACGAGACGCTTGCACGTGAGAGCGCTGCCATGCGTGCCTACCTCATCTGCCGCAATTTCTCCGTCAACGACGGCATGTACCCGGCAGGGCATGAGCATGGCGGCGCTGTGCAGGGTATGCGCGCTGCAATTGGCTCGGGACGAAAGATCACTCGTGAGGATAATATGGTTTCATTTGGGACTGGAAGTAGGACTGCAAGTGAGAGTGATGGTTCTCAGGGCGAAATTTGGAGTGGGGGCAGTAGTCCCATTAGGGTTGCAATTGAGGGGGATGGACGAGGTGGATTTGGAGGGAGGGTGTGAGACTTGATTTGACTGGAGGAAGTTACGATTTTATGATATTATGGATCTTTATGACTACGCCTTTTTGGCATGATTGTGGACTTTTTAGAGGGAAAAGCCGAGGGATTTTGAGACTGATTTGCGATTCTTGCTGCTTATTTTATGATATGGTTGGACTAATGATGCTTTTCTCTAGATGGTGGATTCGCTTTTGATTTGTTTCTGAGTGGAGGTTAGCGATGAATTCATGACATGTGGTTGTTTGGTTTTGATAGTGTTGAATTTTTAGCATATAGGACTCGCCAACTTGTGGACAATTAGCGCAAACTAATATACTTCCACGAATTAACTGTCAGTAGAGCTCATCAAGTTCGTTCTGAGAATCTACTGTGTATACCTTCATGCATCTAAATGCATACCTCTACTTGCTCTAGTAATATCACCTCACAATCTCTAGGTAACCTTCAAAAGTGGCAGCTTAGATAGGAAAAGATCCGGCAGAGAAATCCTGATCTTTAGATCCTCTTACATGATACATTTAGATTTTAGAAAATGAAGGAGAAGGGAGCGCAAGTCCAAATGTGGATTTTGTATAGATGTCAAAAATATATGTCAGCACGATTCTGTGAGATGAAGTAGGAACAATCTCTCCCCTATACCATTTGCATTACATTCTATGCCCTCGATTGATCCCATTCTTGAACTCGTCACTCTATTCAATGCGCCTAAACAGTAGATAGTATGTTGTCAACTGTGTCTATACCACTTCACTTCCGTCCAAATGTTGGCTTTTACGGAAAATCTACCACCTATAAAGTTGTAGTCTTGTGATCAGATAGACCCCCCTCTTGCCTTCTCTCTGCCCCCATTTTCCTCTTCGCCCCCTTGACAGTGGATGCACTGCATTCTTTCTCTCTATAGAGATCCATCATTACATAACACTCTCTAGAAATTCCCATTCCTCTGGTTTCCACCCCTGGTCAGGGGAGGCTGTATATCGCCTGAACCGGAGAAGATCGTATAGACGTAAACAAAGCTCCTCATCGTCTGGAACGTGAGCTCGTACAGCCGCTGGGAGCTCATCAAGCCGAGAGTCGAAACATAGTAGGAGATCTGGCTTGTGAAGTCTACAAGACTTGTAGCAAGAATAGCTTGGATTGAGGTAAGTGCTATAGATAGAGGCGTAGACTAGTACCTCAACAATATGCAGGACCGTCTTCTGATCTTCATGTAGGCCGAGGATACCAAGTGCTTCCCATATCTGGTTAGCGTGTTTGATACTCATTCCCCGAAAAAATTTGCAGGTGGCTCTCGACATGCTGGGAGATGATACCAGCGAAAAAGATAGATAAAGATGCCCTGTTGTGGTATTGAGTTGTTGAGTTGTTGAATTGCTAGATTGTTAGAACCACGATTGATGCTGAGCATTGGAATTTGACGAGACATTTACCAATTATTTAAGCCCCGATACTCGGCTAGCTCTTTGTGCTCGAATATAATGGCTTTCAACCTCGGCATGTTTTGTTGCATTGTTTGTATATATCTATGATAGAAGCCTTCAAAGGAGCAAAGAGGAAAGTGGCTCAAAGAGACCCAAGAGAGTCAAACATAGTAAGACTAACCAGACATGCTCTAGGCTTGTTCTCCCGTGATGTCGATATCCGCCATGTAAGGAGCTCGATCATTTTCCAGGTTGAACGTCCTTAAGTCTTCAGTCCTTGGATCTTGATGGGCATATTCATTGTACGGAGTATCTGGGGACAGGATAATTGGGCCTTTTCACGGGTTATACCTAGACTATGCCAGTCACGTGGGAGGCTGGAAGCCAGTGAGGCTGACTGTTTTTAAGGCTCAGCAAGAGATGCCCCTGGATCCGCTTCCACTCATGATCACCTACTGCAGTCTCCAAATCATAAAATCTCTCCATCCTAGCCGATAAACACATTTCAACAAGAGTGAAACTGAAACTTGCCGCGGGACTTTCACTCCTACATTGCGCCAGCGAAAATGGAGTTGCAAGAATCACAATTCCATGGTCTCACGTGGGTAGAAGAGACAATTTTCGGTTCTGAGCCCCGATGGACTGTGGAACCTGATACCGGGAGTATAAAGCAGACAGTACAGTCGCTTCGACCGTCAAGTACGGTTGAGGCGACTTTCCTCGCCCAGGGTGCATTCAACAAGATCTACAACGTTAACATAGATAATGAACCATTTATTATGCGAGTCACATTGCCTGTCGATCCACGTCACAAAGTTATAAGTGAGGTGGCGACAATGGACTTTGTGCGCCATACTACAAGCCTCCCGATCCCTAGAATTATCACTTACCAACCTTCCCGAAACAACCTGATTGGATTTGAATGGATGCTTATGACCAAGTTGCCCGGAAAGCCCTTCAGTGAACTTTGCCATTCTCTTTCCTTCGATGCGAAAGCACGCCTAGTTAGGGAGCTTGCCGCAAGCTCGGCTTGCCTTTTTCGAAATCAACTACGCGGAATTGGGAACATCTATGGGAAACCGTCACCTATTGAAAGATCAACATCGAGCGAGAAAAATCTGCCCTATAGAGAGCTAGTCGATACCAAAATATCAAATTCGGCAAAGGAATACGAGTCAGATGATGGTAGTGCGGCCATAGGGAAGAACTCGGGAGCTCTTCTATCCAATGCATCCGTCAAAGGCTCTTTAGAAGGGACCTTGCCGGCTGTGGACCGGATTGTCTCTATGCAATTTTTCTGGGACTCACATATCCGTCAGGATGTCCACCGAGGCCCATTCCGGTCAAGTAAGGACTGGATTATAGCTCGCCTTTTATTCAACGAGAACGACTGTCATTCGGCTCTAAATAAATATTCAGCTGGAGACCTTGATAGTGACGCCGAAGACGAAGTGGAGGGTGCGACAAGAACGCTACAAACAATCGAGAGCCTCAAGTCCCTTCTTCCTCTGGTATTTCCAGCGGAAAGTCATGATCTAGAACCTTCAATGATATTTCACGACGATATCTCACGACACAATATACTCCTTGACGATAGCGGGAAGCTGACTGGCTTGCTAGACTGGGAGTGTGTCTCAGCGGTGCCTTTATGGAAAGCCTGTGACTATCCTTCGTTTCTAGAAGAGCGACCACGCCACTCAAAGCCTCTTCCTGGAAGCTACAAAGTCGAAGAAAATGGGGAGCCTAATGAACTCTACTTTGAGCACCTATGGCATTATGAGACCACTCTCTTACGCGATGTATTTATTGATGAAATGAGAAGACTAGAAGTGGGATGGGTGGAAGTTTTTGAAAAGAGCCAGGTCAAAAGAGATTTTGACTATGCAGTGCAGCATTGTGATAGTGAAATATCTGCCCGCGATATCGAAGCATGGATCGGAGATATAAGCGCTGGTATAAGCAATCCGCGCAGCTTGAATGATAGATTCTGGTCAGCATAAACAGTGCAGTGGAACAATGTATATGTGGATGATGGGTGTCCTCTCTCAAGGGCATATGCTCCATGTCAATATAAATGATTGACAATAGTTGAGGTCTTCTGAATTTGTTGGATGAAAAGAACTTAACTCGGAGTACCCACGTTCAGTACCCTAGAAACCATTGCAATTTCTGAGAAACTCACCACACGCCTCCTTATCTGGCCGATTAGGATAGACGATGTTTCTTAATTGTTCTGGCGATTTACGCCATCTTCGGGATAATCAACTGATAAACAAAAAGATCATGCCCTTCTTACTATCTTATAGAGAGGAATGGTATCTATCAAATTGGTTTCCTTCATTGATTCATTCATATGTATTTTATTAGTTTCGTCTACAATTCCACATTAAAGCCCCGAGCCAGGATAGCAATGCATTCGTGCAAGAAATGTGAGTTAGAATGCGGAGTGGGTGAGCAAACACATTTTAATGTGGCTGACAACTTGGTACTCCGTACCTTTGTAAGTTTTGGTTAGGTCCGATTTTTGAGAATATACTGTGAGTATTTAGGAGGGCAAACATGAACCAGGCCACTACCAGCTTGAGGTTTGTGAGTGCTGAGGCGGTTAAGGCTGTTGTTATTGTGATAGGTGAAGGAAAGGTGGCCACATGCCCTTTAGGGAAACTATTCAAGAATTGAGTCCATGTACATATAATTACCGGAAAAGAGTGATGAGAGAAGCAATCTCAGCCGTGCTCGCATATTGCAACCCCGCCCCTTTAGTTTTCATACTGTTCTAGGCAGGGAGCATATCTCAATCTTGGAAGTGGATCAGTCCACTGCCATATTAGTGCGTTTCGCTTTTCTCAGAACTTGATAAATGTGCATAGGCGCTTCAGGGGCGCTACTTTCTAACTATTACTGGAGGGTTGTTTCAAAATTTCAAATTAATAGAAGATCTAGGAGGGCCTCTGCGAGTAGGACACAGTTGAGTCTCAAACAGGGATTATTCATATGTCCACCACATCCAAAGCCCGATTGGTTTTCAAGATGCGGGGGCTAGCGTGTATACCAATGAGCGTTAGCACAAAACATTAGTCGCGAGATGGTATCTTGCTATAAAATAAATATTTATATTTACACTATTATTACCAATAGATGTGCCTAGGCTTGTTTGAGCCCCCTTTTGTGATCTATCTTTGATTCGTGGCTCATAAGTCCGAGATATAAGCATGCAGTAGCAAGGCCTAAGTCAATTGAGACTGCGGAGTACTCCGCGAATATTAGAACTGCTGATAACTGAATAGTATGCGATTAATCGACGTCAGATGGTACGATACACCCCAATTTTATGATGAAATCCTAGACAAAAGAACCCATATCAGGGGAACTTGCCTATCCTTCACTGCGCATGGAAGGCTACCAGATATGGTGATCTTCGCAAATGTATACATGAGCAGCAGCTACATTGACATTTGTACTTCCGTCCATGGTAGGGAGTACTATCTACAATGTAGTAATGTCATTACATCTAACTCGTAGAAATAATCAAGGCAATGTTTCTCTATCTATACGAGAGATTTTGTGCCTATTGCCGAATAATGGCTCGTGCTAGAACTGTCGCGACAAAGTATACTGTTAGAATGGTGTAGCCGAGGTTCAAACATAAAGATTAATCAGTTAGAACACTCCACACTCTTAGTGAAGTTCATAGCTACGTTGTACAAGTTGTAGAATACCTGTTTTTAATGGCAAATTAACAGAGTTCCTGTTTTAAAGATGCATCATAAGAGTGTAATCCTAATCTAGTACCCCACAATTTCAAGGAAACGGCCTACGATGTACCCTCAACCTACATTACATTACCACTGTAGAATATAGAACACATGATGAGTGAAATTGTCAATGATCATGTGGATGCAAGAACAGGTAATTTTCCATTTTCTTACATCACTGAGCTGGCTAAGCCGTTAGTTGGTTCTTGTTTGTGCTATGACATCATAGTATAATCCCTACCACGAAAGACCCTACTATTTACTATAAGAAGCCCCTTCTGCTACAGCTGTTCTCCTCCCTCCATCACACAATCTTCAAACAATCAAATTAGCCAATATCTGAAACTTCCAAACTCATTTCAATACCCTTCAAACAAACAAACAACTTCACATAATGGAGACCGCCAAGGTTCGTATCATGTGTCTGGACAGCATATTTTGTTTCAAGTACTAATATATGACATTAGAACGCCGTTAACTACGTTGCTGAGACCGTCCAGGGCGGTGGTGCCGAGGCATCCAAGGAGGCCAACAAGCATGTCGCCAAGGACTCTGATGCTAGCTTGGGCAGCCGCGCTAGCGCCGCAAAGGATGCCGTTGTTGACAAGAAGGACGAGGCATCTCACAACACCAAGGCCGATGTTCACAAGGGTAAGATCATCAGAAGCCAACATGATTTTGGAATAGAATTAATGCTAATGATATGCAGAGGCCGCTAAGCACTAAACGGCTGCTCACTGAAATTAGACACCTGGGATAATGAGATACCCCTTTTGTTAGCACTCGGGTGATAAGCAGGGGCTCTTTACCTGTACAATATTTACAGATGACTTTACGGAAATGAATTACTTTGTAATATGCAATATATCTTGAATCTTGCGTACAATATGCATACAAGCTTGATCTCGCTTTGTATGATTGTGACAATTTTCGTAACTAAGTACCAGATTGACTTTCAACAACTACTCCCAGAATTTTAACGCTATGCCCAAGATATTCAATAGTAAGATTTAACGCTATGCCTAAGATATTCAATAGTAAGATGGATAGCCAACTTGATCTGAAACAGCAATCTTAGAAACCTGGGGATTGACTTTATCTGATCGGACCCACATATGACATCACCGGCATATAATATCATCTACAGCAGTACAGCAGAAGGTGTATTGTTCATCCTCTAGTGACCATGAGTAATAATTCTGATAATGTCAGTGGTAATAAACTCGATGTGTCACTTTCCACACTTGTGGTCAACCTTGGAAGTTGTGTCAAGGTACGTCATCAGCGATCATTAAATCAGTAATAGAGGCGAAAACAAGGATACAAAACAAACAATGCCGCCCAATCCTGCTGTGTGCCAAATAGTTCACAAAAACACTATTCCATAGCATACCTCGTCATTGGGTCCGAGAATTTACTTTATTACAAAGACTTGCTCCTAAGTCAAAGTTGTACCCTTGAATCAAACCATCTTCTTTTTCTTTGAAGTTACATACAAAACAATACTGTTACTATCCCCATCCTCACACGAGACGCTTTTATAAATCCTCTCAGAAACAATGGCATCAATTATCACTTCTGTCAAAGACCTTATTACCTCCATATTTGAGGTGATATTCTCTGTCTTCAAGAGCATTCTGGATACCGGGTATCAGCTGCTCATGGCCTTTGTCAACTTCTTCGCTAGTATCCCCAAGATGCTACAGCAGATGGTGAAGGGCAGTTTGGAAGCTGCAGGTGGTATTGGGTCATTCATTGCTAGTGAGTCTTCCTATACCCGCCGATTCAGCAAAGCTTTCAGCTAACGATTGGCGCTAAAAGGCAACATCGTTGTTATAGCCTTGATCGCCCTTGGCAGCTATGGTTACCTGGCCTATCAACGTCGTCAGGGTCGCCCATTGCAGGCTGGGTCCAAGAAGTTGAACTAAGGAAAAATCGGCAGTTTGATATTTCAGCGAGAAATTTGTGAAAGACCTGAGGATATATTACATGTCGATGAGTCTCCAGTGCAATATTTAGAGCTCTGCACGATATTTAATAGGTCCACTGGGGCAGTGCTAGTATGCTTGCTTTGGCAGTTTGATTTCTTTTTGCCTCTCTGGGGCCTTTCACTTCTGTATATAGTCCCTCAATTGTTGAATTCGTGTGATACCAACAGAAAGAATTGGCAATAACGTCGGATTTCGTCGGAATCGAAGTAGTATGGAAGTGAGAAATACTTGCGAGAAAAGACGCGTGTAGACACTCGCGCAGTGTAGCAATTACATGTATGAAGACAGTATAAAACTGCATAAGGTGAACCAGTCCCATGTTAATGACCGAAAACAAACTGGGATCATCCACGAGTCCTGATCGATCATTCCTCAAACCCCCAACCTTGGACGCAAGTCTTCCTTCGATATCCTCCGTGCAGCGTGGTTCCATGCCCATCATACCTGCTTACCAGACAACAGCAGTCCTCGTCAATATTGCTTTCCTACAAATGTCGTTTATTCTTCAATCGATGAAACACTCCCCATAGATACCATAGTCCGCTTTCTTTCAAATGGGTATAATCTAGCGTGGAAGGAAAGTACATCGCGTTGTTTTGGTTGAGGTAGAGTAGAGTTGCCTTCTAATATTGAAATAGGAATGTTATTAATCATTGTTGAACCTAGGATCATGTCTATACCCCTCTGGATCAAAAGTTAGCTCTAGTGCATATTGAACACAGAAATATAATCAAAGTCGCACCTCGGGGCCCCCGGGTCCTAAATATGACGGACCCCTCCATTCTTTTTGAACATCACGCTGGCTGTAAATCCAGGTCTTCTTTTCGTTTCCACTCATTTGAATCAGATCTATGTTATGCTGCGCGTGGTTGAGCTGTCTAATCAGCTCTCTTCTTGCCGCGCATAACCTTGCGTCTTTGCGCAATCATGTGCGTATACAGGATATAGGATCCTGGTACGTAGTCAGTATTGAATATTATGAACACTGCGAAATAGCAACATACCAGGCACGTAGATCACAAGAATTGCGATCAAAAGATAACGGAAAAGTGGGCTCAGCTCGCCAGCAGGACCAAGGGCCTGGAAGATAAGGGTGCACTCGCTCGAGATACCAATGGGGTAGAAGATGTAGAAAGTGTTGTATCTAGTCAACGCGAGGATCATCAGCCCATTGAACATGGTAACCACGCCGAAAAAAAAAAAAAAAAAACTTACCGCAACCAAGTCCACCAGCTTGGAACCGAGTTCCCAGACAAGGTAATAGCGAAAAACCCATAACGGATGACCTCGGTGACACCCCAAGCAAAAACACACCCGAGATAGGCATAATCACCCAGCTGGGTATTGCGCCCAGCACCAACAATCTCCCCACCGAACTGAGCCATAATCCCCCACACCAGCAACAACCGGCTTGAAACCTGCATGGCAGTCGTCATGAACGGCGCGCGCACGAGGCCTACCAGGCTGTGCACAACTTCCAACAGCGCGAGGGACTGCGTGGCCAACAGGAGCGGGGAGAAAGTCTCGCCGAAGACCTTCGGGAGGGTTTTGGTCGAGACATGAGCTGGGAGGAGGGACGCCGTATAGACGACACAGGTGCCCCAGGCGAGGAGGTTGAGGGTGTTGTAGGTGAAGAGGTAGGCTTTTGTTAGGCCCGAAGAGCCGGAGCGCGGGGCGCTTGACGTTTTGGCTGAGGACATTTTTGACCAGTATTACTTTTTCGTCGGTCTCGTGGAGGGGGTTGGTGATGATGTTGTCCTGGATGGAGGAGCTAAAAATGTTGATTTGGTTGGGAAGCTCGCGATCAACAAAAAAAAAAGGGACCGAGGTCGCCGGGTCGTTACGTAAGCATTCTGGAAGAGCCCGCGAAGAAGCTGTGGAGAAAAAGCGTGGGATCTGGGGTATAGTATATCTTTATTTTGTTGTCTACTGAGTCTCTTGGGACGATTTATGCATAATCTTATTGAGAGTATATCAGTCTCACTATACTTTTGATATTCCCAGTCGTGCGCTACATATTACCTAGCCAATCACCTTTTTCAAAACATCAGTCATACCTTCTCTTTGCCCCTCACCCCGAATATAGTCCGTAGCCGGGGTGTCGGACCCGGTTATAGCTTCTCTGCAAGTCTGGACTATGTGGACTATTTCAGAACCTCTCTGCCGAGGAATAGATTTGATGTGATTCGTTTAAGGCAATTGAAAGTGCATAAAAAGGCAGCCAAGCGGATGACTTCCCCTGGAGGCGCTCTTGGCCGCCAGGGATTCAAAGACTAGCTGATCCTGTGGTGTAAAACTGCATGATCTAGTCCAGGCTACTGCAAGACTCTACCGGTAATCTCGTATTGCCAACAGCAAACATGCGTAGTCTGGTCTATTTTTGCCTTGACTGATTTGGGTATGTCCGAGAGGCTCGATGGATATTAGAGGAATTTTTGATGTGATCGCTTGGATTTGAGATCGGTTCATTGCCATAATTTGGTGAGCACGTGGACTTAGCGTAGTCACCCCACGTTTATCAAGGCCGATTCAACTCATAGTCCAGTTGATCCTGCCGGTATTTAGTCTGATGTATGTTGTACATCAACAGTATTGTAGGTGACCACCTCAATACAACTTAAATGTCTTGCATTTGTACTCCGTACTACAGTCACTCTCATGATGTACATAACCCGGCTCAAGGGTGTGAAATGAGATCTCATCTCTACATAGGTCTTAATCCTGAGAAGAAAAGGAGAGACTTGACACTATAGAATGTCAATGTGCACCTTCCAATGGGTACAGTAGAGCGTGAAGCAATGTGTAATTGACGTAATCGGCCTATTTTGCCGATACGCCAAAATGACATCAGCGGCTGGATGGGCTGCCCCATCATATGATGTCATGGCTATCATCGCATCTTCTCATTGGTGGAGAAGGAAGAAGAAGGTGCAATAGCCAACCACCACACACAAAAACCAGGGCCAAGGAGATGCACAAATGCCCCTAAGTTCTCTATATAAACAAAGATGGCTGCGATTCGCGAGTGTTGATACGACTTCGACACTTCCTATATACACCAGGGCTATTGTTTTCAAAGGAACTGAACCGTTAAGCCAGAAAAAAAAGCAATGAGAATGAAAGAAAAGCAACCAAAACACCCATCGTCATCGGTGACAGCATATTACCGCGATACCATGTGTCTTAGCCCAGCAATATTACCCCATTTCCCCTCTGAGAGAGGAAAGAAAAAAGAGCCGTGGAGCCGTGGGCATATACAACTCACTGTCACCGAGTACGGAGTACGTCAGATGAGAAATCTATGCAACACACAGAACGAACGCGTCCCGAATTTTTGGATACGGGCCTTGAGGGTCCAGACCAACTGGATCAGGTTATCTCTGCGCACTTGGACCAAATCGACGCTTCCCTGCTGTACGAGCCGGGATCATTACGTCTTTCCCTCTCTTTTTTTTTCTCTTTGCGGCTAAAAGTCTACTAGGATACTACGTGTTTTTTTTTACTGTTTTTTACTGTTTTCCAAGCAGTACGGACCGAGTCATGAAAACGTCCTGATCCTCTCTTGCACTCGAACGATGGCTCCTCAGAGACGATAAATAAAGGCCATCGCTATTTACAGTTCCTCAGATGGTTCCGCCGTGTGACTGTTCGAGAGTTCGCTTCGGGAAAGACCAAATGACGTTCCCTGTGATCGGCGGCCCGATGATGTCGTCTTGCTGGCACCCCCCCTACTCAATACCTACGAGATGGGTATATGTATATTGTATCAGTTCTGTTGCGGTCAGAAAACGTGTGATTTTTTTTTTTTTGGTTTGTTTTTTTTTTGCTTTATCAGTCTCCACTAATCCTGTACTATTCAGTACACTTATAGGTCAACAAGGTTTATCCTGTTCATTCCATGGTTTTTTTTTCCTTCTCGGTGGACCCATCAGTTGGAAAGGTGATGCCACGGTTGGACTCCACTGGTCTCATAAACGGAGCCCGGAGTAACTCAATCCAGAGATAACAGTTCTGCTGAGAGATCAAGGATGAAACTTCAAGATGATAATGGTATGATTTAACCAAAAAAGGCAAGAGTATAGTCAAATGACCCTACGGAGCACTTCGTACAAGATTGATGAATAGTGTATGTCCAGTATTGGTTTTTTTTTTTTTTTTTTGAGCAAAGGAAAAGCAATAATGTCACGTTTTTCAGATCATCGAATCCAATTAGAAACCATTGTATAGATTGTAGCTAATAATATAATGCACTCTACAGTCATGTTTTCTCCCCGAGTATGCCAAGGCGAAGAGCAACAGTACCATACTTAATTCCTTGTACGATATAGTACAATATATATTACAATAATCAAGTGAATATGAAATGAACTGTTAGAATATACATATATATATATGTATGTAATTTTTTTTTCCCCTCTGATATTTCGTCTAATTCTCAATCCCCTAGTTTTTCCATAAAATCATACCAAAATCCCAACATCCTCTAGTTGGTTCCTTTGGAATTGAACCCACCCTGCTCTCTCTCTTTTCTCCGCCCCTCCGATTTCCTCCCCCTCTCTCTTTCTCTCTTCTCTTTGATCTTCCCTTTCTCTCTGTCTTTGCTTTCTTTTCGCCTTGCTTTTTCGGCTTTGGGATTTATTGTGTCTCCTTCGGTTTTTCGGGACGTCTCAAAAAAAAACGAGCAAAAATTTCTCATAGGTGGGATGAACATTCCTATTTTGCCCCTCTCTCTTTGAATATCCTCCTTTTTTTTTCTTTCCTTTTAATTCCCTGTCAAGTGGAGACCCTGGCTTTGGGGGCTGCAGCTCTTGCGATGCAATAGCCCCCTGTCAACTAGGCTGTGACTGGATCACATTCGAGTACATTGCGCTGAATGGCTCTGTCTGTCCCATTTACCACATATACCTCCGCTTTAATTATTATCCCCCTCCAAGCCCTGCTTTGTATCGCATTTACCCCCATACCCCCCTCTTCACATTGCGATTTTCTTACCTCTCACTATCCATTACTGGTCACTACCTTGATTACTGGATTGAGTGGCTGTATTTCGCCTCAGTTTCAGCCGCTTCCCCTTGACCATAGACACTGGAGCCGCTCACCATTGTCCCTGTTAACACCTCGCTACTTTGGTGCCTGGATCTGTAACACCCTGCTGGATTTGTAAGACGACATATGCGCTGTGCAGATTTCGCGATTCTGACGTCCTTGTTGTATCATTGATTTTTGCGTTTGGGACCTCATTGATTTGCCACATCGTTTTATCTGTCCAGAATCTGGACCCGTTGGTTGATTCTGAGCTGACTGAGATTTGCAAACAGAGCCCCTCTCGTATTCTATCTGGATTGGCTGAAAATCAGACCGGAGAAATCAACCCCATTTCCATCCAACGATCGTGACGATCTGCGCAGTGCACTAGCTTGCTTCCACCTACCCCTCTAAGCATCTCCGCATACACACATACACAGTCATGGCACCAACCGTTTCCAAAAAGGCCGAGCCGGTAAGTGCTTCTTGTTTCGCCGCCAAGAGTTCATTGGTCTGACATCCGAATCTACGTCAAGCAGGGCCCACCCAAGCTCTCGGATTATAAGGAAATTCTCGACGAGAGCACATTCGAACAGATCCTTGAGATGGACGATGACGAGGAGGATCGCGATTTCAGCAAGAGCATCGTGTACGGTTTCTTTGACCAGGCCGAGAATACTTTCAAGAAGATACAGAAGGGAATGTAAGTTTTATCTTTAGGAACTCGGGTGATTGTCCTTTTACTCATCATCCAACAGAGATGACAAGAACCTTGATGAACTTTCCGCCCTCGGTCACTTCCTCAAGGGCTCGTCGGCCACACTCGGCCTTATCAAGGTCAAGGACGGCTGTGAGAAGATCCAACACTTCGGCGCCAACAAGGATGAGACAGGCCTTATTGACGAACCCGATGCCGAGGTCTGCCTCAAAGCCATCAAAAAAACTCTGGATGAAGTCAAGGTCGAATATCGTAAGGTCGAAAAGCTCCTTCGCCGATATTACGGTGAGGAGGTGAAGGATGAAGAAGAGAAGCCGGAAGAAGAGGAAGTCAAGGAGCAGAAGGAAGAAAAGCCCAAGGAAGAACCCAAGAAGGAAGTCAAGGAATCCAAGGAGTCCACTAAGGAGCCTACCAAGGAGGCCTCGAAATAAGCGGTCATTCGGGCTCGTTGATATCCCTCCCTCCCCTTTTTCTTTTTAGCGACGGATGGAGCATGGCAAATGGCTTTTTCTTTTCTTTTCTTTTCTTTTCTTTCCTTTCCTTTTCTTTTTCCCCTTTCCCCTTCTTTTCACTCCCTTTCTCTTATCTCCCAATCCCCCCGATCCTGGCTCCTCTAGCTTTGTTGACACGTACATAACAACCTCCTCCACTATCACCATATTTACCCTTTCCCGTCCGGACACTGGTGTGGAAACTGATATTCCTGGTCTGTCACGTAAGTGCAGGCGCGAGAATCGTGATGATTCCACGGAGTCTTGAACAATAGCGACATACGGAAATCGGAGTGCCTCTGTCAGGCCCTGTTTTCTTGATTTGTAGCCTGCGTTTTCCATTTGGATCATCGCATAGTAGGCATTGCGTCAGTATTGAGGTACGTGTCACGCGAGCAGTAGCTGATGTGACATGACAACACAATCCAGGTGGAGATTTTAACCGAAGTGCCTGAATACCGCACAGAGGGAGAAATGTTTCCCTAATCAAATCGCCAACCTCCCAAGCATTCCGAGAAGTGGCGCTATAAAAAGCTTTTTACCTTCAGCCACTTACGTGCAGAACCCCGGGGACCCGAATAAGCTTGAATCAACCTTGTAACTTAATATATACTTTGACCCATGCGGGAGGGACCTAATTTTGGGTCTTGACAGATTGTCTTGATCTGCTGTTACCTCCAACAGAGAGTGCGTGTTTTCAATCTTGCTCGTTCTGGTGTCTATCCCGTCGATCTCTTCATAGAAACCATCAACTGGGGAAATTCGATCAAGTCAAACGTTGTGGGGTGCGTGTATGTCTGTGCACTTCACCAGGTCCGATCCTCGTATGCTGCTGCACCTTACAATGAGTGTTTCAAAAAACAACAGAATCTATCCTCCAATACCTACTCCCACTGATAGTAAATTGTGCCGTATCTGCATCTACATTCGCTCCTGCATGGCAAATAGCGAATGCTGAACGAGTACCGGGGACCAGCAGTATGGAGATAGTGCAACGCTGATGAGATTCCACGGTACGGCCACATATTGCTGGAAATGGAGGTTGACTGGATTGAATAGCTGGAGCTCTTTGGCCCTGTAGAGAACGCTTTTCATATCTCAAGTCATAGTTGAATATGGCGGATGCGGATGCAGAGGCAGAACGTCCTGATATTCATGTATATCCTTGACCTGATCATTCTGATTTGAGCTCGATCTCTCAAAGTCTGTGCCAATATGCAATGCAGCAGCAGGATTATGCAGTGTCATTCCAAGTCCCAGTGCGTAGATGATCCGACTTGACTATTCCTCACCCTGTGCACAATATGACGTCCGTTCTCTAATCTCAGTATCAGTAAGAAAAAGCCCCATCGAGCCGGCGACTAGACGGTGGGGCATTCTGTCAAGGATTACGTGTCGCTTTCCTGTTTATTTTTACTCTGGTCACGATCTGTTTGTCTAACTAGCTTTCAGCACATATAGCAGCTGCAACGGCATCTTCAACCGTATTGAGCTTGTAAAGACACTCTCTTACTCCAAGTCTGCTCAAGAAGCCCGTATCTAACAAACACTATCCCGCCGTGCTTTTTACTATGTTGCTCGTCCCATTCAATAATCTTCACATTGCATATGAACCCATCACAAACGAGAAGATTGAAATCGAGTCAAGTCATCTCCAACCAGATCCCCTTTCCCCGCAACGGGACGTAAGTACGCGCTCACCATGGGAAATTCAAAAAAGCCGCTGCAGATTCAAGCAACAGACCCGATTTGGCTTCCGGTCTGTCAAATTTGGGCTCAATTGCGTCCTGGCCCAGACTCCCGCCTGGCAGGTCACACGACATAGCCAACGAGCCTTTTTGTTTTCTGCAGGATGCCCGCAAGCCGACGGGTAGGCACAGGTGCCTTATTTGGCTTTCTTTCCCGCTAGCAAGGGTGACTGAATGTTTCGCTTACTGCTGGGTTGGGGTTCAGTGGGCCTCGTGCCGAGTTCGGGATGTACAGTTTGATTCTCCTAGCTCTACCCACACATTCAATGTTCTTGGTTGTGAATATGCCTTTTCAGATTTGATTTGATTAAGCTAGAGCTGTATCGGTCTTCATCACTACGGATGGGTACAGATGTGTGGTAACGAGACTAGCACACAGGGATACTAGCTTTCCCTGTTGCTAGTCGGGCGGATATCTGGAGGTGCATCCGGTAGTGTGTACTCTTATACAATATCCTACCTGACCTCGAAGACACACCCCTTTCTTATGCATGCAAGCATTCATATATCTTCTACCCGTCTGTCTCGGATAGCAGACCAGAGCTCAGCAAGTCACCCTCGACATATCAGAATGCACTCTTCGCGCTCAGTCCTCGGCCCTCAAGTGCTGTGTCCACGATGACTCTGTTTGCGATTGTCTTGCTCTCGCTGTATTCGACTTCTTACCCTAGCCCGCCAAAAATTCTTATCGAGGGGGCGAGGGCATGGTAGAGATCAAAAGAGGTAGGCTTTGTACTACTCCCCTTTACTCCTTTCCTCCCTTTCTCGCCTCTGATGTCAATCACACACCCGCTCGTTTGCCATATCGGAACACCATGCCCCCAGCCTACTTCTCACCGAGAAAGACTGTACCACAGCGCCGTAGCCCTATTCCCTAAATTCCTGTGGCTCCCAACCGTTTACTTACTGGACACGCCGAACCACTAAAACCGAACATACCCCAGCCCGGATCGCAGTTTGAGGTACTCCGGGGTTGGATATCAACGGGTGTGCAGTGATCGTCCACACGCACATCGTACATGTACCACCCTGACTCCACGAATCCTGCAAAAAGTACAGTAGCGTCTAACCCCGGAAAGAGAATCGTAAGCGCTAGGACAAAAAACCCAAAACAGTAAGAAAATAACTCACCTGCAACACTGGACTCGTGCTCTCACTCTTTTATCATTTCCTTGGCCATGCACAAAAGAAGCAATCGTAAGATTTACCTGAGAGGGAAGAGATGTCTTAGCCTCGAAGCACTTCCCTTGGATCCCTGTCTGCTTCGGATCCTTGTACTTGTGTTATATCGATCTGATTGCGGTTTTGTCCTTTGCCCCATTTCCCCATTTCCCCGCTTGGTCTGATTGCGTCTGTTTCTGTCTCTGTTTCGCGCTGTCCGTTCGCTCTGCCTCATTCCGGTATAGTCTCTGATTGTATCGGCTTCGGCGCCGTGTTGCAGCCAACGGCCGTTAGATGGGTTTCCGCGCCGTTGAGATCTGTTTGAATGGGAGTGCTCCAGGATATAAAGTCTGGCTTCGATGCGGGCTGTAAGTACCATTCTTCAATCTTGCATTCACGTTCATTCCCATTGATCGTTCTTCATTCTTCGGTCCTGACCTCACGGCTGATATACAACCTCGGACTCGGATTTTCGCTCAACCATAGCATATATAGTGCCCTACCCACCGACACCGTTATTCATTATACCCCTCAGTTCAATCGAGGAATTCAACAAAGATGCCAGTCGGACCTCGAGTATCCAAAGAGGAATTCATGCATGCATTGGGTTTAAACCCACAAGACCCGCATCATGAACAATACTACCGCGCCATGCGAGTAAGTATACCAGCCGAAGTTTCTCCACTAACCTCCTTCCCTCTCTCTCCTTCTTTCTCTCCCGCCGTCATATCCCTACGCATGCTATTTATATCCCAAGAGCCTCCCTTACCAAGCTTGATCACAGGACGAAGCGATCATCGTCTACAACCGCATGAACCTAGACACCTCCAATCTCCTCGACAACATACGCGCCGACCCAGCAACCCGCCCTCCGTTCTTCTGGCACCACATCCGCCCTGACTGCCAGCGCTGGGCGATCCTGGAGATCTGCCACAATGCCCCACCGCTCGTGCGCGGCTTGTTCGAGCGCGGGGCGACGAATGGCGAATACGGTCCGAATTGGGTGGCCGGGTGGTTGTTGTATAGCGTTTTTCGGTCGCGGGATGTAAGGAATAATCGGAATAGGAGGAAGGGGGAGGTTGCAGGATCTGCGGGTTCAGAGTCCGGTATGTATCATCCGTTACTAGACTGGTTGCTGGGAGGCTGTATTGGCGAAGCAGATACTGACGGATGCTTATAGATAAACGTACGAGACAGGAAGAGACGACACAACCGAAAAAGTATTATGATCCTGTGCGCAATGGGACGATATGATATTTTGGGGCTGAGGGTGTTTCTCGGGGATTTCGTGTTACTTTCGTTTCATATCCAGTCCTAGTAATACTTAATTGATTCTGTATAATTGAAGTATAGAGCTTGAAGATCATAGATGTAATGCAAAGCATATACATATAGGGGAAATGATGAGTAGATCGAGACTTCAATCATCATCCCTGTCATCTTTATCATCATCATCCTTCTTCTTTTCATGCTTTTGCCGACGTTCTGACTTCAAGACCTCAGTGACACGTTTGTCTTGCTCATCAGCACGCTCATCCCACTCAGCATCATACTCAGCCGCGATGTTCTTAATCTCCCCACGAAGTGAGTTCCCCTCATCAATCAAAGATTCCCAAAGCTGCAGATCAACGTGATGTAACTGATAAAGCTTCTTCTGCCTCGCACTGATCGTAAAATCCAGCGCAGACTTGTAAGAAATCTCCCGATTGTGATACAAAAACCACAGATAACCACCCATCAAAGTGGACAAAGAGACCAAGTAAGTCACAGGCTCCATAGTATCCCACCCGAGATCAGTCTCGAACGTCAGCCTGTAGACCGTGAACCACCAAATGGAAAGAATTCCAAACCCGCCAATCGCAACCCGCTGCGCACCCCGATGCGCCAATGCATCACACTCCTCCTTCACATCGGCCATGGTTTGGATGCGTCGCGAGAGCTTGCGCAGCCGCATGCGGAGGTAATACGTGCGCTCGTTGAACGATGGCACCGTGACGCGGATCTGACTCAGACCAGACGGCGCACCTTCGATCGTCACTATGAACTCGCCCGCGCGCGAAGCATCCCGGATGAAGTCGCCTATCTCTGTGGCTTGGGACCAGCGCACGAAACGTTCAGGTTCGCCGTCGAGCGGCGGGTCGCCGTCCGTATTGCGTGGATAGCTGTAGGTTTCGACGTCTTCTTCACGGGACCGACGGTGCTGGGTGGGTGATCGGCGGCTGTTGAGGGGTTTGCTTCCACCAACGCCGTCGTTGCCGGGGATGAAGTCTTCTTTGTTTTGGTTTGCGTCTAGGTCGATCTCATCTTCGATGCGCTTTTTGGGTTTGATTGCGTTGTCATCGTGCTGGAGGGCAATAAAGGATATCGCTGGTGGGCGGAGCTTGTCAGTGTTGCCTTTGATTGGAGGTAGCTCTGACTGAATCAGGCGTTCTAGGTATGATAATGGTTGCTGAGGGTGGACTAGTATAGCTATGGGTTCGATTTCTGATTGAGCTGTTAGTGAATTGGGATTTTAGAACAGCAGCCAAGGGATGCCCGGAGAATATGCTGAAGATTGTCGTACCTTTATCGTGGCCTTCACTGCCGATCGTTGTTAAAGGGATGATCAATTTAAAGAGCCGCGATGGCGTCGTCAACATTTTGCCTATCCCCACAAGTCAACATTGATACTCGAAGCGACTATATCACACATCGTTACCTTTTGTCATCCTTTCAGGCCACTTCTTCTCTTCCGGTGACTTTCCCTCTTTGCCATTCTCACTGAGAAGCGTCCGTTGAGGCCGGGCTTCTTGATTACCCTCTTGAACTTCAAACTTCTCTAACAGCTCTTCGGTCTTCTGTTTCTCGCCTGTGATTTGTGTGTGATCTGCCTGGCTGAATTGTCTGGTCTGAATCCATGTAAAATTATGTCGTGAAACTGCAGCCGGCCCAGCACATGCCGGCTTCGTTACCAGTGATGCACCACAAGCTCCGAGACCAATACCCCTATCGATAAATCGCTCTGAGAACGAACTGATATGTCTAGAGGAAACAGTAGAGTTGTTCCTAGCCCAGCCATTTAGCCCCGCTGAGCCAATCTTCCTTAACGAGGCGTACTGGGCCCCACGTTGTGATATCCTTCCCGTCACCCCTGACACGATAGGGGCGCAATTTCGTGCCGGGAAATGCATTTTGAAAAGGGGCGGATCCTCTTGCCCGTTCAATTGGCTATTGTGTATGCTCACGTTGCATGTAAGATAAGAAAGAATATGTAGTCGACCGTGAGAATCGGATAAGTCTAAGTTTATGTCGCGTAGGAGATTCGAGACATGACGAAGCGGCGTTTTGAGAATACGTATGGAGGAAATATGATGTAGGAAGGCCAAGGTTATTTCAAGCAATAAGCTAGCCAGGATGATCCATGCACCAAACACAGTCAAGTTGGCGTTATGCCTTGGAATATGGAGTATCCTGACGTCAGAGAAGCGCACGGGATCCATCTGGGTCTCGGCACTTTGGGGCGGTGTGGCTCCGACTGTGGCAGTGCTGGATCTATATATCCATCATCCCATTATGGATTTCATTGGAGGCATTCTTGTAAGATGTCTTTTTTTAGTTCTATAGAGATTTGAATTGGCGGCAAAAAGCATCAACCGTGCAGATGGCTGATGTGTAAGCCCAGGGGGAATCTATGTATTATAACAATTAATCTCAAAGCTCGCGCATGATATCCTGCACGGCTTTCGCAGCAAATCGTTTCCGTTCGCTCTCTGGTAGCTCGGAGCTCATATCTGATAAAATGTTAGTACAGCAGCCAACCATAGCGAGCCCGAGAGATCAAAACAGAAACAAACCTTTGATTGCCTGCATGCGCATCATCAAAGCCTCCATGCTCTCGACATCCATCTCATCCTCGCCATCATCATGATCAGACTCGTCTTCATCACCATCACCACCTCCACGCTCAATTGCCATGCGCAAACCGAACATTTCGCGTTCCAGCTCATGAACCTCATCTCCAAACCCACGAGAGCCACCCAGACCCAATAGTTGGTCTTGAAGATCATCATCGGAATCCATGTCAGGATCATGATCGCCATCCAAGCCAGAGTTATCTGCGACCATAGACCAGTCATGAGTCTCAAGGACCTCTTGGATACGAGGCATACCCTCACGTTCTAGTAATGGAGATACAGTCAGCCAAAACCCAAGGTCCACCACAATAATACCCTGGAGAAACAAGCTTGCTTCAGTAACTCACCTCCATACTGATTCCTCGTCTCAGTCCCCAAACTCTCCTTGGGATCCCACTCAACAACCTCCCACCCCAGCAGCCCCATATCAAATAACTGATCTTCCCACCACCCTACCGAAAACGGCACCAGCTCCCCACCACCTAGATCCGCATCATCAACACCAAGCCCCAGCTCCGTATCGGAATCCTTCGATCCCTGGTGATTCACACCGCTACCCACAGGACCCTTCCTACCCCCAATCAACACAAATACACCAGGAACATCGCCAAGCCCGCCGCGCTCCTCGTCAATGCGCTCCTTGACAGCGCCAATACCACGCATCAGGTCACAAAGTGCGCGCACGTCGGGTCGTTCAGCGGAGTCTGCATTCGTCTCAGAACCCGGTGGAGGTGTCGCATCGCTGGGAGCATGCGCGCACACAACGAGGGCCCCAACAGCCTCACGCACGATTTCAGCTTCTGTGCTTAAGAAGTCGTTTTTCCATTGCTCGACTGTAGGTGTTGATGTGGTTGTTTGTGCATCAGTATCGTGGATCGCGAGTGGGATCTCGTCGACCCAGACGGGGACTTCAGTTGTGTAGTATTTTGTTTCGAGGCGGAGAGGGCTGTGGGTTGTGTAGCCGGCAAAGGTGGTTGTTGGTGGTGGGGGTGTTGAGCTTGAGCTTGAAGTTGACTGTGGCGTGGTTGGTGAAGGGGCTGGCTGTTGTGGCGGGTCGAGGACAGGCACGCCGGTTAGGGAGTGTAGGAGGGGAGGAATTATTGTGAGAGATTGGGAGGTTGGTGCAAGAATTAGGAGGCGGCGCGGGTTGGGGATGTTTTTCACTTTGGGCTTCGCGGAGGGTGCGGGGTTGGAGGTGGGCACTGGATTGGTCATGATGGCTGATTCTTTTTGGCGCAATGAGGCTGTTCCTTAGAAGACTATGGTCAGACAATGCTCGGTTCCATTGGCAGTGCTCAGTGGGAGAAGGTAGTGTACCGAGAAGGCTGTCCCCCGCATCGACAGAAAAAGGCGGAGTAGACAACACCGGATAATGTCCGACAACCTTGGCCTTTCCATTTTAGTGCTCACCTCTTGCCGCTTTTTGATTCTTAGACCAAATTTGAGCCCTTGCTGGATACCTCTATATCCTAATATCAGAAATTATTTGCTTTGATTTGCCTGTGCTCTGGTTGCCAATTTTTACTGGAAGTATTAATCCGGCGAGATCTCCAACCACGCAGGATGAGTTCTTCCCGTATATTGGATAAGATCATGTAGACGTAAACAAAGCTCATCATCATCTGCTATATGGTCCCTTTCAATCAGCTGGACATTGGGTCGAGCAGCTCTAGAGTTTAGTATATATCTTCAGTAAAAAATTTGCTGGCAACGTCCCCCTCCAAATTGCTGTGGAGGAGCATAAAGTTGCAAAGCAATCTCTAAAACAAAGGCCAGAAAGTCAGGTGGACCGTGAAGACTAGGTGCTTCCTAAGCTTGTCCATCATTGTGAGATATCTTCATGCAGGAAAGATTCGTACAGGAAGTGTTAGTACAAATTTCAGCGACATGCTGGGAGATGGTCAGATGAAAAGCGCGAACAGCGGACCTATAAATTGCGAGATAAAAGACTGATATGAGAGGTGCATCTTCACCGCTTATCCTTTATTGCAGGTTCTAGATACCATAGCCACCGCTTTATTCGCGCCTGTGTACTCCGTACCTAGACCTATGTGCTTCTTCGCATACCAACCAGAGAAGCTCCACGGCAATATAAATTCTAGAACTATATCAGCCGCTACATTACACTTGACGGATGAGGAAGATAAAACGGATTGAAAAGTTTTCCGGGCCGTGAAAAGCTCTTGTTGTTCTTCGCTACCTAGTTACCTAGCAGTGTAGGTCTTCTAAGGTTATGTATAGCACCTATGTAAGAGTTACACGTTTACGCGGTGCTGAGAATTACTAGCCTTGATCGCGAGAGATACTAAGTAAGTTATCATTAATCAACATCTATTCTATTATAGATAGATAGATGCTTACGGTCGAGCTCTAGAAGGCCCGGGCCTCCGGGGCGGTTGCGGCCCCGGCTGTGCCCATGTTTAGCCAACTTTCTGTCAGTCAAATTCGGGGCTTGGTTGACACAATGGCTTAAGCCTAAAACCTGCCATAACCCTTTCCTTCTCTCACCTTGCCATTCTCCTTAACCCTCTGTTTTGGTTTTGCACCTATAGATGTGTGCCTCCAATTTCACATGCCTAGTCAAATAACTCACCTCTCCCACTCGCCTTACCACACCCTGCTTGGTCGTAAACTGGGGCTGAGCCCTTGTTGCATACGCATTCAACTCTTGAGATTGGAATAATTTGGCTTCTTTGCCCTGATGACGTTCGGTGAGGAGGTTTCACTCCTCCAAACTTCATACTCTACTCGTTCTATAACAGGATTGTCCTCTGTCTGCCTCATCAATCATCTCCCCTCATTCTAGATTCAATTATCTGCCACCTCGCCGATTCTCCATCCTGATATCCCGCCCATGACCCGATCCTTCAGGGCTGTCTGTTTGCAAATCCTGCTCTATCATGGCCTGGGTGTATAGGAGCTACAAGGCTTACATCCTATCACAAGTATCTAATGGCAAACATACATTCAAGGACAGTCTCCAATGCTCGCATATAAGCCTAGCCATCGAGCGAGTAGCCAGTGCCGACCAGCGCCCCCTGCCACTCGATCCCGAGAACTACTAAGCACCGCAATTCCGACTCACCGTACTTGATCAATGATCGTCTCCAGTTTCTTATATTATGACTTGGCTTGGGTAGAAGATAGGGGAAACCTTGCACCAAGAGTTTACGGAAGAGGATAATGCCTTATGCGTGTGTACCAATTACAACAAACGCAGATCTCCCAGCTAATTAATATGCTATACTAAGCGAGATCATGCAAACATGGTGTTTGGGTAAATGATCGGTAAAATAACTTGATCTTGAAGATAAGCGCTAATTTGACAAATGTTGACTTTCCACGCCCAAGTCATATCCATTCTGCTTTGCAGGTGTGCTCTTCGGTCGCTTGTCCCAAGCTGGCAGGTTCTGCCTTGCATTTTGAATAGTACTTCGCTGGTGCAGGAGAGCTACAATGTCCCCAGTGACGACCGTGAAAGTTTTATCAGCCCCCCAAAGCCCAGTTCTCATGGAAGCACTGGCCTGAGTTGGGCTTTTGATGCTTTTTCAAAGTCTCTTCATACAGCCTCATTACTTCCTGAAACTCTGGCTCCTCGCCCCACAGTTCATCCAGACCCATGCTCACACGTAAGTCAAGTGTGCCTACCCAGACGGCATCAACCTGGTCCCCTACCGAGGTGAGAATGGCGTCGAGGTTCTTGACTCCAAGCTCGGATTCAATTTGGATGATGACTGCGGCTTGGTTGTTGACGTTTTCCCAGATGGACCGCGACGCATCAATGGCCGTGGCGCTCAAACCAGGTATCAAGCGGACGGGAGGGGCCGAACGGCGTCCATTTCGTACCGCGCCGTATTTGGCGGCCGAGATAATATGCTCAGCTTGCTCGACAGTGTCGACTTGCGGGACGACGATGGAAGCCCCTGCATCTAAAGCAAAGGAGATGTTTGATTGTTCATGACCTGGGACTCTTTGAAAAATGTTAACATGGCAATTGCTATTGCAGCCAAATGCAGTTTGAGCCCTCTAACCTCACAAATGCCATGCATCTCCCTTCGCTGCATTCCTGGATCGCGTGTACAACCTGGAATAACGTAAGCCATCGACTCGTTTTGGGAGGTAGGGAGAACAGTCGGTCACATTTGTCATAGTTTCAATACCGCATGGAGAATGTTCCCAATCCACCCAGACAAAATCAAGACCCAGCTGTGCTGCGATTCTAGCGGTGGGAATTGTAGGCATGGCTAAATAGAAACCAATCAGGGGGCCGATTCGGCCCTCATACGCATCTAGGAGCGCCTGACGAGCCTTGTGAGGCTGAAGAAGCGAGGGTGCTCTATAAGCTTGCATACCCTTGGTGCTTACTTCTAGATACTCTGATCCTGTTGCAGTCATGATGTAGAGGATTAGGTAGCGAATCGAAAAGTGTACGATTGGATTTGAGAAAATTATATCATATGAATGGTAGGAAGGAATTACCAAGCAATCATGTCGACCATGGGGTCTTTTATAGTTCAGCCCCTGATGCTTCTTCCAATAGCTAGAGTTCCTAGCAAGGCAGAGGGTTTGCTTTGGTCGAAAGACTTGAACGCGGTTGCTTCTGAAAATTGACCAATGCGTTAGTTTGCAGTCGAGAAATGGGCCTTCGAGGTCCAGGTTTTTGTCTCTGCATCGAACGCAGCGCGGCGTCCGACAGAGCATCCTTCGCACTTTGAGAGCTCTGACTTATGTCCCGACTTTTAGATCAACTGCATTGATTGGGGTTATACAAATGTGATGCGGGTGAGTGAGCACAGAAGAAAGAAAAGAGATGAGAGCAGCGGTAGTGTAAGCTACGGGATTACTTCATAGCATGGACCCAAGCTTACTTTTCTGTTTGAATCACCTAATTAGAATATAGTGATAATCTTAGCAGTATGCAGTGATTAAATTGTGTTTTTCAGGGATACTCCCGTGTTGGCCACGATAGATCAAGAACAGGGATTGACAACGCCGCTGTAAATTCAACTGCCCATCGCATCAACAATCTGCTTCCTCTCTAACAACTCGCGTGGGTCCAAGTAGACGGTGAAAAAGCTCATCTGGTCTTCCTCCGCCCGTTTACCAAAAATCGCCAGGCCATCAATCTTGATCACCTTCTGCTCCGGATCCCCCTTGAGTACATATTCGATCTTGGCCTCCTGGTAAATTCGATCCGCCACCACATCCACGCGGCCAATTGTATGTGTCATGCGATCAATAATGGAGAATTGCTGTTTAAAGAAAGTCTTGATGGCGTCATGGCCCTGCAATTGAGGCTGTCCTGGAAATGCCATCACGCAGTCTGGAGTATAGAACTCGGGAACGGAGACATCGGGATTGAGAGCATCACCAGATGCGTGGTATCGCTGAAGCCATTCAATGGCCGATGCTTTGATTTCAGGGTTATCCACTGCGAGACATGTTAGACATCCATTAATCAAACCAGAAGACCGTAGACTTATGGACATACTCATAAGGGACGCGGTTGCGTTGAATCTTGGATTGGCAATTTGGAAAATGATTCAAGTGCATTGAAGGGACCTCTAGGCCTTATAGCTATAGATCTCATTCCCCATTTGTAAGCTGGCCCCCACGAATATAGTTTCCTATCGGCCAATGCGTAGGTACATACCTACCCAAGTACATTTGTCAGCGCTAGCCCTGATCTACAATTTGATGTTAAACATCAGCCATGGCGCCTCTGGGCCCATATAAGGACTACGGTTTCTGCTGTGGTCGAGTGGTAAAAATACATATATTCGTCTCCAATTAATCTTTAGAATGAATGAGTGCCAGGATTGTTTATATACCAGGGTTTTGCATATTAACTGATTACAATTAGAATGACATACTGAACTAGCCAGATCCCTGTCAAAGAAAGATATTTATCTACATATAAAGGTGGAAGGTCATGACAAACTAGGGGTCATATTTTAGATAGTATAGATGGTAGTTCGTATCCATAGCCAGCCATGCAATGATAGAATGCGTTCAGCACACTAGGGGATGCACCTTGATCGTTTCATTCTCGAGTCTCGAGTACAACTCGCAAACTATATCCATACAAGTCCAAAAAGTTGCCCACAGAGTCCCTCCATGCCACTACCCATGTGTGTCAAGTAAGTCACGTTTCGCGAAGCCTACTCCGTACAACATAGTTGCAGAAGCACCTCACGCAGGTGAGTTCCGAACTCACCGCTTAGGGGACAACTAGTCACGTGATAGAGCTTAGCATGCCCAGATTTACTCTGACCTTGATAGCCTCATAAAAGCGGCGGCAGATCAGATGTACGGAGCATACCTAGGTACTTCGCTATTCGAATTTCTGAAATAAATGGCCAATGTTTCTTCCTCTTTTTTTTTGATCGGCATTAATTCGCTAGATTATGTTTGTGGGTATGACATTCTTGGTCCACGAAACATGCTCTTTGGATATGAGCCGTCGTCCAAAGCCATTCAATCAGTGTTACTACCCCAACCGGACTTCTTGTGAACATACACAAGATCACATTTAAGCTATGGGAGCAGGAAAATCATGTCGGGTGTTGATTCATAAATTTAATGGTGATCCGACGAAGCATCTACAAGAAGGAATGCCAGCCGGTGTTTTAAGACCTCGCAAGATCAAAGCCCGAAAAAGAAATCCCCTAAGAACCAGAAAAACAAAGAAAAACGCCAACCACTCTGAATTTGTGAGGCCTTGAAACTGCGATTTCGTCTTTTCCACATCACGTTTAACCCCGGCCGCGTTGCTGGCCACGCGCACGCTGCACCGTAGCCTTACCACGCGCCAAACCGACACCGCGCCCGCGCTGGCCTCGTGTACGGAACATGGGAGCATTACTAGAAGAGAGAGAAGAGTTAATAAAGATGCAGACTGGAGATTTGCTTATGACCAAATTGCGATCCAAAAGCTAAATATCAGGGTTTTGACGTACCGGAGCATGTCAGGCACAATGAAGAATCGCACGTGGCTGCCGCGAATGTAGACCTGGTCGAGATGGGAAACACGCCCATCGCGAGCGGTGACGGTGATGTCCTTGAGCTGAACGTTCATGTTGTCCTCGGCTGTAGGGAAAAGCAGTCAGTATGGAACCGCGCAAAAGAAACACTCCCCAGGCTTGTTTATAGACCGCCTCTCTGATTAGAGAGCAGATGCTAAAAAGCTCGAGCGAAAAGGAGCCACACACCTTCCAAAAGCTTCCCCCGGTAGACGACTCCAGATGTGATCTCAATCGTCACGACATGGCCCTGTTGGAAAACAATATTAGCCCCTCTCTTTCGCGCTATCCCCAGTGATCTCCATTTTCGCAAAATCATGTATTGATCCTTCTTTCACATCGAATAATCGGGACAGCAGTATCGAGGAATGTAACGCACCTGCGCTTCGTTGAGGAGCTTGATCGGGATGCCGATCGTGGACGTGAGCTTGCCCATTTTGACTGTGTGACGGCGAGCGGGGATGGAAAGGGGTAGAAAGAAGTCGAAGATGAGTGCTGAAAGCTTCCCTCGCGCAAAGAAAGGGATAGATCAGGACAATTGGTGGTCGTGGGGAGATGGTGGGACAGTGATGAGGTCGGAGTAAGTGGAGGTTAAGAGAAAGGCGAGTTTTGCGGCTAAGCTCATCCTCTCCGCTTTGGGTTCTATCAATTCCGACCAAACAACAACTCCAACCCCCCAAAGCACAAAAGCTCCCACATAATGCGCCTGCAATAGCACCTTCTACATCTCCTAGAACCCTATATCAAAATACGAAACCCGCTATTATGGCTGGCTCACCCAATTCCAATCTACGGGGTTTCAACCACGCCGTCCAAACCCTTCTCAAACAACCAACCCAATTCCTTCCACACCTCACAATCCCAACGTTCACCCACCTGCCCGAGAACCTAGGACCACACCTGGTTAGCGCAAAGAAAGGACTTCAAGTACCACCCGAAAAACCACCACGCACGCCCACAATCCGCGCCCTAGTGCTTGACAAAGATAATACGCTCTGCGCGGCGAAAACAACGTCCTTCCCACCGCAGATTCTCGCCAAACTCTCCTCCCTACGCACCTCGCCAACCTCTCCCTACAATCAAACGACAAACCCGCACTCGATTCTGATCGTCTCAAACCGCGCCGGTAGCCACGCGAACTTCGACAGCGAAGTCTCCGATTTGGAAGCGCAGCTTGCGCATCTGCGTATTCCTGTCTTCCGGCTGCCGGCGGGTGCGGAAAAGAAGCCGTTCTGTGGGGACGAGGTCGTGCAGTGGTTCCGGGAGAGGGGGGTTGTTGAGTCTGCACATGAGATCGCTGTTGTTGGAGATCGACTCGGGACCGATGTACTTATGGCGGGAATGATGGGGTCGTGGAGTGTTTGGTGTAAGGAAGGGGTGTTTGATGTTGGGATGGAGGGGAAGCCGGAGCGGAATGTTTTGGAGAAGATGGAGGTTTGGATTGAATGGTTTCTTAGGGAGAAGCGAGGATATACGGCTCCATTGCCGATGGGGTGGGAGAAGCAGAAGCGGTCGTAGACATGCGGTGCATACTGGGTTGATATGAGATGTTTGAGATACCCTTGTATAATATGTATTACTGCATAGTAAGTAAAGCGAGAGTGAACTACGGCTACAATCACACGGATCTATATGCGATGCAAATTGAAATTATTGAGAGCATAGCGTCAGTTTCCCAGACTCGTATACCGCGAGCTCAGTGCTGTCCTTTTTGTATGGTCTCGGCGCAGAGGGTATCACGACTTTGCGCTGACCAAAGGATCAGCGATGGCTGGATGTCAGACAAGTGCCAACAGAACAAGCTCATGTGCAGAATTCCGACTCCGGGCCCGTAGGAAAACGGGACATTGGAATAGGAGTGCAAATCAGACACAAGTGTAGCAACACCGAGGAAGAACGACAGAAGAAAAAAGAAAATCGAGCGGAATGGAGTCGCAGTCCAAGTCGGTCTGTTTGGCATAACCACGTAAAAGGAGAATGAAAAATTGAAAATGGAAAATGAGAAATGAGAAAGAAAAAAAAAACCTGATCATAAGAAGATAAAAAATGGTAAAATTGACCGGGAGAAAAGAAGAAGGGAAAAAAGGTCCTGAATTCAACCGGGGCAGCCGGGAAAACAGAAACAAAAACAAAAAAATCGCTTCAGGACCGGCCCCAGAATGGAAAGGGTATTTTAATACAACAAGACAGGGTATGTCACGCAAGAAACACATCAAAAGGTAAAATCGCTTCACTGGCCATCGCCAGTGAGACGAGCATCGTCCAAAGAGAGAGCAGCCGAGGGGTTTTGCAAAACACCGAAACCCACCACCTACGCCTCTCGATATTGGACAATGAAGAAATTCCTCCAAGTTGAAACCACAAAGAACCCATCGACAAGGATAAGCGCCGCATGCACAGAAAAGGCCGTGAAACATCAAGAGACAAAAAGAAAGACAAACTCATGACCCAGTTGGCATACCCTGCGAGTTGATCTCGTCCAGGTTAGCCATGCTGTGGGAGTAATCACCCATGCCGGGAGAAGGATGGGCAGAGAGGCCATGCATAGGCAGTTCGAAGCTGGGACTTTCGTGCGCACCGCCAAAGTTGACCTGGTGTTTCGAGTAGATATCGTTCATGGAGAGACCATCATCGAAGCCGGTCTGTTGGTCGTGCGAGAAGGCATACATATCGGACGAGCTGTGTGACATGCTGGACAATGGCGGCGAGTGGTTTGCAATCAGTGGATCGGCAGGGCTCATGCTGGCGTAAGGGGATGGTGCGTGGGAGCCCATTGTCGAGGCATCGTTTGATCCTGATGAGACAAAGGGTAAGTTGAATTGGGGCGCCATGCTGGCTACTGGCGTGGACTCGCCCTGTCCGGCATTGCTGTACATGGGACTGGCGAAATCAGGAGGAGATCCAGTCGTCGTCGTCGCGGACATGGGGTTGGTATGGAAATCCAGGCCATATCCTTGGGTGTCGATGCGGAGGTCGGTAGGGAGATGGTGCACTGATTGTGGAACAGGCGCATAAATGCCCGCCTCGGTGTGATTGAATGGGGGTGGAGGGGGTGGCACGTGGAATGACGACATGGGACTCTGGAGTGACGAGATGTCGATTGCAACGGGAACTGAACGGCTTCGTTGACGTTTGTGGCCACGAGCAGCAGGCATGTTGAAGCCTAGGTGGTTGCTGTCCTGGTACAGGTTCATGTAAGTGGGAGCGGCAAATTGGTTAGGCTGAGACGCAGGGCGCTGGATGAACGGCGGAGACATCGCAGCTGGCATGGCAAAGGTGGGGTTATTATAAGCTAGGCGATTTTGGAAGGACTCCAATGATACAAGCTTAGCAAGCTGAACACTCAAGACCTTGGGATGGCCCCCCAGGTGATGAATCATGATCTGACTAGCTTGCTGCTCCTCGGTGAAATCGCCGCACTGGTAGAATCCTCCAGAGTTGGACGAGTCCATATAAAAGTGCGGCGGGCGGTTCAATTCCACGACAAGGCCACCTTGTCGTGGCGGTTCCCCATTTGGCCCAGGGTTCGGATCACCTGTTTCCAAAGTAATATTCTTGATATAAGCGAACGGATACTCGATTTTATAACCGGCAGCATCGTTGTTGATATAATAAGTCATGCATGCCTTGTCAGGGGAATAGAAAACGACCAAGTCCATGGCGTTCTGTCCAATGCGTCGCCAGCTACCGACGGTCAAGGAACGACAAGTGAAGTGAGAAATCACTAGAAAGACAAATTAGTTGCACAGACGGCGTAGCAAAGGAGGCTCTTAACATACCGACTTTGCCAGAAGGACTGGTCTCGTTCGCGTACATGCTAGGTGGGCCATATGCACCAGCACGGCCAAAGGGATCTCTTGCGCCAGGCTTGTTCGGGTCGAACTGCATCGCAAGATAGTGCCGCATGGATTCTGGGATAGAATCACATCCCTCGCCAGTCTCAATGCTCTTTTTCGCCAGCATCTTGATTTTCGCGCGACTAACTTCGGGTCAGTAAAGATAAAAGATAGAAACACAATGTTAGATAGAACCTACCGGTTTTGGAACCAGATTTGAACAGATCGTTCCGTCATATTTATGTCCGAAGCAATGCGTTCTCTGGTAGCCGCAGTAGGTGTTGGGTTCTTGTTGAATTCGATTTCCAGAAGGACAAGCTGATCCTGAGTTGCGCGTTGACGTTTGTTGTTTTTCTGTTGTTGAGTTAGGGTGCTTTTGCGAGGAGGTCGGCGCGCGGCAGAAGAATGAGCCGTGGTAGCACTTGAGGTCGACGGAGAGGGCGTGGAAGCTGGAGGCGAGGAAGAAGACGCCATGGACACACTTGCGCCGGTTGGCGGGTAATGCATTTCTGTCAACGAAGACATAATGTAACGTGGTACGGTAGAAATTGTATCGCACAAAATGTGAATAGTGTCCAAAGTAGTTAATATGCAGTTTTTTGGGTTGCGTATATAGTTTTTTTTTTTTCGGGAAGAAAAGGTACGGTGTGTGACGATCCGGCCGACAGATAATGGGATGGGTGTGATCGGAAACAGACGGAGTGTTGGGAATCTTAATTCTCTCGAAGCAGCCACAGGCGCGAGAGTGTCAAGTTGAAGATGTAAAACGAATGAAAGTCTAGCGTAGGAATCTCGCGTTCGAGGGTGTCCACGTCAGAGACTGGGTGGTTGGGTTGAAAGGGCGCGTCGCAGAGGCGTCCACAGAAAAAAAGAGAGGAGGGGATAAATCAAAAGGCTGGCCTAAGCAGCTGGAAACGAATGGCAGGGGAATAATTTCTCCCTATATCGACAAGAATCAATGAAGAATCAATGAAGATGGCTAATACCCGGGTTGAATCGATCAACGGGGCGGGAACGGGAGGGGGGCAAACCGTTCTCGAGGAAACGAATGAATTGGGTAGAAAGAGTGATATAACGTCGCCGTGAAAGAATGAAACGGACGCAAAAGAAAAGAAAAGAATGGAGGGAATAAGAAACAAGAAACACCAGAAGAAAGCGGATCAGGAGATGATGGGATGCTGACTACACGGGGAACCGGGCATGACATGGACACACCGGGGGCTTTCTGAACTATTGGCACCTCGTGGGGGCCCCATTGTTTTTTTTTTTTTTCTTCCGTCAGGGCCTCGATTTCTCAGTCTTTTTTTAGTTCTCTTACGACTTTTTCTTGTTTTTCTCCTTATATGGGGTTGTACCAGAAAATCTAGTGGTTTCCCATCTGGGTCCAGTATACGAAGTATGAAATGGAAGTGGAGGGGAGACTGATTTGGGCCCCTGCGTCAACGTGCATAAGCCCAAGCAGCAGACGGAGTACGGAGGAGAGAGAAATAAGGGCACAGACTGACCATTGTTTTGGAGAGGGGGTACGAGTGTTCCCCTTACTCCCTTACTCGGGGCCTATTGTCTTGCTGTGTTACTCTCAGGGGCACGTCTAGTACTCCGTACACAATAGGAAATGGTGGCGTCAAATGAACCACAGAAAGTACATCGCTTGGATGCGAACGGCATCCACGTGAGATCGGGGTATCTGAAACATATTCCTATGTCAATGCGTTTGACAACGAAGTGTATAAAGCGCGGACGTGATGAGTTTCCCCTGGACAGAGAGGAGTTTCCCCTGATTCGAGAATAAGTCAGCCACAGGAACAGGGTGCAGTGACTATTGGACACCCACAGTTTCTAGGGGGCTCATCCAGTGAACTGAGCCAATAAGCATGCAGTTACACGTGCAGTGCCGCGGACCAGAAGGGAACATTCAGGTACCCGCCCCGTCATTGATTATGATTGGTTCAGGGGACATGACAGGTCATTCCAGGCCCTGAACCCCGACCAGTCTTGAATTCAGCCCTCCGTCATATCCGGATAGTCTACGGAGTATCAGATACTATACTCTTTAGACACTGTACATTGTACATTGGAGTATGTTGGAGTGTAACTACATTGAATTTATAATCGTCCATTCATCAATGTCCAAACTAGGGCATTGCATTCAGCCTCCTCTCTCAGTCTAGCGCTGGCTCCTTCGGTGCTTTATCTTGCTTCGGCTACTGCATGTACGTAGTAATATTCGAGTCTATTGGCCCGACATATGCAGCTGCCCTATCTTCCATTGTTGACATGCGAGATCCCGGCATGTTCATCTAGGTAGAGACTCAACATACCATACCCCTTGGACCGTTCATTGTTTCATGCGCGGCGAACCGGTTCATTCATAATTACCCGAGGGGGAAGTAAAAAAATAAAAAAATAAGAATAAAAAGCCCCCCGAAATATAAAATTAACTTCGTTAGAAGATGAAGAAACAAGCCCTTCTATCAAGGGCTTGCACATAATTATCCACTATTGACAATTCAATCTCCCTCGGCCAACCAGATCCACTTCCCAATTCCCGTAGTTTATCCGTTGTTTCCCAGATCTGTTCAATAAGGTCCATTGCCGAGTTCCGCTGTTGCTCCCTGTAGTAAGCCGTCATAGACTCATGCTTCTGCCGAACCCATGCACGGTCCTCCGGCAATATAGCCTCCCTCGCAGCAAGGTAAAATGGCTGAGGCAGCGATGAATCGGGTCCACACCCTGTCGACAGATGATCCATCAGCCCAAAACACACATGCACCAAATGCTGCACCCGCGGCGAGCATGTTTGATCTCGAAAAACCCGACGCGCAAGTAGTAAATGCGCAGTCCAGTAAAAGCACTCGGTCAGGATATCCAGTGGTGAGCGCTCGCCTGGCATTGGCAGGGCTCCACTATATCCGGATCCCCAGGCTCGAAGCTCAGTGTCGAGTCGGAATGCCTCGTTGAGCATGGCGCTTTCATCTGTATTTGTTTCAAGTCCCTCGCTCACGTCGCAGGCTAGATGCGCTATTCTTACTAGGAAGCACATCAGTGGCTGCGGACATCCTGTCATCTTGTAAAACGAGGGCTCCGTAGTGTCCCAGCGATCCTGGTTGGGCTGGTTGAGTATGAAGTTCCGCGGTGCATACGGCCTTCGCTGTCGTGAGATTGCTAGCATTACGTCGACCATGCCAAAGCGCTGTACTGCCATGCGTGTGATGGAGTTTTGTGGTATTTCATCGAAGTAGCCTAGTGCTTGCATGAGCCAAGCAGCACATTTAACGTGGGGCTCCAGTACGCCGTCTGCTGTTTGCGCAACGACGATCCCTTGAAGGACAACTGCCGTGAGAAGCGCTTCTCGCTCGTGCTTGTTGTTCGCTACGACTGCACCTGTGTCGCAAGCTTCTTCGGCATTGATACTGAGCAGGTTTTGTCCGAGTGTTCTGAGCATTCGCTGCTGGCGCTGGGCTGCGATGTCAATGCTGGCTAATCCGAAGTTAAGCATATGTTCTGTCGATATGCAGACGATGGTCTCGAGAAGGATTGGTGATGACAGGGCTGGTATTGAGAGTTGCCGGTAAGGGTTTTCCGGGCCATCTACAGCGGGGACATTGGATGTAACGAGGCTTATGTCTGTCCAAGTAAGTTCGATTAGATATTCCAATCCCAATTACATACCGTGAGATCACATACAATATTCCCAGGCAGATTTATCTTCTGCAGAATCAAAAAATGTCTCTGCGAATAGTGCTGAAGGCCGACCTAGCATGTTGTGTTCGATTGCTCGACGGGTACCTTTGCAGCGAGGCTTATGCCTTGTGGGCATTGGCTCTTTTTGTTGAACCCATTTCACACCCGATGAATATTTGCAGTCTAAATTCCGCGAAACACAGAATGAGCAAACTGGCTGTTGCTCGTCACATTTATTGTGCTTTTTTCGGCATTGGAGACATCCTGTTCCAAATTTATATCAGCACTTGTACTTCGCCCTGGTACAAACATGCGTACCAGTCCGTGACCGTGAGAACTTGTCGCCTCCAGGCATTACGACCGAACAAATAGTGCAATATGGCCATGATAAGAGTAGGAGCAAGGATTATATATTGCCGGGCTCTGGGGTATCTTGTTGCCCCGCAGCCTTATCTCTATTATTACGGTCACCTGATGGTTGACCAATTACCTTGCTTCAAACTCGAGGCGATAGGTATAAATTGCAATGTCAATGGATGGGACGAAATCCATAAGATATGATAGGACTTGATGTATCCATCATAGTTCACCAGAAGCGAGGATGAGGGAGGGAAAAATGGCTATGGCGAACGCTTTTGGATTTGCTAGCAAGACTACTTTTCCGCCTCTATATATATACCGCGACATTGATCTATTGTACAGCAGCAAAAAAGTTTTACCGAACATGCTCGAGTACTTATGCATTGTGACTCTGAAATCGAGTGGCAATTATGAAACCAAATAGCGAGAAGATATCATAGACTAATCCGCCAAAAAACATCTATCCCAGAACCTGCTGTATAACCCGAACAGTTCGGTCGACAATCTCATCAATCTCCTCGCGAGTGGTATTATAGGCCGGCGCCAGAATAATATGATCACCTTCAGCACCATCGATACCACCATTTCCAGGCATCAACGAAATTGCATTTTCAGGCTTGAGACCTGTCGCGTGCAGCGTGCGAGAAAGAGCCTTTGAAGGTGGGAATGGCGCTTTCGTCTCTTTATCTTGAACAAATTCCATCTATAATCATGTCAGTGCAGACCAACCAGAAGAATGGATATAAAGAGAACTAACCGCCCAGAACAAGCCTCTGCCTCGAACTTCGCCCACGTGAGGGTGGCTATCCAAGCGTTCGTGAAGACGCTGACCCAAATATTCTCCCATCGCCCGCACATTGGGCAGCAGATTATCTTCTTGTATAATTTGCTGCACCTTATATGCAGCCGCACAGGCAACTGGGTGGCCCTGGTATGTCTGACTGTGCATAAAAGCACCAGTACCTTTGCTCAGAGTATCAACAACGTGCTTGTTAATGAGTAACCCGGCGACCGGAGCATAGCCGGCACCGAGTCCCTTGGCAATTGTTTGGAGATCAGGGACAACGTCTTCTTGCTCCCAAGCATGGAGTGTTCCGGTACGGCCCATGCCGGACATCACTTCGTCTAGAATGAAGAGCGCACCGTGTCGCTCGCAGACGGCTTTCAGTGCTTTGAGGTAACCAGGCAAGGGGGCACGCAGCCAAGTGTCTCAAAGACTGTTAGTATGTTTGGTATTGTGGGATTGGCTTGTACTCACAGCACCTGTCATAGTCTCGGCTACAAATGCACAGACGGTGTTGGGGCCGAGTCTTTGGAATTCGTCCTCCAGTTCTTGAGCAAGTCTTGCGACATAGTCTTCGTTACTTTCATTGACATGCATTCCACGGTATGGATAGCATTGAGGCACGTGGTGGATATTCTTCGACAGAAGGCTTTCATAGATCCTTCGACGGAAGGCGTGGTGTCCGAGCGCAAGGGACCCCAGAGTATTTCCGTGGTAAGAAGACTTCCGAGAAATGAAATTGACCCTCTGGGGCTCAGGGGTAGGCAACTCTGTAAAATACTGAATGGCCATCTTCATGGCAGCCTCAATAGCTTCGGTACCTATTATGGTTTTAGTAACCAATCTTGGTTCAGCATGAATAATAGACTTCTTACCCGAGCTCACAATGTAGGCACGAGACATCTTGCCTCCAGTTGAGTCTACCAAAAGCTTTGCAAGGCTCTCCGCAGCACTGTTGGTGAAGAACATGGAGTAGCAGTAGGGGATTTTCTTCAGCTGGTCCAAGATGGCTTCGTGGACACGCTCGTCGCTGTGGCCCAGACAAGATACAGCTGCACCGCATGTTGCATCTAAAATTTCCAGACCACCATCGGTTATCAGGTAGCTGCCTCGACCGCCGACGATGTTCAAGGGCTCATTTCGCAGCTGGTGGTAAAGGACTCCGCTAGATGATTTGATGCCAGCGACCTCGACCTGCTTCTCGGAAGGAGTAGGCACTGTAGCTGCTACCACGTCTGGTGTATAGTCACCCATTGTATGGACTGATTACTCTGAAGGGGCTGGTGTATTGAAAGAGAAAGGCTGAATCAGGCGATGTTCACTGAAGACGTTGGACTTGAACTGGTGCTTATGCTGGGGGGGATGGGAGTTATATACGTACTCACTCCACAATGGCCAAGAATCAAGCTGCAGAATTATGACACCGGGACTTGAAAAACAGCCTATACACAACGCCGTGATTGGCGAGTCTCACCTTGTCGCTCATTTTGAAGTTCATACTTGCCTGCGATAAGCTAATCCCAAAGAGGAAATCTTTGTCGGACCCACGTTCATTGACTTCAGCGTAAATTTGATAGGCTGGACAATTCGTGAGATAGAGCTTATTGATAAGAGAAAATCTCTGGGGATCGCGCTTTGATTTCAAAATTGATTGACCGGTTACACAGGTGCATAATAGACGCCATAGAGGGGTATCGGAAAGACTTTCGAGGACCGACCACATACAGGCCATCAGAGGCCACCGCGCCAACCTATATCATTAGTCGCTTTATTCTCACCTATAGACCTAGATCTATATGCTTTTTTTGTTTCTCGTATAGCTCTCATTGGATCTAGATCCATTCAAATATATAGAGGAAGCTCCACGGCAATATATCAATATATGTTCTACTATATAAGCCGCTACATGATCTACAAATTAGGAAAAATCAAACGGGTTAAGAAGTTTCCAAGGCTATATCTAAGAATCTATTATTATTATTAATCGCCACATTGTTACCTAGCGATGTAGGTCTTCTCAGGTTATACACAGCACAAGTCTTGCATGTTTACGCCGTACTTGGCATTATTAGGCTCTATAGTGCTACCAAGTAACTTGTTATCAACGAACTTTTACAATTCTACGGAGTATGGAAAAGATAGATCGATGCTTAGCTCCCCCAGGGATAACTCTATAGGTCCCCGGCCCCGGGGCGGGGTGGCCCCGGTTGTGATTAGTTGGCCACTTTTCTGCTAGTCAAAACCGGCACCTGGTTGGCGCGATGTTTAAAACTGTACGGTCACAGCACAAACAGACATCGAGTAAAAGAATGCTCAATATATGTAAGTGACCTCGGAAGCCACACCAGATAACCCTGATGCAGCTTTCCACCAATGGCACCTCAGTCAAACTACCCCTCATTGATATGCCACTCAATTGTTCTCCGCAATCCCTCTTCCATCTGCACAACCGGTGCCCATCGTAACACTTCTTTTGCCAACGTGATATCCGGCCGACGGACTGTGGGATCATCTACCAATGCTGGCAGATACGCAACAGAGACGGGTGGCCGGCCAGTCATCCGTGAAACAAGCCCGATGACGCTTTCAGCTAGTTCCTGAATAGTGACTTCCCCATCATTACCGATATTCACTGGGCCTTTGCTATAATCGCTTTGCATCAGAGAATACAGGCCATGCGTACAGTCGGTAACATATTGAAACGAGCGGGTTGCCGTGCCGTCGCCGGTAAGAGTTAGATCTTCGCCGGCCAATGCAGATGTGATGAAGCTTGCAACGACGCGGCCGTCGCTCGCCCTCATACGCGGGCCGTACGTGTTAAATATCCGCGCGATGCGAATATCGACGTTGTGTTGCTCTCGGTAGGCGTAACAGAGGGCTTCGGCGACACGTTTCCCTTCGTCGTAGCAGGCTCGTGGGCCGAATGAGTTCACATTGCCCCAATAGCTCTCGGGCTGGGGGTGGACTGTGGGGTCACCGTAGACTTCTGTTCTCATGGGAGCCCCCTTGGTTAGGCGCATATCAAGGGATAGAGGTGTGCACTGCTAACCTGAGGTGCTGGTGTGCAGAATGCGTATATTTTTGGATCTCGCAAGGTCTAGCAGATTTTGAGTACCGAGGAAACAAGTATTCAAGGTAGAAACTGGGTCTTTTTGATAATGAACTGGGCTTGCTGGGCAAGCTAGATTGTAGATCTGGTCGATTCCTTCAAGCTCTGGAAGAGGATCTTGAATACCGTGACTGGCTTTTAGTCAGAGACTGGCAGGCTTGTTTCTCATAGGGGAGCAGGGTAAGATTACTGAAGAAATTCAAACCGGGGATTGTTTTCTAGATGGCTCAAATTTTGCGATGAGCCACTCTGAAAATTGTCGAGCCCAATCACTGTATATCCAGTCTCAAGGAGCAGATCGACCAAGTTTGATCCCAAAAAGCCCGCTGCCTACATATTAAATACCCCACATGTTAGAAATATGGTGCCAATTTGTCTTGATTCTTACTCACTCCTGCCACAAGCACTTTGGGGGGACTTTTCGTGTCATCCATCGAGCTCACTGGTATATCCTCTGCCGTCTGAATGTCACCGCAAGAGAAGAAAGGAAAAGCAATACAGAAACTGAGTTTAAATACACCAGAATGGTGGAATTCCTTCTGGGGCTGGAGATAAACGAGGCCGTGCGATCTACATGTGGCATTCTGTGTAACATCCAACTACTGGAGATGTGGCTGGCTGTATGTAACCTGTTGCCTTGGATCGTGTGGAACTATAAGACATATCGACGCATTTGAGTACAGATGGCTGAACGCGAACGGTATATATCATCGAAGATCTCAAAGGATAGTACGGAGTACAACATAGGCAAAGGGTCTGCGCATTGACCTTTTGCAGTCAGCCACCTTCTTTTACTGCGTACGTCAGAGCCACCCTCTATTTGCCTTGCATGTATACTCCGTAGTTGACTAGACAATTCTATCTGACATGTGTTTTGATTTGATACAATGACCATGTCAATTCTCAGCCTGAGACTTCATTAATCTCAAATCCTCATGGTTGAATGCCGAGCAGGTCACAATGATGACTTGTGTTAATATACAGGAAAACATAAATAGAACACATGAACGTCCATCGCTCGATGACAGGCGGCACTACGGCAGATATTATATATCGTGATCGTGCAATGTGCAACGGCGTTGAACAGATCTATGAGACTGCCTCGGGGTATCCACCTTCCCGTACCGCAGTGTCACATATATGCTAGGCAAATTTAGTAAATTTGATAGAGTTAGTATATGGAGAGGAGCACGACATACCTCTCGTCTGATCCTAAAGTCCTCGTAAAGTCCCAACCAAAGGTTTTTGACCCGGCAGTCATCTCTATGGCCAGAGGCTGGGTTCAACTCGCATTGAGGCTGCGATTCTTCGACCACACCAGGGAGAGCTTTGATCCATGGCTACCGACAGAAGTTAGCATTCTAGAATTATCGACGACCGATGTCTATTTTCGATGTCTGACATACCTTGGGAACAGGCCAATCAGAAAAATGCAAGTATTTGGCTTCTTTAAAAACCTGTTCAGCATCCCACGGTTTGCCTGGATTACCTAGATATGCCTCGTGCTTTTTGGAGCGGAACTCCCCAGTTAGAAGAATATACGGCCGATGCGGTATAGTAAGCGTAGTATCTTTGTACATGTTGTTCATGATCTCCATGTCAAAGGTGCTAGAGTTGGCGCTGGACATTGCATCCATCGTGCGATCGAAGGCAGCTGCTGACGGTTGAATGAGGATAAGGGCGGTTGTAAAAGTCCTCTTGTTCGGATACATCCAGTATGCCAAGGGCATAGCGACGGGACTAGACGGGGCCAAAAATAACTCGTCCATGGTCTGAATATAAGTCAGGTTTTGTTGCAACAGGCAAGTCCATTACTGATATGCACACCTGTAAGATAGTTGCATCTGAATCCAAGTTCAGAACCCGGTCATACTCCGTTTGGTTGAACGCGAGCAATTTTGTGTAGCTCTTTGACCACGTCACTGGTAAATGCATTGCAAAGTCAGTTCTATATTGAATCATAGCCGCATTCTAATCCAGTGCTATGCAACACTGGATGAGCTGGATGAGCTAGAATCCCTCACCATCACTCCCCGACTTCATCTGTATCTCAACTGGCTTGAGCCTGACTCCATAATGATCCTGTGCATAGCGAAGCATATTGCTTTCCCTTGAATCGGCTGTTTTGGATACGGACCAATCTGATGGGTACATCAACACGCGATCGGCTTTGCTTCCAAGCCGGTGGAGGCTCTCGAATAGCATGACCGAATTGCACAAATAAAATCGGTCGGTGGCATATTGAGTGTACGCAAATCGCGACCAGTCGACAGGTTTCCCGGCTTCGACAGCAAAGTCATTATTAGGATTGCCCAAACGGCTCGTGGCTCGAAGTTCTAGCAAAGTCATAGCTCCCAAACAAGTAGCCACAACCACGACGATAGCACGAAGCAGTTTCGGAGATACCGTGGTCTTGCTTAACATCATCGCGATGGATAGGGCTCTACTCCAAGAGATTCTCCAGCTCTCTGTCACTCATTGGCGCAGCGATACCATTTAAAAGTGCTCTGTAATAGAGCAGTCCATGCCAAGATCCTTTCAAAAGAATAATCAAATGTTGGAAAGCGTTTGCAAAAGTGGCGCACGCTGGGAGTCTTCCTCACTTGGCCCCACGGGGTCGTTTCAAAGTAAGCGCTAGGCGTGATTGCTCGTTGTGGACTGGTGATTGGTGATGGACTGCCACACCAAAAGAATTTCGAGGCCCTGCTTGGACAATGCCTGTGGGTCTTCTTTAGTTTGTTTGTCTATCACCAACTTCTCGAAAGCTACTCCGTACATTCGCGCCATTATGCACGTGCTATTTTTTTCAATCCCAGGCTAGACTCGAGCTCAGGCCGCTAATAAAAAGAATTTTATAGGTACATAGGAGGGGTGCTAGGTTGCTTGGAGGAGGCTGATATCCAGTGCTATTCCATTTACTAGTTGGAATTGGTTTGGGGGGTCTTGGGCCTTCGCTATCTGAACTTCTTTGGGGCCGAAGTTATGCTGTTATTTACAAGGATCACGAGTCAACTCAACTTGGGAAATAAGTTCTCGACAATCCGTTAAAGATATATTTCTCGTTTACCAGACCTTGACCCGTGCGGTTATTTATTTCTGACCCCGATAGGGCCCTGACAGGAGGACCACTAATGAAGAAAAAGTTGGGGGTAGAGTGTTTCTTTTACGGTTCTATCAAGTGCCAGATATTTAAATTTGAGATGAGGGATGAAATGCTTCCCTAGGTGACAAAGATGACTACATCCAGCAAGCCTCCAGGGCTATCTTGCCATATAACAGAGACCGTGCCTGTCAGCCTCACCTGGGACTAGCGGCTCGCAAAGCCCAACCCAACCCACAGGCCCTCTCATAGCCCATTTCGGGGGTTCCACTAGTTATGATCGCTATATTCTGACCCGTCTACTAACTGTATGGACTTGAAATTTAAAATACATATTTTGATATCGGAGATTTATTTGAGATAGAATACTTCGCCTATAAGAGTGACTCACAACTTCTCCCCTGTAAGACGAACCGTTCTCACACTGACTCATTTCCGCAACTTGCCGATTGCGCAGAACCATCTAGAAATCAGCTACCGAATATATCAAGTTACCAAGAGATCTGACTTTCTTTCCAACCCCAACAGTTCCACCCCAAAATGGCATCAATCTCAGTCTTCCCCTTCCACGTGGAAGGGGCATCAAACGAACGTGTCAAGCTCATCCCATTCAATCCAGAGCAACACTGTGAAACGTTCTTCCGCCTATCATCGCCGCATCCCGAAATCTACGCACATATGCCCATGTGTCCCCCGGCTTCAGCAACCGAGCTCAAATCCCTGTTCTACAGCGATTCCCCGAGTCACATTCTGTCCTTCTCCAACCCAGAATCATTTGCATTTGCCATCATAGACAAGACACGGCCACCATCCCCAGAAGACTCTGAAGGTGAACTGGCTGGTACTGTGAGCTTTATCCGTACCTCGCCGATAAACCTGTGCGCAGAGATTGGATTTATTGTCATCCTGCCTCCTTACCAGCGAACCCATGTGGCCACTAATGCTGCTGGCCTCGCTCTACAGCTTGCCTTTGAGTCTGCAGAGAAAGGTGGTCTTGGATTACGCAGAGTAGATTGGATGGCTAGCACGATGAACCTTGCTAGTGCTCGACTTGCGCAGAGGATGGGATTTGAAAAGATCGGAGTCATACCGTGGCATATGCGGTTTGTGAAAGGGAAGACAAATGGGAAAGTGGGACATGGCAAGGAACCGCCGCCTGGAAGTGATCCTGAGGATTTGTGGCGCGACACAGTCAGTCTTTCTCTGGCGTGGGATCAGTGGGAGAATGGTGCGAGGGAAATGGCGGCGAAGGTTATGGGGAGATGAGTAGATTTTGTTGATGACTTCACCGAGAACAGTTGCTGGTAGTTAGGGATGTGTAAACTGCTTTGATTTTGCCGACGGGTTATCAGTGATTTCAGGCAATTTGCCCACAAATCCCAATGACCTTGTTGGTTCAACTAGTACTAACACTCTACTCTATCTATACCGGCAGCAGGTTTTCCGTAGATTATATGAAGTAGGGATGATGAGTCATTCTATGTTTTCTTCTTGTATATGAATGGGATAGGGTATCATAATAAACATCCAAGCAGAAAGAAATCGCGGGGCGTACTTGCGTGTAGCAGAAAAAGAAAACCATGGTGACCAGAGCTCCGATAATCATGGTCCCCCGACGAGCTCAAAGCCAGGAGCGACAAATGAATCCCGCCAGAAAAGGGCCGAAGATTCTACAGATATTATAAATGACGTAGTTCCACCAGGCAATGTACGGGATACCCTGTCCGAAAGTTGCGCCCCGCGAGGCAAGATCAGTGGGAAGAGACACGTTGTAAAACGGATAGGCGAGGCCGATGAGGAGCCATGAAACCCAGACCAGGAGACGTTGAAAGAGCCATTTTGCGGGTTGCGAAGAGTCCACGGAGATGCAAGAATACTTCGCTTAGGGAGATGAGTATCAGAAACCAACCATCGCCTGGGGCTCCACGACCAGCGGGTTGTCCACATGCCTAAAGCCGTTCAATGATGAGGCTGCATGGGCGGTTGTGTCGGTCGGCGATGTCGCATAGAATGTGTACTGCTCGCTCATCTCTTTCTTCGGACATTAGGAACTTAGGGGTTTCTTAAGGATGGATTATGGTCGCACGAGCCTTCACTCGCATTGATGCCTCGCAGAGGGCCAGAGGAAATGGCGCTATTCCAAATTCATCCAAAATTTCCTGTGCACTTGAGATGCTGGGACGGGGAATATCTGCACACTTGGTTCCTGGCTTTATAGGTATCATGACGGTGGAGTTTCGAGAGGTTATTATAATGTCGCTTATAGGAGAAGAAGAACACATAGCCTGGTTCCCAAAGCGGAAACTTAAGTCTCAGGATTCAGACAGCGGGGAATATCAAATTTGTCAGAACATAAAGAATTTGATAAAATGACAATCGCGATGGTGCATTGTCCTAAACCAATTGTAATATTATCCTTCCCTCACGCCCTGGGCATATCTTCATGTTTGAGATCACCGCACAGCCATTCCTGGATTCTACGCGAGCGTGACCAAAAAGGTTGAGGCCAATTGGATCATTCAAAGTATTGACGTCAAAGCATTGATGAAAAAGGGCTCGGGGTAGTGCATTTAATGTGGCTACCCATCCTCCTTTCCCAGCAGAGTGGCTTGTTTGCCTGGGCATGGATGTACCCTTGGCCTGTTTGCCTTTCGAAGCACTCAATGAGTACTTATGTAGCCGAGTGCGAGCTTACTCATGTACTCTGTACTTATCTGTTGAGCCGGGGGACTTTGATCATAGACTCGAGGCAATACGCTAGCTGTCGAGTATTCTAGATCAACCCCTTCGTTGAGGATTGGGCTAGTATATTTCTTTCAAGACACAGGGCGACTTCCGACCATCAGATGTCCCTTTGATACCAAGCATTGCCAGATGTGGAGCTGGAAAAGCAGAGGGAGGGTTCTTTAATCATCGCATGTATTGTTCGAGTCCATGGTAGCACGTAAGATGCTGGAGGATTGCGTCTTAGCACGTAACCTCGAGAGCCCAGCCCTGTCAGCAAGGCAATCCAGAGGCTTCTCTTAGCCTTAGAGATAAGCGTAGTACGCAAATTTTGGAGAGCTTGCAAGATTTAAGCTAAATTGCGTGAGTTATTGCGTATATTTGCCCCGAAGAATCGCCATGTTGATGTCCTGGGGGGCCCGCTAGATAACCCTAAAGGATGCAATCAGGATTAGTGTCGGATTTGTTGCCTGGATTTCTCCTCACTCTCTGAAATCAATGCAGGATGCTTATAAGATCTGTCAGTGACGCGATTACTAGCTTCGCTGAGGACATATCTCACTAGTCGTATAAAACCGGTAGAATTGCCGGGATCACCAAAACATCTTGTACAGTTTTGAACCGGCGCACTGGGTGATCCAGCGCCACATAACCCTCCAAAACACAATGGGAACTGCAGGTGATTCTCAACAAGTGACGACCGCCTCGGTGTACAGCATAGATGCGGAGAACCAGACCAACAACACCCAGACTGAAAATGCTGTAAAGCCTGTGAAGTCATGGAAAGGTTATGTATGGGACACATGGGAACTTCCACCAGACCAACGTTGGATGCTTTTCAAAGTAGATGCTTTCGTCCTCACATTTGCATCTTTGGGTTATTTTTTGAAGAACATCGACCAGTCAAATGTCAACAACGCCTTTCTCAGTGGCATGGAGGAGGATTTAGAAATGTTCGGTAATCAACTAGTGACTAGTATGTACTTTCGCTCTCGCCCGCAACGGGCTTTCCCGTCCTTTTTGGAAAGAGTCGAGGATGTTCTGAGCATTTGCTAACAAGGATTGTGCTAGGCACGTCTATCTGGACTGTGGGATACGTTATTGGCCAAATTCCATCCAACCTGCTGTTAACAAGAGTTTCTCCTCGATGGGTCATCCCCTCGCTGGAGGTAGGATGGGGACTCGCGACTATCTGTACATCAAGCGTCAAATCATATAAAGCGCTGTATGCTTTGCGCTTCCTTGTTGGTTTCTTTGAGTATGCCACTATTCTAATCTTGAGCTTACTGCTAGCGGCCAGCTACTAACCTCGTTATAGATCAGGATTTTACCCTGGAATTCATTACTTATTGGGATCATGGTACACACCACAAGAAATCGGAAAGCGGGCAATGATCTTCTGGCTTGCCGGCTCAGTTGGCACTCTATTTAGCGGTTTTCTTCAAGCCGCTGCTTATACAAACCTGAATGGAACACATGGATACGCTGGATGTATGTGACTGTAATTCTTCTGAATTCTCCCTTCTCAGCCTTTTGACTCAATCATCCTTCACCTTCATCTCGACTCAAAGGAGAGAAAAGAGACAAACTGCTAACAGACGAGAATAGGGCGCTGGCTGTTCATTATCGATGGCATCATTACGCTACCGCTTGCGCTCGCAGGGTACATATTCTTTCCCAATCTACCACAAAGTGGCAAGAAGACATGGTGGACAACAGAAAAGGAGCATCAATTGTCAATCAAGAGAATGCAAGATATCGGACGCGCCGGGAAGCAGCCTTGGACTAGGGCAAAGGTGAAAGGAATTCTGCTGAGCTGGCATACTTATCTTCTTCGTGAGTCGTACTCTGCGCCTTGCTTGTCATGGAACCATCCTGACATCCTTTAGCATTGCTATACATCCTTTGGAACAATGGCTTGCCTCAGCCTGCGATGGGCTATTGGCTGAAAAGCTTTAATGCCCACCCTCCCCCTGTCCCCGGAACGTCTTACACTGTCGCACAGATCAATAACTGTGAGTTTGATTTGGTTCTGCACCCTAATGGATCTAGCTAATTACTTGTACAAGTACCTCTCCCTACAACCGGTGTGCTCATCGCCATGTCGTTGGTCTGGGCTTGGCTATCCGATGGGCCATGTCGTGGCGCTCGCTGGCCATTTATCTATGTCGGCGCCATTTCTACTGTATGTCGAGAGGAATTATATCTGTCGAGTGACTTTTGTGGTACGCGTATCTAACGACTACTATTCCACAGCTCATCTTTGCCTCCCTAATGATGAAGATGCCTTTCTACACAAATATCAACGGCCGTACGGTTATTTACTGGCTGAGTAATATTGGCGTGAGTCTACTATTCCACGGAGCGTTCAATTATTACATATTAACAGTGCCTTTAGGGTGGTGCCGGCCCATTGATCTTGAGTTGGATCAACGAGATCTGCTCCGAAGACACGGAAAAGCGAGCGCTACTTGTTGCGATGGCCAACGACCTTGCCTATGTTGTACAAGCAGTCGTGAGTATTTCTGTATGTTCCCTTGATTTCAAGTACATACTAACAAAGTCGAACAAAGGCGCCTAATTTCATGTGGAAAACCACAGCATTTCCCCAAGCTCCAAAAGGGTATACTTGGTCGATCGTGCTTCAAGTGTTGCTCAGTAAGAAGCCCATTCTCTGTTCCAGCCTAGTTCCTTACTGACAGTTAATTTTCAGTCCTGGGCACAGCAACTGTTCAATTCCTCTTGTGGCGCGATAAGAAAAAAGCAGCAAAGGCAGAGGCGAGTCACTCGGCTATTGACCCCCTCGAGTCATCGTCTATAGAGGGAGATACATCGGTGGGATCTAGAGAAGACGATGGCAAAGTGGCTAACACTTCTCAGGTCAAAAAATTTGGCTTGGATTAATTCAAATATACACCCCAACCCAAATTTGATATATCATTAGTTAACAAATCAAAACCAAGCACGAGCTTTGATGCTGCGTCTACATGTCCGAAGATTCACTCAAGCTTGGCCATTGCCCTCCTGCTATAATGCTGCAGTAGCGCAACTACTGTCATATCGCTTTTAAGACGATTCAGACAAAATGAAAGACTTTACGTGCCTTGATAGACACTGCGGGGTTCTGGCGACCTGCATGTATACACACCGCTTGATGGGTTCAACGGTTAAGTTGGGTTTCAAGGACTGCTCACCAACTTGACTCGAGTACTTCTTTCTTTCCTTAAAGGCATCTATTTCACTTGACCGCACCTCGTCCAAAGATGACATTCCCATACAAGCACGTCTTGCTCGTTGGAGCTACATCGGGAATCGGCAGAGCGCTAGCCGATCGTCTCATACAAGCCGGCATCAAAGTGACTGCCGTAGGACGGCGGAAACACCGTCTCGATGAGTTCATTGCAAAGCACGGCGAGGAAAAGGCTTCAGGGATGAATTATGATGTCAGCGATATTGACGCGGCTCCCCAATTTGCTGCAAAGTCAGTTGGCGATTGAGATTTTGTGAACGAACAGTATTCTGACACAAAGTTGTACCAGTGCAATCGCTCACCATCCCGATATCGACTGTGTCTTTCTCAACGCGGGTTCCCAACGGAAATACAAATTGACGGACCCTAAGGATGGGGACTTGAGCGATTTCAGGGCAGAGATGGACATTAACTTCATTAGCTACGTTGCTCTGACTCAGGCATTCATCCCGTTATTGTTGTCCAGGTCCATCCCAACGAGCTTTATATTGTGAGTCCACATTCTTCAGAACAAGAGTTTTTGGTAGACATTCTAATATGTCAAGGAAAGTACGACAACGCTTCTGGCTTTGGTGCCTGCGCCGAGAATCCCAGCCTATTCGGCCGCTAATGCTGCGTTGAACGCTTTTGTGTACTGCCTGCGAGACCAGCTGAGGGAATCGAATGTCAAAGTGATCGAGTTGGCTCCACCTCTTGTGTCAAGTAAGTGAATATCTCGGTCCAATAAGATCCCCGATTGTTCGGACGGAGAATGAAGCGTATTCTTGCTTATTATCATGCTGCTTATAGCTGAACTACACGATTATATGGGTATTGAGAAAGGACGAGCCATGGGGATGCCGGTCGAGCAGTATGCTGAAGATGCCTACCAAGCATTGAAAACGGGAAGTGATGAGATTCTCGGTGGTAGTGTTGCACCCTCGGAGGCCTTTCGGGATCTGGCAGACAGGCGTCGCAAGATCTTCGATGAGTTCGCCCCAATGCTTCGTGATGTCGATTGAAAACTGCGTCTTCAAGCGACTGCCGTTATATGTTGAATAGCTAAACCAGATCAACAATTTGAATCTCTTCAAAAGCTACCACGAGATTCAATGCGCCAAAGTACTGGATAAACTCATATAATAAGATAGTCATGTTGCCGCTCCGATGCCGCATCGCGAGTCTGCAGAAGTCAGCCAAGATCAAGTAAACAGCGCACCGAGAGAGCAACTCACAACCCAGATCCATGGAACATTGCTGCTGTCATTTTTTCTCTGTCTACCTCGGCCGTCCCAGACAGACTTGAGCAGAGAAATGGACATATGGTTACTCACTCCACCATGAGCACGGATATGGTCGAACCGCAGAAGAACGTAATGCCGAGCGTACGGAGATAAAGCGTCGGCCCCAGCCATGAAAAGTGGCATGACCACCAACTCGATCAGACGGCAGTCTGCGGGGATTTCCGCCAAGGAGTCTAAAATCGCTGTGACGGAATTTTGTATTATCGGCGCTTCAGCCGGTTCGGTGACATCCAACAAGCGAGATGTGTGCAATATGCATGCGTGACGGAATGCCTCGGCAACTGCAGGCCAGCGAGGATCATCGTTTGGGTATCTGTCAGTCCTCAACCGCCAGGAGTAGAACTCATTCCGGCAAATATTGAGGTGCCGCTCGTATTCGGTTGTTGCCATCTTGCCCATGGCATGCGCCTTGGCATATTCTATGACATTCCCCATGACCAGGAACATCTCGCGAGGACAGCCATTGACTCGCTCGAATTTCAAGTCGCTCAAAGTGGCTACAGCTTCACGAAGCTCCGGAGGGAAGCAGAGTCTTTGTGGATCTGCAAGCGAACGAATGATGTCTAGCCTAGTAGGACATGCGTTAGAAATGAGGTCTGCCAAGAACGATATGAGATTACTTGCCATGCTAGATTCCCTAGGAAGAAGATTGTTCGTTCATTTTCCGTGGAAAGTGTATCACACAAGCGCAACTGGTTGCAAATCGACAGTGCACCTGTGATATGAACTCCGTGGGTGGAGATACCCGATTCGAAAATCTTCGTTCAGATTCAGCTATCAGTTTCTTGCTTTGACATCAGATAGTGATATGCAATGTTGTCGACTCACATCCTGGAGTAACAGTATTTGGATAGTAATGAAAATACCATCCCGTTCATTTTCATCCAGCTCGCCAGATATCCTGTTACGGAGAGTGTCTCCAAGACAGCGTATAGCTCTGAGTCGATATTCAACAGCCAGGGTTTCTCGCAAATATACATCTGCATTTTTTATTCCCAGGTGGCATGCAGAAAGGCCTAGGACTGCATATAGCAGACCTATTTGTTCATACGCAAGAGGTAAAACATACACTTGGTAAGGGTTGTCCGCGCCGGCAGCTGGAAGCGCGATTTGATGTGGACATACAATCTTGTCATCTGAAATTTTGGGGTTAGCCAATGCTTGTGCAAGATTGGGAATAGAGTGAACACACAATGTGTCAACAACACCTCCGTCCGTTCTAGCATTAATAAATCATCTAACTCCACGGCTCGCCCTTCTGGCTGTGGCCAGGAGTGATCAAGAATTGGCAGTGGGTCAGTATCCTCATTCTTGCGTGGGGTCGAAGCACATAGGTGCTGCTGATTAGAATTATTATAGTTGGCAACTGGATGATCGGTTTCGATGTCTGGCTGGGTCGAGACAGCACGGTCACTGCTCACAGCAGGGACCGCCCGGTTCTTCCACTTGCCCCGGGTTGCTATCCCTGCAAAGCGGAACTTTTCCGGATATCCCTTGCACTCCAAGCCTTTGGTCACACATCTTTGACAAACGGGTTTTGTCCGGTCGCATTTGCGACACTTTTCACGGCATGTTATACAAGCCGGGCCTGGTGATCATTAGAGCCGCATCTTCTTATTGGATACTTCACAAACCTCCCGGCGGCATATCCTCTGTCACTTAATGACAACAGCTGTCGTAGAAAATTATATATATCTCTAAATAAAATTGAGATAGGGGAGAGGGAGGTTGGGCCCAACGGCGAAAAGCCGGGAATAACGCCACGTGACGGTTTCCATCGTTACTTGCTGATTGTCAATTTCCTTTTCCTTCTATGATCTGAAATGGCATCTTATAATCCGATGTCATTGTTTTCAGACTTCAATTTCCCTAATGGAAGACGAAGGTGATTGAGGCCTTTCTTATCAAGCCTCCAACAATTGTATCCCCGACGTTGGCCAACCCCGCCACAACGAATGCCGTGTTTCCTCCTTGCTTCAAAAAGGTGATCCATCGAGCTTTTCTTGCGATTTCTTAGTCTAAATATGAACATGTTTTCCCTACGCGCTGGGATTGACTAGTGTTGGCGGCAAGTGAAACACTCTAGCCCACCATTGGGTCTTGGAAAAGTGCGCCTCAAATGGAGATGCCCTACGAAGTACATTAGCCGCCATACTTCGAAAAGGTACCGACATATAGGAATGTTAGTGTCGTTTCATCATATGCATCTAGCGACTCAGGAGGCTATCTTTAGGATGCTCTAATCTCAACAAATGAGGCTCGGTCGTTCTCGGCTCCCGTCTCTTGGTTAGAAAGAGAACTATGCATTTCATTCGAGATCCCAAGAGGCCCCAGTGCCCGAGATTCAGCCACGCAAATCTGACCCTGCTGTGATTTGGTAAATCGATGCGTTGTAAAGCTCCTGGCGCCTTGCCTGACAAGTTGATCACCAGTTGGACTGACTCTAAATACCAATGGATCTCTGTCCTAGAATCTAAACGCGGCTCTTTCTTCTCTTACTATTATAATGCAACCTTGATTTACCTATATCTGAGCTCCTCTTTGGATCATGCGGCTAATTCGAATATTCGATGAGCACAAGCATATGTTTGTCTCATCGAAAAGCATTCAAGACCATGACAACCAATCCCCACCATCCAACTCCTGGATCGAGCATCTTCTATTTATCCTCCTCATTGTCCCTTTAGCGCTGAGCATTCTTCTGCTATACAGTGATGCCTCCAGTTGGCATCTGCCAGACAACTTGTACGTTTTTGTGAATACAAATCGAACATCAGTTCAGACAGCAGTCCAGATTTTCGGTGCGATCCTGGCAGCTATTGAAGTCTTCGCACTCTGTCGCCTGATCAACTTGACAACTCGAGTTAGATTTACACAAACTCCAGTCTCCCTCAACGTGCTTGGATTCTGGTCAGCACTATCGACTCCCTCGACCAACTTCGGTCTGCCATTCTGGATGATTACCATCACAGTGCTTTTCGGCAATCTTTCTGCTGTCATATCAGCACTATGGACTGGTGCCTTGACACCCGCAGATGCTATCGGCACCCAACACTCTTCCTTGTTCATTCCGGATTGGTCCGACTTAAGTTTGATCAAAGAATACCCTGGCCAGATCGACAAGACAGGGTTGACAATTCGTGAGACAAAGGGTTACTTTACCTACTCGGTGGGTCTAGGCCTACTGGGCTCACTGTTATCCTCCGTCAACTCCGCCTCCCCAATCAACGGCGACGTTCGAAATCACCCCAAACTCGATAACACTCGATACAATTATCACGGCCGGTCTTACGGAGTTGGCGCAAGCGCCGGCCTCTCTGACGACAACCTTGTCGCCATACCTCACATAAAAAACTACACCTTCAACGAAATAGGTCTGGACGCCTCCGTTGATTGCATCTACAATACTAGCTCGATGTTTTTCATTCAAGTCCTTCCGCAAACCAGTCTCCACGCAGCTCGCGGTTTCCTTCCCGACAGTAACCTCAGCGCACCCGAATATTCGGTCTATATCGGACGAGGCGACGATGCAATAGTTTCGTTGGGGGTGGCGGCGTCTCCAATCGCATACACTGCAAAGCGGTACATGGCCATCGCTGCAGGGAACTACTATAAGAACCTGGATAGAGTCCAGTGTGCTGTAACATTTAACCCGGCCCTATTTAATGTTTCGGTCGATATTCAAGGACGGAACATCAGCGTTAGCAAAGTGAACAGGTCCGAATCATCAGTGGGCCCAGTCCATGATATCGATCCCCATCACAATATTACTCATGTGGTCATGCGACAACTCGAACTCATCGCCAACGATCTGACCAGTTACTATCGCTCGACCCTTGGCGATGCCTTCAATGCTAGCATTAGTGATTATCGCACCTCCGTCGCTGGTGGAAATCTAAGCGAGACGCAGGTTGTGATGAAGGGAATGGAGAACGCAGTTACCTCCTTGGTTGACGATATTCTGGTTGCATATGCGTCAGCTCAATTGGTCGTCGGGGAATTCAAGAAGTCCACACCCGTATTGGTCCAGGTCGCTGCGCTGCGCGTCGGATCGCGGGCCTATGTCATTGCCAGTGCGGTGATCACGGGATTGATTGCGCTTCTGGTTATCGGGGAGGGCTTGCGAATGCGATGGTGGAAGGATCTTCCTTCTTTTGATTATCAGGATAATCGAGCGTTGATTGTGGGTGCATCTAGGGGTGGGAAGGGTGTGGCGGAGTATGCCGAGCAAGTGAAATCTAAGGATCTTGGTAGGGTCCCGGTGATTTGGAGGAAGGGACAGGAATCGTGGGATCATGGGGAAATAGTTTTCCAGCCCATGCTGGATGACTCAAAAGAGGATATTGAGGATACAGCATCTGATAGGACTTCAGTTGCTTGGATATGAGGCTAAAACGGAGCACAACATTGGAGAATAATAGCATGGGGTTTAGCAAGCGAATCGAACATGTACAAGTATCTGTTACTGAGATTATATTTCCTGGGACTGTTATCGCATTCCTGGCCGTTGACATTGCATCCTCCCTGTAATGGACCATTGTGGTACATGCAACAGCAGAAAAAGAGTACTGTCAAGGAAGGGATTGGGCCTTCCTTTGCCGCCCAGACTTACTGTCACAGTCTCGACCGCAATGAGAAAGCCGTAAGGCGCATTTATCTTCAGCTTCTGGATATCAGGTGACACGCGGTTGAGTACACCCCCGAGTCTCCGAGTCATCATTGGGCTGACTCTTGTTGCTCTCACACCTGGGACTTCTCTACCCTACTCACCCCTTAATCCTACATTGGCTTTGGCCTTTGGTGTATTAGATCAATTGCACAACCCAGGTTTGTCACGTCCAGTACCAATGAATATCAAATCGTACATCGCTCACAAGCCGAATAGCCCTCTCGTACGAACACTACCATCCCTACTACAATCAAGAAATCATTCATCAAACACCAACAATGCAACAAATTCTGCTTATTCTGAATTCGCTCGCCTCATTTTCTTCCGCAGCAGCCGCATTAATTTCCACTGCAAAGCCTGCGTTGCTGTCAAACTCACCTCACGTCACCAATGGCGAGCGCTTCTATCAGCGTATGTATGCGGTGCGCGCTGTGCCATTAGAAGTACTGACGGCGATTCTCCCATTCTATCTCGGTGGTCCGGCAGTGGCATCTATCATCGGCGCTGCTGCGTTTGTTCAAGCAGCGGATGTGGTGATTGGTATTGGTAGGAAGGATGCAGGGATGATTTTCGGTGCTTCATTTGCTACAGCGGTTCATGTTCTATGTTTCTTTTCTATCTCATGAACCAATGTAAAAAAAGATATTGTAAAAGCAGGACTGAAGATATTGGAAATAGAAAAGCGAAAGCTAACAGAACTTGATGAGGAACATATATACCTACCTGGCTTCTTGAAGGTGCGACCTTCGCCGCAGCCACCTTGTCGATCCACCAATACTCTACAACAGAACTTACAAAACCAAGAGAAACCATGTCAAATCTCTAAATTAAAAATAACTGGGCGAGGTAAGAAATATGTACTGGTCCTTGACCGCAAGAAGGGGGAATCACACGTGTACAATGAAAGCCCGATATGTAACGCGAAAGACGAGACTGCCAACAATATGAGTCGGGGTATCTTAGAACTGACGGTCGACTGTGCAACAGACCGAACAGCGAGCAAAAAGGAAAGAGACCACGAAAGTGTGGACAGGAAGCCAAAATCAAACGCCTTTCGATGCCCGAGGGGATCGTATGATAAGGGAATGGACAGGAATCGCGTATGCAATCGCTATGAAAGAGAGAGAAAGAGTCCGTGAAAATAAAAACAACAGCAGAAGAGAAAGAAAGGGGGAAAACGGCCACGTTACACATGTACAAATTGAATCTTGAATCTTGAATCATTTGAGCTGGCCCTTGCGCACAGCTCCATAGCCCTTGCTGAAGAGCTCCTGAATCTCAACGGAGCGTCGACGTCCGGTAGCATCTTCGGGACAGAGGAGGCCAGACTGGCGACCACGGTCCGTTTCGGCATTCAAAGCATCGCGACTCGGCACACTGCTGTTGTGACTAACCGTCGCGCTGGCGCTGGTATACCCATCGAGCTCTACTTCCTTGGTGTCGGGCTTGGAGTCCATAACGCGGGGGCGGGCAAGTAGCTCGCGCACCTGGCGTTCGCGGGCTTCAATCTCAGCGAGCTCGGCGTTTTCGCGGGCGATCTCGAAGCTTGATCTCTTGGTACCGTGGTCCCAGCCCTGTTGGAGTTCGGAGGCGGCTGCTTCTTCGAAGCGTCTGCGGATGTCGAGGTCTTGTTCGTATTCTTGGAAAAGGTCGACGTCTGTTGGGAAGAAGAAGGCGCGAAGAGCTGAAACTGTAAATTCAAAGAGGAGGACTGCTGAGGTGGAGAGAAGGAGGACGGTCCAAAAGAGGAGGTTGTGGCCGGAGTGATGGATGAAGTTGGAGGGGAGGAAGTAAATGCCTTTGCCGGAAGACATTGTGTATTCGCGGTCAAGGATAAGGTCCCACACGAACCAGCCGCCGACGGAGATTATTATCACGGCTAGCGACATGTAGGTTTTGTTGTGGACTTCCAAAGCTTGGAGTTTGACATTGATGACAATGATGCACGCGGAGAAGGTGAGTAGGCCTAGGGAGAAGATGTCGTTGTCGCTGGGGTTGACTTTGGCAAGGCCGAAGAGACTCCACATGGTGAAGAAAATTATCACTGCTTCGCACGTCGCCATAAATGACCAGCCCAGGTAGAGCTTGATATTGAAGCCGCCGTGCCTTTGGCCCTTGGTGTAAAGCTCCGGTACGGCTAATAGAGTCGACGCTGAGAGGTCTTTGGTGAAGATACCCAGGAAGATGACAGCGAGCGAGGTGAACAGTGTGTTGAACATACTCAGACTCCATGGCTCGTACAAACTGGTGCCAGTGTAACCGTTCCAGCGCTGGTACAAAGCTTGAGTCAGGTAGAACAACATTTCTTTCCAGAACGTGCCGAGTGTATACTTGCAAGCACGCATGTAGTTCCACCGACCGTGAACTAGAAGCAGCTTGAGAAGGAAACGGAACTGGCCAATCGAGTAGTCTGAGATACGTGCGGCCTGTAATCCCTCCTTTCCAGTGATGCCTATACCCACATGGGCCTCCTGGATCATGGCGATATCGTTGGCGCCGTCTCCAATAGCAAGCGTTATTGCGTCGGTGAGCTGTTTGCGGATTGATCGGACCAAAAAGGCCTTTTGCTTCGGGCTTGCTCGGCAACAGATGACAGAGTCCGCCTTGACAGCTAGTTGGAAGAACCGTTCACGCACCATCTCATTCGCTTCAATGGTTGACAGCGTTTGGCCATCAACCACTACAACAGAATGTGCCACGCGGCCACGAGTAATCTCCCCAATAAGGTCCACGATCGTTTGTTCAACATCGCCATTCTCTTGATCCAAGATAGTCAGTGTCGAGTACTCCTTGACAAGGCGACACGAATGGCCGACATTGATAGCAGTTTCCCGCTTGTCGCCAGTCAACATCCACATCTTGATATTGGCTCGTCGCAGTTTTTCAATAGCCTCGGGCACGCCCTTTTGCAGCTTATCCTCAATAGCAGTAGCACCGGTAAGATCCAGCTGCTGTTCAATCTGCTCGCCGGCGTCCTCGATTTTCTGCTGCCGATCAACAAGGCTAGTGCAAGCCTCATTGTAGGCAATTTTCCAGTTCGTGTAGGTCGCTTCATCCAAAAACCGGTGGCCATACAACAAAGTCCGCAGGCCGTCAGTGGCAAAGTCATTCAGATGCTGGAAGCAGCGCTCGAAAATAGCCGACTCGTTGACAACCAGTGCCTCCTCCACAAGATCCTCCTCGTCATCTTCGCCATTCGTAGAACTTCCAGAGTCCGATATCGCAGCTGAGGGTCTACCCATCTGCGCCGAGGGCCGAGGGCTGTAATACTCACTATCAGCCTCTCTGTTCCGCATACCACCATCAGTCTCCCGATCACGCAGCCAAACGTCAATACTGGCTCGAAGAGCCGAACCCTGTGGGCCAGTAATTGAGGACCGCCGATGAGTGAAGCTAGGTCGGGTCATACTGCTCCGGACCATGCTGTTCTTCCGGCTATGGGCCTCACTGTTACGTTGGATGACCTGGTTCATATCGGCATTCTTGCGTCTGCTTGCGCGGCGCTCGATCTCAGCCGCCTTCTCGCGTGCCAAATCGGCTTGCTTCAGGAGACGCATCAGCGTGGTATCGGCACCCTTGCAGAATAAGCAAATTCGCTGGTCGGGCATGCGAACAACAACTGACATGCGTTTTCGCGCGCTTGAGAACTCGATCACGTCCATGATCTCGTAGACTTCGTCCGTGGTCGCTTCATCCGGTCCGTTTGGTTGAGTGCGGATCGTCAATTTGTTTGATTGGCGATCCAGGACAAGATATCCAAGCTCCTGGGCTGCAAGAACAAGTGCCAACTCGTCGGGGGAAGCAGCCTGGAAAGTGGTGTTTCCTTTTTTGTCTCCTTCGGGAATACAGGTATGACAAAGGGCCATGGACAGAATGAACAGTTTAGCCTTTCGGGCAAAGATGGTGTACGGCTTGCGCTGGATATATTCGAGCATCTCTTCGGTGCGGTACGTGGTAGCCGAGCGACCAGACTGACGGATGGCATCAAAAGGACCGGAGACATTCGACGGACGGGGCATCTGAGCCTCGGACACATTGGACTTGCGGCCCATTGCCTTTTTTCCCTTTACTTTGCGCTTCTTGTGCATCAGCTTGGTGTGATCACCTTCAAGGGCGGCCTCCTCTTGGAGATCCGCGTCGTGCAACCACGCGGTTCCCGCCACACTCATTTTGCGGAAGCGCATGGAGTTGTTTGTCAGGGTACCGGTCTTGTCGGAGAAAATGTAGCTGACTTGACCGAGCTCCTCGTTGATGGTGGATGTGCGCGCCTCGAGTGGGGTGTCGGTTTCGGGATCATACATGTCGATGTCGTTCAGAAGCAGCATCTGGGCAACTTTAACGATTTCCATACTCACATAAAGAGAGATGGGAATCATGGTATTGAACATGATCAAGAACGAAGTGAAGATCGGGCCATAGGAGACACTGGCGTTTTCAAGATACCAAGAATGTTGTTCCACGTCTTGAGACCAGTACTTGTAGGCCACGGTGCAGACAACAGCTAGGATGACGACCAAGACGACAATCAACATCACCACGCGGTTGACCTTGTCCTGGAGAGCGGGCTTCTTGATTCGCGGGTTCTTGTTGGCGTTCATGCGGATCTTGCACTCCTCGCCAGTATAGATCACCATACCCAGAGCGCGGTCGGTGTTGCGAAGGATACTGCCACGGTAAACAATCTCGTTGTTGGTCAAAGGCAATCTCTCCTGGCCATTGACACTGACATGACCGTCGAACTTATAGAGATCCAAGTTGGGGTCCTCGACGACAAAGTGCAAGGTGTTGCTATCGATATCCTCCACAGTCGAGCACACCTTGGATACAGGCTGGCAAGGTTGCTTATTTTTCAAATTTGTCTCACCGTCGAGAGCCATGGTCTCAATGTAAGCGACGCCGTTGGGTCCATTTGCATGGAGGAGAGCAATATCAGCGGGAATCGGCTGGTCGCGCTCAATTTTAATGACGTCTCCAACACGAATTTCCTCACACTTGATCCGCTCCCAATCTTGAGCGTTGCTTATCATGGAGGCGCCATCTTGAATCATCCCGTGACCTGGACGAAGCACCCAAGCCTCCCGGTTATTCTCTTCCTTGTCCAAGCGATACCGGCGCCAATCATCAAAGCCTTCCTTACCCATTGAGATACCAACAAAGATCAACAGAGGAACTATGGTCGTGTAGGTTCCAGTTGTACTCAAGCCAGGAATCATCTGCAAGATAGCGACAACCAAGAAGTAGAAGTTGGCGACTTTGGTAAATTGGGCGAAGAATTGGCGGGGGAAGAAACTCCAAAGACTATACCGACTGGAACGAATAGAGTTCCCAATATAAGGCTTCGCTGTGCGCTCATCGATCATGGAACCTACCATAGACGGGTTCAAGTCAATGTGGCGCCCATCTTTAGTAGGTGGAATATCCTTGATGCGCAAAATGAATTTCTGGATAGACGTCATAACAGCCTGGAAACGCGCGACAGCCACCGCAGTAGTCGCCTTTTGTTGGCGCCATTTATCCTGGGCCACAGACACGGAAAACTGTTCCTTGAGAGTTCTTTCTGAAGAGTCCGAGGAGACATACGGGGAAGCATCATCCTTATGAATCGAGTCGAGCGTCGCCGTCGGCGCGACACTAAGAGCATGTTTCTCATCGGCGGCAGTGAGCGTTTCAGCAGCCGGGGCCGGGGCCTGGGCGGGAGTCACATCAGACGAGGGTTCCTTGACCTCGCCCAGCTCAGCCAGGGCGACATCATCCTTCTCCGTCGAGTTGATGGTCTTATTAAAAATGCTGCGACGTAGCGAGTATCCGCGATTTCGCGACCGAGACCGACCGGCGGACTGAGAGCTTGGGGAAATAGGGGAGAGGGTCGCACTTGGTGTCGCATTGGGAGGTGAGAGCGGAGAGGTAGGTGAGGGAGCGGGTCGAACAGACGGAGGCGCCAGCGCCGTGTTGATGGTCAGGCCGCGGGAATTGGGGCGTCCGTCCCCGCTTGCTTGTCGTTGTTCCTCGACCGACTCTCGATCGAGATCGGTTGAGAAGCGCACATGTTGGGATGAGATCCGCCGCCCGGAGTCGGAGAGCGTTCGTGACGATACTAGAGATGGGCGTCGGAGGACATCATTCTGGTCGGGTTGGGTGCCCTCTGTGGATTCTGTAGATTTGTCGTTAGGGGACATGACAGTCGAATTCCTGGCACGAGTGCGCGGGACAGATCAGATCCCGACGATCTGGGGTTTGTTTTTTTTTTTCCTCCCTCCGAGATTTTCGAATCTTTCCTCTGCTAGCGTTTTCCCCTTAGGGTCGAAGTGTTTGATTAATTGAATTAGACGGTCATTCTTCCGCTATTCTTTCAGTGGGGGTAGATAATTTGCCCCTGTAAAATGAAGGTGTTGCGAGGGTTGAGCCAACGAAAGTACTCCCGGACGCAAGGATAGAAATGAAGGGCGCAATGATTGTCTCCTATGAGAAAGAAAAGAGGCTAAGAGAAGAGATTAGACTAAAAAAGCCCGAGAGACACCAGGAAGAGCCAAGACCAAGTCTGGAGGAAATGATGCCCAAAACGGCCTAGTGTTCCAATTGGCGATACCCTGGAGGATACAGAAGATCTCGACAATATAATATGTATGAAGATCTGTGATAGGCAGAGAGATAAAAGAAATTTGGCGCAAGTGGAACATCCCATGTCCAAAACGTCTCAGGCCTTGACAACCGTTCATGGTAGGCAACGCGTAAGATGCAACCATACAATATCCACGCTTACGCCTCCCATAGCCCCAGGTTAATTTAAGAATCACCGAATCAAGATATTTTTGGAGGGGCAACATATGGACCCGGATCCAGATCTCTCTGCTTTGTTATTGGTCAATCTGCACATTCCCTTTGAGACCCTGGACCCTCCAACCCTATGCAAAGGGCCATGTAGTAACTTTTTTTTTTTGCTTTGGCTAGCACATGGGAGGATGTTGTATGTACTGGGAATCCAAATCTATTTACTCCGTACAGCGCTCTGAAGAGTACGACAGATTACTCTTGACCGCCCTGGTGAACTCGTGGGCTGATTATGTTAGTGTCTTGGCAGGACCTGGACCTGGGAAAGCCCAGGCATCCATTTTTAAGCAACAGAATTCTCAGGGTCGAACCGTTGGATGGGAAAACTACGTGGAGTTAAAGAACAACCTAAGAACATCCCCAAAACCATGGGATCTTCAATGGTTGACGAATGGCAAAATCATTTCATTTCAGTGCAGGAACCCTATGACGTCATAATCAATAGCGTGGCGGCTGTCCATACTGGTAGCCTGATCCAGGTGACGGATACCCCTGTGGCTGTTGGCCATATCCACCCCGCGATCCTTGGTATGGAGGCTGCTGGGGAGGTTGATATTGACCCTGTGGATAACCCGACTGGGAACCGTAATTCGGAGGAGCACCAGGGGGAGCACCATACGGAGGCTGAGCTTGTCCCTGGGGAGGTTGACCGTAACCCCCTCCATACTGGCCTGTCGATTGAGGAGCTCCACCGCGACGTTGGTTGTCTCGCTCATCCTTGGTGTCGTAAGAAGAATCGATAGCGCCGAGCATCAGTTTGGCACACTACATAGTCAGTTCCATGTTATGCGATGATGTGGTTAAAAACGACTTACCCAAAGCTCGCGGGTGAGATGCACTGGTGGGTTAGCACGGGACATCTCATCCTGCTCAACCTCAAAGTCTAGAACACGTCAGTTGAATCCACCATGAACGTCAACGTGGAACTTACTGGAGGTACAGTCGATCAGGTGGCCAATATTAGGATCCTCATCCAGAGAAGACAAGAAGTCGCGAGCCCTTTGATCAGTTCCCACCTGCGAGAACTGGAAAGATACAGCGCCGGGGCCATAATGGGTTTGTGCGGTCTCCGCCACTGCGTAACGAATGGTATTACCCACAGTGTCGTGGGGCTCGCCAGCAGGCTGTCCGTCGGTGATGGTGATCACCAGCACGGGCTTCTCGAGACGATTGGCCCGGACTGGTTGAATGACCATCGGGTCGATGACCTTGGATTTCAGGCTGGTGCCCAGAGGGGTCAGGCCCGAGAAACGGACTCGGGACACTAGACGTTCGACATCCTCTGCGTTGCGAATGCCATCGCCCTTTTCATTGGAATTCATGAATCGGACAGAGATACCATCCTGGTCGAAGGTCGACGCAGCAGTAGCGACGATACCAAGGATTTGTCTGAGCTGTTCCTTTCGGAGTCCCTTCTCTTCAAATTCGATAGATCCACTGTCATCAACGTACAGAATCACGTCGAACAGCGAGAGCTTCATCACATCGGTCGCAACCTCCATAGGTACGGCCCATTCATGAATCAACTTGTTGAGCTTGCCTGGTGCTTCGGCGGCAAGCGTCTGGACAAGGCGATCCAGTCGGTCTTTGGGGTAGAAACTTCCGAGACGCTTCTCTTCAACTGTAGAACTCAAGAGGGAGTGATAAGCTGCCACCTGTTGAGGGGTGGCCGGAGGTGCTCCGGACTGAGGGCCCCCACCGGGTGCGCCATATTGGCCTGGTGGAGGTCCGCTTGGAGCACTGTATTGGCCTGGTGGAGGTCCGCTTGGAGCACTGTATTGGCCCGGCGGTGGTCCGCTTGGTGCACCATACTGACCTGGTGGTGGTCCACTGGGTGGTCCAGGCGAGGGTCCAGGACGGCCCTGGCCACCGGGGTATGGAGCTCCCTGAGAAGGGTAGGGTGGTGTCTGGTTCTAGTTTCCGTTAGCAATCTTGTTCAACCATTAAGCATTCAACGAGCATCCAAAGTGAGATCAGACACGAAACACAAAGGCAGTGATACAGGGTGAGGGGTCTTTTGTACATATGACGGCTGCTGTCCAGGGTAAGATTGTTGTCCGGGATATTGCTGTTGTCCGGGGTACGGAGAGGCCTGTCCAGGATAAGGCGATTGTGCATGCTGTCCGGGGTAGGGCGAGCTAGGAGAAGCATAGGGCTGTCCTTGCTGTCCTTGCTGACCTGGATAAGGTGAGCTAGGAGAAGCATAGGGCTGTCCTTGCTGTCCTTGTTGACCTGGATAGGGCGAACTAGCAGATGCATAGGGCTGGCCTGGTGGGGGTGGAGGGGGGCGGCCATAGCCCTGTGATTGCGGCTGAGATGCGGGGTATGGCGTGGATGGGGGAGGCCTGGAATAGGAATTCTGTTGCGATGAGCCGCCGTATGGATATCCTTGGTAAGGTCCAGACATTGTTCCAGAGTGTCGAAGGGTAAAACGTGAAAGTGGGGGGAAACAAAAAAGGAAAAAGGAAAAAGATAGCTTACCGATCCCTGAGGGGCTGGGGATCCTGAATAAGCCTGGTATTGCTGTTGACTCTTGAGAGAACGTTAGCACTTTCTCGTTTTTTTTTTTTCTCCTCTTTATGACGTCGAACTGCGAGTCATAGCAAAAACAGGTGCAGTGATAGACATGACTTACCGATCCACCAGCCTGCAATGCTGCAGGAGGACCTCCAGTGTACCCCGATGGAGGTGCACCTCCATATGAACCACTATTGGCCATCTGGTTATTCTGAGCTGCGGCGATTTTCTGAGCAAACTAAAGATGGGTCAGATGGAGGGATTCTCGGGAGTTGTGGAATCTGGAAGCCTTACACCCATGATTTGAACTCGAGGGGGAAAAGAGGCGAAGAAGTAAGACACAGAACTTGGAGTATCACGAGAGAATTCCAAGGCTTGGATGACGTTGCCTGATGGGGGGCCCCTCTTAAAAAGTAGCCCAAGTGAGGCTGAGCTGTTTACGGTACCTCGGAATACTTTGCCCCCACTTTTGTTTACTAGCAAATAAAGTATCTCGAAGTATCTTCAATGAAGTCACCAGGCGTGTATATATGCAGCCCTATACATGATATTTATGACACATTTAGGCTGCCGTTGGGAACCTCCTGCGCCGCTTTATGGAGGCGCCTATAGTCCTGAGTTTCACCCCAGGGCACCCGGGCAGCACCGGTTGATTACTCACTCGGACAGTGGACCCATGGTTTGGGGAAAGAACCCAATGTACTTCCTCTTGCTACTACAACCGAACATGTAAATCAACATGCAGAGTGGAATTCCACTGCTCACTCAGGCATCTCGGAGCAAATGCGCGATAACCATGTCCAGATAAACCCCAGCACGAGGCGTAATGTCCTCGATTCCCTCCAATTTGGCAGCATCGTCCCAAAGTCGAAGTGAGACCATCTCATCTCGAAGTGGATCTTGCTCGAAAAGTTCAAGCTCCGCACCTTGGAACGGGCCACCTTGAAATGCCAGCGACTTTTGCGAGGCAGATGATAGAGCTTCGTGGTATCCGTGGTTGGTAGCAGTAAGGTACCTGAAAGGTGAGTCTAAATTCGCACAACACAGGCGAGATCACATACCTCTTCGCAGCGACATGACTATGTACCAAGCGACAGACTGTCTCGCTGAATCCAAGGGACTGGAGATATGATGCGCCGATGGCTTCATGGCCGACTCGGCCGACATTGTCGCTGCTTTCGCGAAGATTCATACGCACCTCCTTGGTTGATTCTAACGGAATAATTTGACCAATGTCATGCAATAAAGCCGCAATGACCAACTCATCACGAGCATCTGGAAGAATGTAAGAAACTGTGAGAGATACAGAAGGACAATACTTACTCGCTTTATGGGCCTGATGAGCCGCCTGTAGACAGTGTTCTAACTGGCTAATTGACTCCCCGATGTAGTCACCTTGACCATACTTTTCTAGAGCGCCGATTAAGGCCTCTGCTTTCTCTTGGGCTGACTGCTGATTCATAGTCCAATTTACTCTTGGGATGGAAGAAGAGAAGCGTTGAAGTGAAACAATATCAAGGTAGACAAAAAAGAGAAGAGAAAGAGGCGGGGTGAGTCGAAGTATTTATCTACGCCAGAGGCGTTTCGTTATATCTCCGTCCAGTTGAGTGTACCTAAACTAAACTCGTCGGTGATCATGCCGGTGGCCCACACGAATTTGAAGGCTGAACTAGACCAATTTACCTCGATAGCAGATAGGTACCGCCCGGCTATTTTGCTTCGACTAATCAATATCATTACGACAATATCTCAAGATCATATGGAATCAACCTTCTGCTTGGCATTAAGTAGAATATCCCCGCACTGATCAGACCGGGATGACCTTAGAGTCCACAGTTAACATAGGGGAGCCAAAGGCATATCGCATACGACCTTCCTCGTATGTCTGTCCGCTCTCCCGCATATGTGTTGCAGGCCAGAGCTTTTGGCGGTCAGAATAGTACTGGTCGTGAAGATCACCTTCAGCGGCACAGTTATACGTTGCATAAATTGCACGGCGGTCCTTCGAGCTAACATTGGCGCCACTGCGGTGGGCCAAGTACGAGCCAAAAATCAAGATATCACCTACTTTTGTCAATAAGGTCCGATGAAAGTATCGGGGATTCTTCAATTCGCATACCTGAATCGAGCTCAGCCGGTGTCCAGACGTTGCTTTCGACCCAATCCGACGCAATGCAGCGATCGCTGCCGAGAGGAATATCCATGCGGTGGCTGCCGCTCACCACTTCCAGACCTCCATTGTCTGCATTCATTTCATCGACTGCTGCAAGAATAGTCAAATGCTTGATGTTTTTGACGTGGGTGTAGGCATTGGCATCGATATGAGGATCGAAACCGCCTATCCGACAGGTGAGCGATTGAGTCAGTACTATTAAATGGACATCGCTTACCACTTCCTGCCAGTTTGTAGTTTATCTTCTCTTTAAAAAGAAGCATCTCCTCCCCTGCGAGCTGTTGGAGAAGACTTATCGCACGCTGCCCTCGGAGAAAACTATCGAATCCGGCATGCGAATTGGCAAAGTTTTCAGTGCGACACAGCACCCGTTTGCCTTGAGCATTCACCTCTTGATAAGGCATCCAGGGCACATCAGGGGTACATGGAAGATCATGGACTTCCTGCGCCCATTCTCGCAACAACTCCGATTCTTTGGGGGTAAAGAACCCACGAACTAGCAAATACCCACGCTCGTGGAAACTCTGAAGCTGCTCAGCAGAGAGCGAGTAATGAAAATTATCCATTCTTTCACCGGTAAATTTAGATAGAAACACAGAGCAGTAGAATTTCGTGGAACATCGGTAGCCCAGTAGCTCGCATTTTGTAGATCAAGAATTCGTTGCAACGAAAGCCGAAAGATATCGCCCTTCGCACCGAGACGGGTACTTTTTTGGACTAGATAGGGAATTAAATACATCGAACATGCCCCAGCACATGGATGAAAGATAAGCCCCAATAGGTTTGATGATGAGGGATTGCGCTATTCGACCTTCAAGACGATGTGGAGTCTGCCAAGGTAGGCGAGGCAACTAGAGTCATGAAATGATGCACACCGTCCACGGGCAGAGAGCTTCTCAGGGCATGGGAGCGTCCCCGGGGAGCTTGGACCTCTACTTAGTACGACCCACAGACGATACACTATCTCGCACTTCCCACCGAGTCTACCGTGCATCGATGCCATGCTGTAATTGGTCACCTTTGAAATCAATTCGTCGTTAGAACCATTGAGTATAGTTTCTATAGATATGACACAGTTCCATATTCCGTTCAGTATTCTTTTCAACATGGCTACCTCTCCCAGTGACTCTACTATGAAGATGGAAGATCCCAAGGATCAAGTCTCGCAATCCGAATTGGACATCGAGCAAGAGGAACCCGAGAAGAAACGCTCCGGCGTACTCAATGTAGTGATTTCCGGGCTGGCCTTGTTCAGTGATGGATACAACGCTCAAATCAGTGCGTGATCTGTATATCTCAACGTCTGGTTTTCGCCCTTGTACTAATCGCTTGGTAGTTGGCTATATGGAACCTTTGTTCTCGGTCCTGTGAGTAGCCCTGTTTGAGGCAACTCTGGCCAAATTTACTGATCAGTCCAGCTACATGAATGGAATGTCTTCAACTATAAAGTCGCGCCTGTCGAACTCATATCTCATCGGTGAGATATTTGGCATGCTTTTCTTTGGGGTTCTGATTGACCGCATTGGTCGTCGGACTGGTATTGTCGCCGCAACAGCGTTTCTTATCATCGGAGTGGTGCTGGCAACCGCCTCTCATGGAAAATCGCAATTAGGGTATGCTATGCAAGTCTGAGCTTTTTGGATTAAAGCCCATCGTTAACACCTCAATAAGAATGTTCTGGATGATGATCGTTGCACGAGGCATTGCAGGGTTTGGTGCTGGAGGAGAGTATCCTGTCTGTACTACCAGTGCTACTGAGGCCGCCGATGAGACAGTCCACCTTCGAAAGCGACGTGGTTTCTTGGTCGCACTGACTACTGATTTTGCTATAGATCTGGTCAGTTCTATCACAACATTAATGAGGACCCTGCTAACTTCGGGATAGGGATTTGTTGGAGCTGGCTTGGTTGCTCTTATTGTTCTCGCGTGTTACGGCCAACAAAGTTCTGAAGGGGTCTGGCGCATTACCTTCGGTCTCGGTATTGTGGTAAGTCGTCGTCTCATCAATCCAATGGCTAGCTATTCTCACACAGGTATCAGTTGCCATTGTCAATATGTTTCTTCCGCGTTCGGATGGTCAACTCTACTCAATACCAAAAGCATGCCATCAAGTCACAATATCCCTACGGGTTAGTACTACGTCGGTACTGGAAACCCATGCTTGGAACATGTGAGTCGATTGGCTTGATTACTTTGTGTAGTGGCTTTGGCTAATGTTGATGTCTGTAGCCTTGGCTTGGTTTTGCTACGACTTTGTGACATATCCATTCAGTCTGTTTTCTTCCACTATAATTGAGCAGCTGAACCCCAATAACACCACGGTTCAGAATATTGGATACGGCGTATGTCTCCAATACACAATGTCCTAGATGGCTAAACTAACAGTGAAATTTCCAGACCGTTATCAATTGTTTTTATTTGCCAGGGTGCTTGCTCGGTGGTATCTTGATGGATCGGATTGGCCGCAAACAAACCATGACCCTAGGGTTCATAATCTGGGCTATATGGGGATTTATCCTGGGGGCTGCACTGCGACCTATTCAGAGTGTCTTCCCACTTTTTATCGTCATGTACGGCATTTTTCAAGCACTCGGAGAAATGGGCCCGGGGGTCTCGACGTTCCTCTGTGCTTCGGAATCATTCCCAACACCTTTGCGTGGTCATTTCCTCGGATTTGCAGCCGCAGTCGGCAAAGCCGGCGCATCTATCGGGACAGAAGTTTTCACTCCAATCCAGAACTCCTTCGACACGACCGCCAAAGGCCAGCAAGCAGTTTTCCTAATTGGCGCGGCCTTCACATTGGTAGGTGGTTTGGTTGCCTGGTTCCTCATCCCAGATATGTCTCGAGAGCTTGAGACAGAGGATGCCAAGTTCAAAGCATACCTGGAAGAACATGGATATGATGTGAGTTCGTATGGCGAGGCATTGGTTGTCAACGCCCGCGCTTCAATTTAACTACCCCAAACAATTGTTTTAGTTTTATTTGGGCCAAATCAAGCTTCCGCCAGCTTGGCGTGAATATAGATAGAGCCGTCTCGCAACTATAGGAAACCAAGCATGTTTTCTCTCACTTACCATGAACTTCATCCAACAAGATCTCGGAGGTCTAGCTGTTTAATGCCCACATCTCCATCTTCCTAGTAGCTTAACATCAGGGTGTATTATTCTTATTGTTTTTTAAGGGCAGAAAATATTCTTGCAGTATTCGGCCTACAGAGATTATAATTAAAAATACTGTTTGAAGCCAAGTCTATACGTCATGAGTATGACGCTTTGTTATGATTTGAGATCTTTCATTTCTAACCAATATCTGTTGAACACATAGTCTAAAGCATAGATAGGATGGACAGGTCATTTTCTATATTAATGCCAATCTTGAATTGAATCCGGGGTCAATCCCCAGAACTGTGCGATGTAGCCTTGGACTGGATGATGTCACGGAGTTGGGTAGGGATGTTCCCTTGAAAGTACTTGGGGGAATTTATATCCTTTGTCTTGCTCCAAGATATCAACGAAGCTCTTACTCCAATATTCACTCTGTTCACTTTTACGATCTCAAATACCTGGATGCCTACTATTTACAATATCATTACGCTCTCAGTCATTCAGCTCAGACAATACAAAAAAGCCTGGTCATCCTCCATCTTCGCTCCATCTGTACCAATCTGATCTGCTTCCCGCATTTCCGCCAGCATGCCCACCCCTGTGCTCCGGCTAGGTGTTCTAGGCGCCACAAATGCAGTCCAAGCCACCTACCTGCCGGTCCTCCAATCCCTCAAAACTCACTACACCCTCACAGCCATCTACGACCCAAACGCAGAAATCGCAACCCAATGCCAGTCCCGCTTCGACATAACCCACAGCACAACAGTCGTCGAAGATGTCCTACGCCATAAAGAAGTGGATGTCATCCTCAACCTCCTCCCAATGGAGTACCACGAACAATACACCGTGACAGCCCTTGAAGCCGGCAAAGACGTGATGGTCGAAGTCCCACTTACAATGAGCATTTCAAGCATGCGCCGCATTCGCGAGGCAATCAACAAAGGCAAAACCTCCCGGTCTCTCAACGGCGTCAACCAAAGAGACGGTCCAAAGGTATTTGTCGGTTGCGCGCGTCGCTACGCACCATGCTTCACAGAAGTCTTCAAGAAAGAACTCGCCACTATAGGCCGCGTATACTACGCGCGCTGCCGTCACATCGCCGGGCCAATGAACAACATCGTCACGCCGACTTTAAAAGACATCACACATATGAAGAGCCATAATAACCCAGAACAATTCCGCGTTCTACTAGAAGATGTCTTCGGGTCTGAAGAAGACCTCACCCCAGACAGAATTGCTTTTTGTCGGTACCTCGGTATGCTGGGCTGCCATGACCTTTCGGTGATGCGAGAGTCGCTAGGCTTGCCGGATGCTGTTTCCAACGTTGCTATCACGGACCCGTTCTACTCTGCCATTTTCCACTATAAAAATTCCACCGAAAACGATGGGCACCCATTTACGCTTCTCTGGGAGGCCGGTGTTGATGCCTTGCCTCGCTGTGATGCGCATTTGACTGTGTACGGCGCGCACAAGACTCTCAGCGTGGAATATGACTTCCCCCGTCCTGGTGAGAAGATCAGCACTGGTACATATGTACGAGTTGTTGTTGAGGAAGCGGATGGGACGGCAGAAATGGATAATGTCAATGGCAATCAGATTAACGAGACCGAGAATGCTGTTGCTCTTCCTCGCGTGAAGCGGACGGAGACTGTCAGTACCTGTGATGAGGCGTATGAGCGTGAATTCATGGCTCTGCATTCTTATCTGGTTGGTGAAGGGTCGGCGGCGAAGACAAGCGCTGAGGACGCTGTCATGGATCTACGGCTGCTGCTTATGATCTTTGACCACTATAATCGCCAGTGTGGTACCATTCGAACTCCATTGGGTTGAATCCCTATTTATTAACAGGCAGTGTGGAGGCATGTGGAAGACGGTAGAAGGAGATACTAGACCGGGCATTTTTTAAGGAGGTTGCTTTGAGCTGGCTCTACGGGGCTGGCTTACTTGAGGTTATGGGGACAGTCGGAGTTTTCGGAGTTGAAAATAGGTGGAAGGAAATTATTCTACTGCCCGTTTCGGTTTTGAGACATCCTTTTAAAAATGAAATATGAGATACATACCTGTGGTCTAAGTATCGTAGGTAGCATTCAGCCATGATCTCTATCTGTCTGAAATTACACTATCGCTTGCCCTTCTTCTTATTCTTCTTAGCATTAGAGCCGCCACCGCCACCGCCAGACTTTTGTACTTGCTGAGCGGGAGACTCCTCCGCCTTCTCATTGACAGGACCACCCTGTGTGAGGGCCGCAGCACGCTGCTTGCCCTTCTTGCCCTTAGGCCTGTAAGAAGAGCGGTCACGCACAGGCAGCCAGCGCTCGGGGTCTGGCTTCTTGGCAGGGTCGAAGTCCTTGGGTAGACGGGACTTGCGGACGCGCTTGTTGGCGCGGTCTTCAGCGCTAGCTGCGGTGCGCTTGCGGGCACCAGCGAAGGCGGCAGCGGCCGCGGCAACGGAGGAAGCCGAGGGAGAGATTCCAGCGGATTCAAGAGCTGAGACGTCGATGTCAGCGATCAAGTCGCTGACTGCTGGCAGGCGGTTTAGCTCAGACTCAATCTGCGCATAGTCCAGGGTTGCTTGTGAGGCGACGTAGCCGGCGATGGCGACACGGTCGTTGGGATCTTGTTGGTGCAGGGCACGGAATAGATCACCCGCTGTAGCGAGGTCCGCACGTTCTTCAGAGTGCAAGAGGGGGGCGGCTGCTGCGCGGAGGAGGGACGCGGGGGGGCTCGGGCTTCGTGCGCCAGTAGGAGGCGGCTTGTGCGAGGGTGGTGCGGATCTGGACTATGCGACCTTCAAGCTGGTAGAGGGAGACGAGGACGCTAAGAAGCCCGGGGTTGAATCGGACGGACTCGTTTGTTCCCTCCAGGATTTGGAGACTTCGCTCCATGGCGGTGATAGCAGAGGTAGTGTTGCCATTGCTGACATAGAGCTGTACCACCGTCAGGAGAAGGCCAAGGTCTGTGGGCCGTCGCTCCAGCAGTGGGACGATCTTGTGAAGGGCTTTAGGGCCAGTTTCGCCTTGAGCGTGTGCTGCGGCGTTGTATACAGAGAGAAGGTTGGGGATGGCGTCGGTGGATGGGCTTGGGCATTTTGACTGTGCCTTGGTTGTGGACCGGATAATACCATCGTATTTCTGGACAAGGAGGTCTGCGGCGTGCGAGTTACCGATCATATCACGGTCCTGGAATTCGAATAGCCGATCGTTATTGGTGGCATCTGGGGTGTCATGGAGGGCCTTGTATAGGATGTAGGGATTGACAGCGGTTGGGCGAGCGAGGACGATGTTGTTGCGGGCGATCTTCTTGGTCGATAATTCGGTGATGCTGGGGAAATATGTGAGTAATACGTTTCACGCTGGTATGGTTTAACGTACTTTTCGACGGAGATATCTTTGAGAACCGCCTCGGCCTCCTCCAACTTTCCGAGTTGAATCAGGACATAAAGTTGCTGGACTGCGATTGGCAGCAGCTCTGCGACCTTATCTTCAGGTGAAAGGTCCTCCGATGTCCGGCAGATATCTGTGCAAAACGTCAGTCTGAGTCCTAGTCTTGGGCAATATGGCGGCTTGCTCACTTTGAGCTCGGTTGAGCAAGACCTCGCTCTGCTTGAATGCCCCCTTTGCAATGTTCAAGCAAGCTGCGTTGTAGGTTGTTTCGAAAGATTCCAAATCCTCCCTCGACAATCGGTCGTGGCGCACGAATTCCGTCTCTCCTTTCCATTGAAGCTGCGCATCAGTAGCCCACGAATTGATGCTCAGATCGTTGACCTCGTGGCCGAAAGATGTCGTATCTTTCGACAGTTGTTCATAAATTTCGGCTGCCCGTCGGAAGTGCTCAGCACGATAGCGCTGTCATGACAAGTTAATCAATATTGGTCCTCAATCAGCAAAGGATGAGATGTGGCACCATACCACTTGTGCCTCGAGATGACTAGCACCACGTCCAGAAGCTGTGTGGGTCAAGCCTTCGGCAGCATCTTCAAGCTTCCCGCACTTGTATGATGCATAGGCGTACTCCAGGCCTGCACTCTGCTTCAGCGCATTGCCTCCGGCCTGGAATGTCTTGAGAGCTTCTTCGTAACGGTCAAGTTTCAATAGAGCAACAACTTTCATGTGTTGCGCCTGCAGATCAGATTTAGATTTGGCGAGGGCTGCATTGCATGACTGGAGGACCTCCTCGTGGTCATCGATCGACGCCCGCTGCAATAGCGAGGCCAGCGATTGCGCAACCATGGCGGGGGTTGGTCGCTCAAGAATTCAGGAGTGTATTGATGAGTAAAGAAAAAGAAACTTCAATGTCAAAATAGCAAATAAAGTCGTAGGATTTCTACAAAGAACACAGTGGCCGATTTCCCCAGATCAACTGATATCAAACAATGTGCGGAACTGGTCTTTTCCCCATTGGGGGGTTTCTGCGCTCAACGCCATGTGCCCCGCCGTAGCTCACGTGTCCTATTTTTGTCGTCCATGTTGAACCCCGTATGTTGTAGCAAGGTAAGATCGACAAACTCACCAATAACAGTGGAACTGATAGCATCTGGAACTTTGATCGCTGATTGGATCATACACTGTATCGGTTGTTGTGAATTTGAATATCACAACCTGCACGGAATTTCTATCGGAGATGGCTAGGCTCCCCGATCGACCCTGAACAGTAAACCAATGTCAGCCATCAATCATATTTCTCGGGGACCTGTTCGGAGTACGGACCTCTCCTCTTTCTATCTAGATATGTTAATTCTACTGAAAAAACACAGATTAAAATGTACTGAGTCATAGCGCCATATTTATCTGTATAATTGGGTGGCGGAGTGAGAATATCTTCACTTGCAGCACTTTTACTAGATAAATATCTTGTCATCGGAGGTAAAAAAGCTAGAGACTCTATGACCTTATAGTCCTCTGGATACGGTTCATGGCTTGTCGTAAGTTGCTAATATCCTGATAACCTGGCATATCAACCATCTGGTGAACATAGTGGTCGTTTTGGCAGGCCTAAGGTCTACCATGATGATCCTGGGAGTGGTAGTGTTAGGCCCACTTGCCCTAACAGGCGGGCAGTGGACGCGGCTCTTGAAGCTCTTGAAGCGGGGCCTCGTGGAGGCAACAGAATACGTATATGTGTATTGTAACTCCTCTCTCTAATAATCAATATAAAATACATGTACACATGTACACTATTCAGAATATTTCAAACTTCTAGCCCAAAACATCACGAAAGTTCGTGGCGTATCGTAGCAGACCCTGGTACCTCCTGGAATACCTTGTCCGACTGTAGCTCACTTATATGATGAGCATTTAACTCAGTCACTGGATGTGGCTTGCTCTTTTCAACAGGGCTTGATACCATGCGATATTCATCTATGGTGTCCGGGCGCGAATTTGTTGTGCGCCTTCGACGAGAGATGATCACAAAAGCAAGGAACCCAATCAATACCACGCCACCAACAGCACATCCAATGCCAATGCCAACCTTTGCTCCAGTCGAAAGACCCGAGGCGGAGGGGTCACTATCAGCCTTTGCCACAGTTGAGATGGTGGAGTTGGAGTCGGAGTTCTTCGATGAAAGAGGTTCCCAATACCCGTCCCAGCTGTCCTCCCATGAATTGGCTGAAGGCTTGATTGAGATGTCGTCAACATCAATGCTCTGCTGAGCATCTAATCCAATTGCCGGCCCGGGTGCTTGTGCCAAAAACCAGTAGCCACTTCCAATACCTTCTTGCCAATTTGTGCCAATGAAGGCTGCCTGAAGAAAAGCTCTGCCGAGGACGAATTGATCAGAGGGATAACATGGGAAGTAGGTTGTGTTGTGTTCCACTAAGGGTTCTTGAAGTGTGAGCTTCAGAAGTTGGAAAGGGACTTTGATGGTGATATTTTGAGTGTTTGTCGCGTCCTTCTCGAATGTAAAGGACATATATGCCGGAGAGGATGTGATTTTTTCGTAATTTTTGTCATCTGTGTTCCAAAAATATAGACCCAGACCATCGTTAAACGTAACCGGGAGCTCAGCTGCGATTGTATCGCATGCTTCCTTGGGAAGGTAGAGGTATGGAAGGGTAGGATCAATCTCCACTCTTTTCGCCCTGCTAGTGATGCTGTTTCCCCATTTGAACAGCCCAGATTTATTCTCAAAGTCAAATGGCGAGTCCCCAGTGGCAACTCCTATCCCGATGTCTTCGAGAGAAATCCTGAGATTGCCAAGGTGATTCGTATCGTCAACGTGTTGAGAGCTTACTTGGTTCAGTACTCGGTTTTGATCATACCCGCCAAGGATCAGCGAACCCGGGATGTCAGGCTCCACAGATCCAATGTGCATCCCCCAGGAGTATGACGGAATGCGATCAGAGGAAGTATCATTCCAGTGCTGCCAAGCAGATAGCAAATTGAACCTGCTCCCATCCACCACGTGGGTAGGCTTTGTGGCCCCCAGTGACAAGGTCCCCACAGAAACAGGATATCTTTTCCCATTTGGGTATTCTTGGTAAGCTTCGTAGATCGATGCCATAGAGACATTCGGTACCCTATGTCCATTTTGCAACGTGATCGTATCGGCGAGAACCCCTTCTCTGACGTATCCGGTACCTCCCCAATTGTTAACACCGGCACTGCTCTGATCGGACAGCCATTTTATCTGACTCGGGTCGGTTGGTGTTTTCAGGGTGACAGCAGATGTTGACGCATTAATGTCGAAGAGACCAGCTCGTCTTGCATAACAGGGGGTTGAGTCGTCCGAGCAGACAGTGTCGAGAAGAATGACACTAGCCCATCGGTCGCCAGGGTAGAGATCAATGGGTTGCTTGTTGGATCCCAATTCAACTGACACGGCATGCCATGGGCCATCCGGACCATAGCTTTGATCAGACCACGGCATTGTCCAAGGGATGCCATCTGCATGAACGAGGGTCGCAGTGGCGAACAGCCAGCAGAAAAGATATTCTGCAGCGTAGGGGGCCATCCTGAAGAGAGGTTCTACCGTGTATCCGGCAAATCAGAGAAATTACTGACAGGTTATAGCGGAGTGACAGGAGGCTCTTTAGAAGACAAAATTACGATCATCATTTGGCCCCCAGGCCGAGCACCTTGGCATGCAGGGTTCATGGGCGCGTAACTGAAACTGATTGCTCGACATTTTATGTAGAGCCCACAGTGCATTCTGACGGGCGCTACTTAGAGTGGCATAGAAGAGTACTCCGTACTGATTTGTGAGTTCAAAGGGGCTATGTGGGTACTGTCTTTAGTGTTGTAAGCTAGCGCCGTGGCTTTCTGTGTTGGCAAGGAGCGACGTTCTGAGAAGGGGTAAACGTGCCGAATCAACACTCGTGTGCAGATAGAGTGTGGTGCATGGATATATTATCCTTCATAACGTGATAATGGTGAACCGATAATTGCATCAATATATATGCTGTAGGCACCCAAGTCCCTCGCTGCATTAGCCGCCTGTGGCGTTGAAACAAAACCACTGACGAGAGGAATCAGTCATGGTAGTCCTTGTTGAGTCTTGACACTCCTTCTGGATGCATGCATTTGTTGACACGATGGTATCCTTTTAGTATTCACATTTGACTTGACATTCACACTACTGACAGATAAATTTTCACTTGACGGAAAGGGAAAAAACCCTAGAAAAAAAACTATGAGAGGGGACCTCATGTTCACCGATTTGTAAGCTGCGACCTAATAAATTGAAGTGAAATGTCTCTCTACACTAACCATCGGCCATGCGGCTTAAGGGACATGGTGTGGAGGACGATGAACTCCGGAGAAAAACAAGGAATATCTACCCAACAACATGTACGACAGATCTAGGCTGTCTTATGCGAGTAGTATTCCAGTTTGGAGTACGGGCGTGGCCTCAGCATTGGCATTGGGGTACCGGGCTAGCTCGACTTCATATGTACGCATGATCAATGTATCTCGCTATATTTTCTCGAGTACAATATAGATGTGTACTCTGTATTCCGTAAGAGACTTGAATATCACCCAAAGGTCTGCAATTAAGAGTCAAGACAGTCGATCTGAGGGATAGCGTAGTGGGATGAGTACAACATACATCAAGCTGGACCCTAAACGCAGACATTTAGCCAGTTATTAGGATAATGGCATCCGGATATTACTCCGTTGCATTTCGTAGCGCTTATCTAAAGCGAGTACGCAGCGCTCCCGAGGTCCGTAGTGTCTTGGCTGCCAAAGTCGGAGTAAGCAGGACAATTAGAGGACGCGCGGATGTGGGGACCGGAGCGATCAGCGACGAGTGAAGAGACGGAGCCATAGCTTAGAAGGTCTTGGCACGGGCAGGGTTGTAATCTGTACGGGAGTATTTTGAACGCTGCTTTGGGAGTAATGAGATCACCATTTGAGATAGAATAGTCATTGGAGCCATATCTCTCTGTATCTCGTACCTGGATATCACTGCAAGTTATCCCTTGGTACCTTAGTACCTGACTAGGTACATGTACATATATGTAGGTACAGACCAAATCCGAAACTTACACTATATACGAGGGCACGTGACTTCCGCCAGATTCCACTTCAACGTCATTGATCGTCTCTCAGGCCCCCTAGAGAATGGGCCTTGGCCATTTTCATCCCATGGAACCATGATCGTCCCTTAACCCTGTCTTCCACCTGTTTTTTTACTTTCTTCTTCTTCCTCTTCTCTATCCCCTTCTCCATTCCCCTCCAGACCACCTGGGCATCGTTATACTACACTTTCATCCTGCGACCGTGGGCCCTTGATTGTGTTCTAGACCAAATTCTTGGATCCGCAATGCGGTAGAACCCCGATACAATCTCACACAAAATATGATCTTCAATGCGCGGGATGGATCTGTCCCAGGGGTATCATGGGCCTGGAAAAAGATGCTGCGGTTTGGAGTCGCCTTCTTGTTTGTAATAGGATTTGTTGTCGTACTATGGCCCTCAGTCGAACCAGTGAAATTGCCGCTGGAGACAGCTGTCAACACAACCATCACTGTCGGCCCCGATGTCCCGTGCGATCTCGATCTTGATAAATTGGCAGACCTGAAAGTCCTTCATGTCACCCAATATACCCGCCGAGAAATCGTACTCGAGATGACAGATGAACCAGTGCCCTACACGCAGTGGCTTGACGAGCCATTCTTGCAAATGCCAAAGGGCACTGAGGGAGCGGCGGATGGGTGCTCCATTCCCGCCCCAGTGTCCTTGCGGGTCCCCCAGCCGCCAAAATTGGCGGACGCATCACACATCGATTTTGGAGTCGCAACCAGTGTCGAGAGATTGAATGAGTCTCTGAACGCATTTGCTCACTGGGCTGGATACTCGCGCGCTCGCATTTTCGCACTTATCGAACCGGATAAGTCAGAAACCGGGATCCGGGATGTTCAGGCCAAGGCCGACAGTCTTGGAGTCAACCTCTACATCACAGAGTCGGACGATGACTACCTCAACCGATACTTCGCGCTAATCCCTCATTTACAACAAAATGCCCGGGAATCAACCCAATGGGGCTGTATCATCGACGACGATACCTTCTTCATGTCGATGCCTAGACTAGTGAATGCGCTGGCTGAATACGATCACACCACCTCCATGTATATTGGCGGATTGTCAGAGTCTATCCCGCAGATCGCGGCATTCGGGATGATTGGATTTGGAGGCGCGGGCGTCTTCTTATCGAAACCCCTCCTGACGGAATTGACTAACGTATACGACGAGTGCTCTGCGATGGATTTCACGGGCGATCGCCGCATCGCCATCTGCATCTACCGTTACACCAAAACTCGACTCACGGTGGACCACCGTCTGCGACAATTGGACTTGGTACACGACGCCTCCGGATTCTTCGAGTCCGGCCGCGAGCCCTCCCTCACAGTGCACCACTGGAGGTCCTGGTTCCTCACCGACATGCCGAAGCTAGCGGTGGTCGCTGAACTATGCGGTGACAGCTGCCTCCTCCGCAAATGGCACTTTGGCGACGGCTGGATCTTGACGAATGGGTTCTCAGTCATCAAGTATCACGCCGACCCAGACAAGGATGACATGTCCATGGAGCAGACCTGGGACCCGCACAATGGCGCCAATGATGAATCTTACCTGCACGAGCTGGGACCCCTCCGTCACAAGGATGAGGACAAGAAGAGCTTCCTGTTGGTGGATGCCATCCACGAGCCAAACGACCGTATCACTCAGTGGTACGTTAAGCGCGATGAAAAGAACGGCGATCAAATCTTGGAGCTGTCATGGCGCTTAAGGTAAATATTTGGGGTTTTCCCTGGTACGTGTACAGAACGTGTACTGGCGCCTTTATATGGTCTCCGGGCCCCGGTGGTCTGCTGGACCAAGAACCCCACATTTCAGGCGCATGGGTAAAGGAATGACACTTTGCATGGAGTTTTGCTTCGTTGTTTATAAATGATAGATACACCTTCCGTCTACTCTAATGAGCTGAATAATGTGATATGGAAAGTTTGGGATTACCTCTTATGCTACAAAATTGTAGTTGTTGAAGATGCAGTTCCCGATATTCTCTAGTACTTACTCAATAGGCTGCTTAATTGGCCGTGCTAGCAAAGACGCAGACAGTTTTGGGCTGGGGTGTCCGGGTAGCGGCGTCATCATTCGCACTCCCATTGATCTCCTAGAGCATTTGCAACATAGGACTTGGTACGGAGTACAGATATCTGAGAAATACTTTGAACATCGATGGAAGATATGGTGGGTAGGTAGATAGAGGGAAACAGGTGGGTCGGACCCGCCCTGTCTACCATGGCAAGCAAGGCCAAACGTCCTCCAGGGCTGGCCATAGCTCCCTGATAAACAAAATGTACCATGGAACCGATGAATGAGCCCCTTGCATGTTCCCTGGTGGATACATATATGGCTAGGTATGTACGGAGTAGATATTGAATCTTTTAGTATACCCCGTGCATTTGTCAAACATATGGCTTCATAGCACTAGAATATATATCTGCAAGAACTGGATCCGTAGCCTTGATCAAGCTTGTCAAATCAATTGAACACACAACTACGATCTGATACTAAACGAACCATCAATTTGATATATATATATACGCCACTTGAGATGCAAGGTTGGGAAAGAAATGAATAACTTCTCGCGGAGGCATACCTCAACTCCGCGAACACACGGGGTACTATCTGGCCACCATCTATCGGAGACAATAACGGCTGATAGTAAGTAACATCCTAGTATGGAGTACTCCGTACGCCGTAGGGGTGTACCGTTGACTCAGAAAACTTTTTACGGGACCCCTGAAGATCGATCGGCGTTAAATGCAGATCGAGATACAATATAACGGATATGAGACAAAGTGGAGTAAGCAGCAAGCAGTTAGGACTAGCACTAATGCAGAATAAGTTAATATTCAAAGATAGTAGGAGATGGAGATTGAATACGAAGTATCGGCATAAACCGATAGCCTGGACCAAGTTCCATAAAATAGAGTCAGATGCGCAATTTTGAGTCGTAGGGCAGTCAAAACTGGAATAAGAGATGGGAAATTATAGGCGTGCTGTTTCAGTTTATATCGTTCGTATTACGGAATGTGTATGGACACATCTATATGGAAAGGTGGTCCATGTTCCCAATGACCTTCCCCTTCAGACCGTCAACGTTACAGCGTTCAGATGGAGTCCTATATCGAGTCGCCCCCGGTGGAGCACGGAGCATAGTGCAACGCAATGCTAGAGAATCCGCGTTAGCCCCTACGCCACGGGTTTGGTATGGACTAGATTTGGACGTTTTAGGGGATATTACGGAGTAGAATTCCTGCAGTCCCAGGCAACAGGATGAGACGAGCTAGTATTGATTTATCCGGACTATTTATCTTGGTATGATGACTTAGGCACATCAGTGGGCCAGTGCTCAATTTCCCCAGGAGAAAGTGTGACATCAGAGTGGAATCTGCGAAAGGTAGAGACAGAAAAATGGGCCTTTTGGTCATAGCGCCAGCGGCTGTTCCTGGATTTTGTGGATATTTGTTTTTTCTTGGGTATAACTGCTTGTACATGGAATAGGACGTGCCTAATCTCTTCGAGGTATGCAGTCACCTTGGGGAAAAGAGGATTCGCAATTTGTCAGAAACAAACCTAACCCTAAAACACACCAAAACTGACCTGTACAGGGACATGCTCCATCCCAGGGGCCTACAGGCTGAAGGATATGTTCTACTAATAGAAATATGGAGACTAGCGTGGACATGATACACCAAGACACGTCTCAGCCACAACCATGTGGGAATCGCCCCGTGTCGAACCATCCAATGCGCGTCGGCCTGACCCGCCTTAGTTTGATTTTCTGTTTACTGGCGATTGCGCAAAATCAAGGAAAAAATAAGACGGACTAAAATGAAGGTCTGTATTATGGAAATCCTTGCATCCTATTCGGCTTGATACGGATCTGCATTTTATTTGCAAAAGGTAGGGAGATAATCTCCGTGACTCCCCGCAGGACACGGGTTCACCAAACCTGGCAACTGCAGTATGCATGTGTGTCGTCACTTTCGTCACAATCGTCAGGGGTGTGTGTTAGCTCGGCGAGGGGCTGAGAACGGTAGGTGTGTGTGTGTGCCAGAGTGTGTATGAGAGGGTAGAAGCGCTCCAATGAAGAGAAATAATCCCGAGAATGGTAGGATGTAACTGGACCAGTCATCCTGGTGCCCAACCCAATGCGCCCCTTTTTTTTTATGTTTTATGTTATTTTGCGTCTAGGCATGTCGTAATAGATACAATTTGGGCGTTGTGGTTTTTTTATTTCATTATTCTCTCAACATTAATCCCTCGATGGGACATGGTATAGTGCATAGGGTCAGGGAGGATCTCTTGGTAAGGCTCCGAACCGTGCGCAGGATGGGGGGCCGCGCATGTCTTTTTTACTTCTACGGCTTCTACGGCTTCCACGGCTTCCACGGATGTTCTAAGATCCTTCTGGTGGCCTTCTGGAAGGTCAGGAGAAGGCTTGGCAGAGTCATCCGTGCCGTCTTTGTGGCAGAGTGGGTTCTCAGAGGCTGAAGCAAGCCAGCCGGTGGCCTCTAGTGGTCCCGGAAGGGAAAAGGGGGCGAACGAGATGGGTGTGTAATTACCGATGTACACCGGATGGACTCCACAAGATCGTCCAAGAAAAACAGAGGGGAAACCAGAATGAGAATAGCAAGCTTGTCCTACCAATAGTGTAACCGGTATATATGCTACGTGAGATATGGGTTTCTTAGGCTTCTAGAAGGTATCTCAATTTTTACGTATTCGGCCAACACTATCGAGGGTAATCGTATCAAAATAAGTATATCACTCAATATGTCGCACCATGCGAAACCTGCATGTCATCGTTGATCACCGAGGTCTCCCGTTTCTTTTTTTTTTTTTTTAAACAGATTGTATTTTTCTTTCTAGCTTCAGGGGTCATAGTTCCCCCTTTCATACGGTGTATGGGCCTCTCCTCTATTAACGCCTTTAGACATTAGTTCCTCTTAGTCCCTCTTTGGATCTGGGGGAAATCAATACTTGAAATTTCAGGAGGCTATAAGAATTTAAAGAAATTCTGGTTCGGCCTTTATCCATTTTCGGGAGCACGTTGTGGATCTGGTGGTCAGGTTTCCTTCTAGCGGGCTTCGCTGGGTCTAAACTAGTCTTCTAGAAAGGGAGTTTAGTTACGTTCTGGGGGATTTATATATGTATCTATACCTATGATATGGAGTGAAAGTGCAATACAGGAAAGTGAGATTTGAAATTACACCTAGAATAATCTAGATAATACTCAAAAAAGAAAAATCAAAATCAAATGATGTACAGAGAGAGATGCAGACAGTGGCACCTACCACACCTAAATCACCTATAATAATTATAATTCCTAGTTCTCTCCCCCCCTTTCTCTACCTTTTTAACCCTTTTCCTTTCCTTTCGATCTCTTGATTTATATTTCCCCCACTTCGAATATTCCTCTTCACTCTCTACTCGTTTCAAAAAAGGTGTGTGTTTGCTCTCACCGTCTCCATGACGCATCTTGCCTTCGCTGCCCAACCCCCTGTAGCTTGGGTTTCCTAAACACGGACAATTTCAACATTGGTCTCGCAATTTTCGTATGCGTGTGACTGATCTCACCGAGCATTGTGCACGAGAAGATCAGCTTACGGCCAAGCGCTTGTGGAAGGAGATCGGAATCGCAACTATCTTCATATACATTTTCATGCTGACCATCGACTGTTTTTTTCCCGTTATAGGAACCTTAATACCTATCATCCACCTTCGAACGATCGTTCCGCCTTTAGCCGACCACAACATTATCGTCTGGGGCGAGCTTGGGTTTTTGGCCATCGATACTCTTACGCAACCTTGCATTCCACTGCAGAAAAGTGGAGAATTTACCCCGTTCCATTCTTCGCTGAGGGACTGTCCAAGACAGAACGTGAAATACAGGTTCAGGGTGAGTTTCTGGCTGCCCAGCGAAGTTTTCGTTTCGAGCGCGATCGACTGCACCAAAAGTTGGTTCTGACTATATTGTGACCCGGCAGAACTTTTCTCTTTGTGATCCGAATCTCCCTACGACCGCCTTTCATATCAGCCCAGTCCTTGACGCGTAAGGACTTCGAATCCAAGAGCCATTAGACATTGTGGGAAATATTGGTGCAAGGCCTGCTGAAGGACGTCTTCGAAAGCAGTCCTTGACCGCGGTCCCTTGGCTACTTGCTGGGTCGGGTCATGGACTTCACAACCATCCTGAACAGGAAAAACTCCGCAGCAGCCGCCGCCGCTGCCGAAGCGCAGTTACAACAACAGTACTTTCAACAGAGCGCACAGTTACACACCGGAGCTTCGCCCACCATGAAGAGCGAATCAGGTGGCTCGGACAACCCTGTCAACGCGTACCCTCCTCACGGCCCCCCGCCCATGCAAATGGATGCCGGACTTGCCGATTCATTCTATTATGCACAGCCCACGGGTTCAGCCCCTCGAAACATGGCCTATGCCCCTGCGGGATACGCTGGCGATCCTCAGATACAGCAGGAGCCTGTCCCACAGGGAAGGGCGGGAATTGAACCTCCACCAAAGACTTTCCACTGCTCAACCTGCAACAAGGGATTCGCACGGCGTAGCGACCTTGCTAGACATGGTATGTATCCTCCAATCAGTTGAGGAGCTATGTCCATTGACAATTATTAGAACGTATTCATACCGGAGTCCGACCTCACGCTTGCGAGTGGCCAGGGTGTGGAAAGCAGTTCATTCAACGCTCGGCTTTGACGGTACACTCCCGTGTACACACTGGAGAGAAGCCTCACATGTGTGAGAGATGTGGCAAGGTGGGTATCATTCCTCTTTCTGTCCTGGCTCGATCTAACATCTTATTCAGCCCTTTAGTGACTCGTCCTCGCTGGCTAGACATCGCCGTATCCACTCTGGCAAACGACCCTACAAATGCCCGTACGCCAACTGCCAGAAGACCTTCACGCGCCGCACGACGTTGACACGGCACCAAAATCACCACACTGGGACCATCGAAGAAGCCGCGGCCGAAACAGAGGCCCAGTTGCGGCAAAACAAAGATCGTGGACGCCCTGGCGAGGGAATGTTTTCCGAGCACGCTTCCATCCATTCTACACCGTCACCCGCCCAACACCCGTCCATGTCACCTGGCGGTGAGCTCCCGCCGCTGAATATGCACCGCTCTGCTGGCGACTACTACATGGGCACCGGTCCTATTCCGCCTCATGTGCGTGGGGATTTCCCTCAAGGAAGCCCCCCGGGCTTCCCCGACTGCAACCTCCCCTTCACTGTCCAGCTACGGCAGTGCACCCCACGCCCGGCCATCCATGACTTCGCATCCCTACGCTCCGCCCCAACCTCTTGAACCCCCGGCCAACAGTGACCACCGTCCCAACAGCGTGAACGGCAGTCCTCACATGGCTAGCCTTGGATGGGCCTCTCCGTCTCATGGTAGCATGCCATCGCCCGGATCGGCCAATGACTTCACTTATCCTGAACCCACTGGCCCCGCGTACCCGACATCGATGCCGCAGCACATGTACTTCCCCAACTCTACCATTCGTCGACCTACCAGCACCGAGCCGGAGAACTACGAAATGAAGCCCCGAGGTGACCACTCATGGTCCACTGCTGTATGATGCGAATCACAATACAAGTGTCTCGCAACGGCTTGAATTTTCCATTGTTTCCTTTGTTTAATAACTTCATTGCATAAGCCCCTTGATTCCCACGAGAGAATAAATCTATGCCTCTCGATTGATTTCTTATTTCCTTTGTTTTTTTTTTCACGCATTTTCTCATATGTTTGTACTATATTTGATGGGAAACCAGCGCACTGGAAGGAGTCGGACGGTCTGATCGTGTTTCCAAATCTGCGATTTATTGTTTTGTTTCAAGATGTCGTCTCTCGCCCTTGCACCTTTTCTTTTGTTCAATGCTTGCGGGATGACATTACCGAGACACGATCAGATGAGGAACTGCATCCATGGGAATAGATAGAGGGTTGGACACAGGATTGTCTTTGGTATGGATGGGTTCGGGAAGGATCTGGGTTTGTTTTAGGGAGACTCCTGATGCTGGTGTCTGGCTGGAATTTAGTTTTAGTTATGCCTCTTATTGTTTTCTTGTCTGATTGTCTCATACATCTAATTATTGTGTTACTTTTTTTCCTGCTCTCTTGACTGTCGTTTATGACGTCCTTTCCCTTTTCTTCCTGCCTGCTCTTCGACGAATACCATCTTCCAAGTGAGATCGTCGTACACCAGCGGTTGTCTTGTATAATAGTGATAATAGACAGTTATGAACCTCACATTCCGTGTCAGATCGCATGTTACGTGAGAGTATAATTTCACTGACCTCCAGCTTGGTATATTGGGCCTCGCAATGTTTGGTGAATCATATATCTGTCCATGGTGAAACTCCGTCGCCTTGTAAAGTGTATATCCAGAACCAAGCACTAGCCAAGCACAAGGTTGAGGTCACGATGCCCATCTTGTTATTCCGTACATGGGGCGTGACAGGTGTGCCAATGACAGCTTGTGGTCCCGCCAATCGATTGGAAGAAATGGCTGCACTAAGCTCTTGCTCCCAGCGCTAAATGAGACTCAAAACTACCCGGAATAGCCTCTCTCGTTTTGCCCACCCTGCTCGACGAATCGTCATATAGCACGCCCCCACTGACTCGTGTTGGTTGGATCGACCTGTTGGAAATGTGCACTGGGAGCATAACCATGGTAACAAATAATGCCACAATCGAGGAATTTCGTAAAGCTATTGAGCAGTCTGGGCGTCTCAAGAAGTTGGCTCTACATGCAATGCTTTCCATTCCTCTTAGCTTCTACTCCAGCCTGTTAGGTCTGAACACTGATCTAGGATATGGTCCCTCTAGGGCTCAAACAAGAGCTGAGAATTTTTGTCATGGTCGGTATCAGATCTACAATCGAGTAGATGAGATCATGAAGGTACAATATGTGTATTGTAGATTGCGTGCAACAGTGGACGAGAGGAACTTTGATACCGCAAATGTCGCTCGCAAGATGGTCGAGCACCTGACCTGCTCAGCGCATTCCGATTAGCCGATCATATTTCTCGCGCGCCGTTGATCATAATACTAGAAGAAGTCAGAAACGTGCTCAGCGACTGAGTCAAATGACAGCACCTACATCACTTCCCCAATGTGACCTGGAGCTGTTCCATCAAGGTATTTTAGATGCCACTTCGAGGCCGTACTTCTCGTAATCAAAGTCTTCCAGACTAGGTATGCTTTCAGCCCAGCCGTCATCAATCTCTCCTAGCTGCCAATCATCTCCGACCTGAAACCTTCCTGACTTCCCTGCTAGGATATCCTTGTGCATCGACTGATACTCTGCTGCTACATCTGGATGTGGTACCCAAACAACTCGCATCCCAGCCCGTCTTCCTGCCTCTACCCCAGCGATGCTATCTTCAAAGACTAAACATTCGCTAGGCCGGATGGTGGTTCCCCCAGAGCCTATTGCCAAGTTTAACGACTGCAATGCGAGCAAATAAATGTCAGGCGCTGGCTTCCCTCGACCCCGTCGCACTCGAGGATCATCACCTAGGACCCTTCTGTCCGGGTGGAAGAAGCTCAGTAGACTTTTCGATTCTGACCCCGAAGTTTTCAACTCATAACTACGGCTTTTAGTGCTGGAAGCTAAAGCCAACCGAATCATATCCCCAGACAAAGCGCTCCGTGCATGGCTAAGACGCAATAAAATGTTTCCCGCGCCAGGCAGCAGCCTACAATCTGGAAAACGTAGTCGCATAGCCTCACTTGATTCGCGTGCGAACTGCTCGCGGGAGATTGGCAGCTTAGCCCAGTTGTGGAATACGTCGCCATTCGTCGAGTCCGCGACGCCCATGAGCTGGGCTTGAATTGACCTAGTCAACGGAGGCCTTCCATACTTTCCAAGCAATTCGTCTATAGCAGAGCGATGATGTCTTCGGAGTTGATGAGGAGACCGTCCATGTCGAAAATGCAGGCGCGAATTGCGGGGAAGCTGGTGCTCCTCGTTAGCTGGTTTTTTTTTTTTTTGGTATTCGTCTGTTGGTGGTCGAGAATGGCTTCGCTGAATCTTCTACATAGATTCTTATGTTGGGTGTCACTCACTTTGTCTTCGGGGAAGCCATGACGAACGAATAAAAGCAGGATTTAATCCTGATTTCATGGCACTGAGGGTGATATGAGGAGAGGTGAAGTGGAATTGAGGCAATCCAGGCTTGGGGGACCGGAGGATTGCGGAGCCACCAACCTCAGATCTCATGCAGTATATTGTACAGGAGCTCTCGAGCTTAGGGGTATATTGCGTGGGAGCTTCTCTTTGCACACGCGTTACCATGTAATCGCTGGTGGTGCGAAGAGTGCTTTTTTTCGGTGAAGACTTCCATCCATTTTCCTGTGATGTTTTCACTCCTCCCATGTAGTATATTCGAGTGCAGGGCATCGTCTATTTTCTGATGATCCTAAGCTTAGGGGGGATATAGTTGTAAAGTGTGAAGGTGAGGACACAGGGGACGCATTTCGCCCTGTAAGGAGTTGGAAGCTGGGTTTGATTGAGTCTTGCTATTTATTGATTCTTTCCTGGAGCTATTATTGGACTTGATATCATCTAATGACACCTAATAGCTTGTGAGGCCATAACCTTTGTCGGAAGTGGTGTATTGACTAGTGAGTAGGGCATGGGTCAGTCAAGCTTGGAGAGATATGAGCTATCCTCGGGCCTTGGCATATATTTCGGCTATATACTTGCGTGTACTGAGATTTCTTGTCTATTCATGGTCTGAGATGGTGAGAAAACAAAACGATTGATCCCAAGCAGTGATTCTACCAGTCGGCAATTTTACCTCGCAACATTGTGGTTGATCACGTTGGTACACGAACCAACAGAAGCCAATAACCAAAAACTTGAATGAAGAATAATGTCTCATGTAAAAGCCAATTGGATCTTGACTTTATAGAACCGCTCGTGTTGACCCTCGTATTCATGTGGCGTTAGGAGAACATTGATCGTGGTTAGGGAACGAAGGTCTGGGGTAGTCGCAAATATGGTTTGAACGTGAAACAACATCATAAAATGGTGTAGATAGCTTCGTATCAGGTCATCTGGTCGTGTGCTTATTCGAGAACTCATGCTTTAGGCATTTGTGGGTGTTGGTGTGGGTTGTATATATAAACACCCATAGTGTCCTTCACTCCCATCTTACTGAATAGCATCTTCAATAACGACCACACCGTGTTCTTGCGTAACCGAGACCTATATATCTAAGCCAGGACAATGCATCTTGACAAGGCTCTTATTCTTTTCCTCGCTCATCTCGCCCTGAGCAGTAAGTATTTCCACAACTAGGTACTCCGTACATCAAACCCAACTTACTAACCACATCTTTCTACAATACAGAAGCAGCGGCTTGCCCAGCAGGAGGATGCGGCAGTGCCCCCGCCTGTGCCCCCACTGAGATATGCACAACAGCAACCTTTGTTTCGCCTTCGACAACGACTATCACGACCTGTGTCCCAACGCCCACCTGCGCGGGAGTCTACTGTAAGAACCCCCAAACCACATCTAAGCACGACGTTGAATGTATCCCACTCTGACTGAACTAAATGGTAGCATCGTGCGAGTTTGGCACCCCAAACAACCAATGCTGCTCCGGCTACTGCGCTGCTAACAAATGTCGATCGACGGATAATGACTGGCCATCCTGCAAAGAGGATGGTGGGCCTTGCGTTGTCGATGAACACTGTTGTTATGGGAATGCTTGCAAAAATGGCATATGTAGTCGGAATTGATGATTCGGGATCGTGATATATCAAAATGTCTATAGCAAGTGTATTCGGAACTAATCAATGACTCTATTGAATTAAGACCAGGCCATTTACTTTTGGGCTGCATGATCCTGTCGAGTGTTGGAATGCACTTTGAGTCCAATGTAATATTTCCACGCATTTCTCATACAAGCAGTGATATGTATGCACTCACATAGCCAACACTTGTGTAGCCCGTTCAGTAAACGCCTTCATAGCAGTCCTCCACAACTCTGGCCCAACACTGACCCTCGCAACCCCCAGTGCCCGAATTTCCTTCACGCTCAAAAACCCATCTTTCAAATTCATCTTCACATTAACCATACCTCCCAGGGCATCAACCAACCTCTGTACTTCCACACTCGAAACCCCCTCCCCACTAGGCCCGCCCCAAACAAAGACCGTAGTAGCACCGGCCTCCAAAAATGCTCTCCCGCGCTTAATAGCCTCTTCAATAGTCCCATTCTTTGTCAACAACACATCAGTCCTAGCATTGACCACAAAATCAGGAATCCCGGCAGCCTTTGCCGCCTGAACCACAGCCCCGACCCGCGCCACAGCCTCATCTACCGACCGCAGCACACCATTCGCGTCCATGTCTTCAATATTACAACCCACAGCGCCTAGCGCGATAACCTGGGCGATGGTATCAGCCAGCTCAGAGACATCACCGTACCCATCCTGCACATCGACGGTCAGTGGTTTAGTAGGGTTGATAGCGCGGGCGGAAGCGGCGATGGCGGCTATCGCGGTCAGGTGTTGGGCTTTTGTTAGGGCGTTATCGTCTACGCCGATCGATGCAGCGATCGCATATGACCCTGTTGCGATGGCGGGTGCTGCTGGCAGTGAGGCGATTATGGAGGCTGTTGCGGCATCATGGACGTTTGTCAGGATTAGGGGGTTGCCGGGTTGGTGAAGAGAGCGGAGGTGTTTGGCGATGTCATTTTGGGTTGGCATTTGTTGACTTGGTTTGGGATCTTAGATACTAGAGATATTTGGGATTTGCTATTCTACATACAATATAGTCCTAGAACATAGTCAACTTTGACGTTGAAGTCTTGAGTCATTGAATACGAGGTACAAGCGAAGGATTTCGGAGCCGAGAACATCTGCTCCGATCTACGCAGATCGAGGCAGACAATGGGGGTATTATTTCCCCTTGTCTCAGACTAGACTTGGAGAATAAGCCGATGGCGCAAGGGATCCACGGTATTTTCCCCTCTCTGGCTTATGAAGAATTACATTGAGACCATGCAGGTCATTACACTGCTTACAGGAACTCCCAATGTAACTCCAATGCTCTCGGATTTGCCACAGCATCTGCGTGAGAATGTTGATTGGGGTCGAGATCGACTTAAATTGACTGGTTCAACACCCAACATGGGGGCGAAACTGCAAAGGAACAGAAACAGAAAAAAAGAAAAGAAAACAGGGTGTAATACAATAATAGACACCCCGGAGCCTGATGGCTTGCTCTCCATTGCTCCATTGGGATGCATGATGGACCTTCCATGCAGCTGTGAAACCGAAGATCCAATAAGAGGAACTGCCTGAACTGTGGACTGGACTGAGTGAACTGTCTATAGACGGCCTGAATTGCCGTGGAATTTACCCTCCATGGAGATCTCTTTTCCCACAACCTCTTTGTTTACATTTGCAAGAGAAACAAAAAAAAAAAGAGCCCGTAAATCAAAAGACCGATAACATGTGGTACGAGGAATTGGCCCCGTATCTCGGCCTATCGAAAAGAGTAAGAGCCCGTAGCAAGTCCACTAGTCCGATGTAGGGCGAAAACATTGGTAACACTGGGAACCTTCCGGGTTGGATGGCCGGTGCATATGAACGAGGGGCAAAGCTGTGGCATTCCTGAGGTATTGGGAGGGTAAAATAAGGATTGGAATGTCTTCCCAGGGTCTCTCGTTTCAGATGTTCTTTTTATAAAACCCACGGAGGACTCCGTACGGGTCTCTTTGTGCTGCCAATACTCAAATACTCCGTGTTGAATAGAAAGTCAAATCAAACCCGATCACACCCGTCAACGTTGAAAGTCCCGTCCTGTTCCTTCTCACGGTATTTGTGTATTTTATTGGGACTGCGGTTGTCGGCTGCGCTTAGTTTGAGATCTCCTTGTATATTATAGGTATCTGTAGACTGACAAGGAAACAACCAAACATCTGGGAGATTGACAAAGGCTCTGAAACAGATAGGATAGGTAAAATATACGGAAGGCAGGAATAGCAAGTATAGGATTATAGAATGGACTACGGAGTATATTACTATTCTATTCGATTCCTCTTTCAATGCTCTTTCTATTGTATTTCGATGCTCTTTCTATTATCTCTCTATTCTGGGTCTATTGGATGTCGATTGTATCTATTGGATGTCTTATATACCATCCTGAGTATCGTACTTTGACTCAATACATTGAAATTAATTTAAAAAGGAAAAAGAAAGAAAAATTACCGATCGGGAATCCCCTGTAATTTTACGAATCGCCGTCAGCTCTCCCCACTCTACGCTTCGCCTTGGACTGCCATTCTGCCATTCTGCCTTCCTCCTTCTCTCTTACATTTGACATTTCCCATTGCCTTCATATCCATATTTTTTAATTCCGATCTTATGTATGGTTTTACCTCACTCCCTGCAGTTGGCCGCCTGACCCGCAGCTCTTACGCTGCCATCCGACCCTGCTCACCTCGAATCCCTCTCACTTCCTCTCTCCGACCTTGACCTCTCCTCAACTCCCATAATGTCGACCGGCTTGAAGATTCCCCAGACCGGGCTGTCTCTCCACCTCGGAGACGAGTCCGGTGATCCTTCTGTCAAACCAAATCAGATCATGCGGTTGAATCTGGTGCAGAGCACCCTCGATGATCTGATTGAAAGCCTACGAAAGGATCAACCGGCTCGAGTCCGGCTGGGAAAGCACCCATCACTCCACTACGGGGGCAAGACACAAATGTTCCATGCGTACCCTGAAACACACCGATCCGAGATCTACCATACCTCCTCCGATAAAGAGACACTGTATTTCACAGGGGTTCTAAGTCATAGTCTGGAGGTGGAAAAGGCTAAAAATGCTACCGCGGCCACCGATCAGGCACTGGCAGATTTAGAGGAGAAATTAAATGCCCATGAGAGGGGGAAGGAGTCAAAGAAAACTCATATCATCTCACATCCGGATGAGTTAAAGGCTCTACGAGGCAGCAAGGCAGGCTACAAAGGTCCCACCACCAAAGTCGAACTTGAGAAAGACCGTTTTCTCAAGACTGCTGCCAATCGTTCTCTCACTGCAAGTCCTATCTTGGGTGCTCCCAAGTCTCCCTCTCTCGCAATGACCCCAACATCTGCTCCAATGATGCAGAACAAAGACCGTGTGAGGCTGGAAGCCCTCAAGATTCCTTTCATTCACCTTCTCGCCGTCCGCGCCGTATCAGCCAAGTTTCTTGCCCGCCAGACCCGCAGCACCGTCGAAGACTGCATCGCCCTCGGCGAGAAATTCGGGGTCGTGAACCGAATTAACCCCGAGAAATACAACCTCAAGGACAAGGTCTACAAGGATCTAGATTTGTTTGGCTTCAATTACACCGAGGAGGACCGAAAAGAAGCCATTGAGAATTCGATTTCTGCCTTCGATCGGATGCGCATCTCTCGATCCGACAAACTCTGGCAAACGCTTCTACCAAAGGCTGAACGAGGCAAAGGGAAGTGCCTTTCGCGTTTGAACCTTCGTACTGGCCCACCTCAGAAACCTACCGGTTCCCTCGCCAAAGGTAGCGGAGAGGACTCAGGCAAGGATAATGAGACCGACCGCGCCACAAAGGGATCTGCGCCTGCTACCAAGACTACTTCGGCCTCGCAAAAGGCTCGTGACAAGGAAGTGACCAAGCGACCCACCAAAACCAAGAATACCAACAGCACCCTCACCGGGCGGGTTACTAAGAAAACTGGTGGGAAGGCCCCAGCCAAAGTGGACAGCAAGATCAAATCTGCGGAGTTCGTCCACAGTTCGGATGACGATGATGATACCGACATGCCTGATATTCCCCCCGCCACCCCCACTCCCGCTCCCGTGCCGACACCTGCACCTAAGCAGCAAGCGAAGGAGCACAAACGCACTCCATCCAATTCGAAGCCCCCAGCACCGAAAATCAAGGCACCGGCCAAGCCTCGCATCACCGAGACTACTTCAGTCCCATCTGCGCCCGCTCCCAAGGCTAAACCTGAGACGTCAAAGCCTAAACTTGAACCACCCAAGCTTGAACCACCCAAGCCAGTCACCAAGGTTACAGCTTCCAAGCGTCCTCCCTCTCGACTCTCTACTTCGCCACAGAAGCCGTCTCCACTCGGTTCCTCTCCTCCTGCCAATGTCTCCGATACTACCAGCAGCAACCGCAGCCGATCTGATAGCCAGAACCAATCCTCTGGCTCGTCCTCGTCCTCGCCTCTCATCTCCCAGCTGGCCAAAACCACCAAGGTGGGCCGTGTAGCCCCTGCTGCTGCCAAAACTGTCAAAACTACTCCCCAAGCCAACGCTACCACGAAGGCTACCCCCGCTACCAACAACCCATTGAAGCGCAAGGCTGAGCCCGATCAATTGTCTGTGCCTCGGGCAGGACGTCCTAGTGGAAACCTAGAAGCAAAGCGGCGCCGAGCAGTCAGCTCCTCCAGCGGTGGCAGCACTGGGAGTGCATCTCCCCCAATGAGCTATGAAATTCTTCGACAGCAACTACGGGAGAAGTCTCAGAAGTTTAAGAACTTCTACACAAAATACCGCAATCTGCATGACTCCCTTGCAGCTCTCCCCAACCCGCCCCAGGTGGATCTCGACAAGCTGCAAAAGCAACACACTCATCTGCAGCGTATGAAGAAGGAAATCTGGGAGGAAGATCGGCAGCTTCGTGATGGCCTTCATTCGTAATTTAATTTCGTTCTTCTCTTTTGCCCCATTTGCATGATGACCATATCGCACTCGACAGAGTGCCAAGTGCACCAATAGGCTCGGCGTTTGTATGTTTATCTATCATATGTTCATCTTTACCATAGCAATTCATATTCTTATGACTCAGTCTTCTTATCCTGTTCTAAAGTATGCTTTCGGGTAGCCAGACTACTAATCAAGATGAACAAGTAACAGCTGAGCACCATAATTCTGAAACCAATGAAAGTTCACAAGTTGCTGAAATATCCATAACCCAGTCCAATTTCAGCTCGTAAGCAATAAGCAATGGAACCGGTTTCCGGTAGATCATCACTTTTACCCCAGATCGACCGAAACGCCATCTGCCATCTGCTAGTCCTAATGAGGGATGGTGGACCCTGTCTCGTTGGGCGGTGTAACACGTGGCAGTGTCATGTGATTGGTGAAGAGAATACACGTGATTGAAACAGCAGACGTCATTTGGCCGTTCAGTAAGCTATTACTAGTTAGGCTTAGCTTCTAGGCCATCCGAACTTGCTGGCTCGGAGCATTATACTAGCAGTTGTGACACCCACAGCCACTGGTTTCTTCTGTGTAAACAAGTGATAGCAAATAATCACCGAAGGCATACTCAAGAGCCTGCTTTAAGCTCGTTTGACAATGACCCCCCCGGCTCGAGGACGGGGGACTAGCCAGCGCAGCCCAACCGTCTTGGTGGGATTGACTATCACACCAACCGTACGAACCAAGATCAGCTAACACATATCTTCAACACAGGTAACAGATTCCCGAGACCAGCAACAGCCCCAAGCACCCCGTCGACGCCGCTCGCCAGCAACCCGATTCATCACCGTCGACAACGTCCTCCAATACGCCTCTGACGTTCCTTCAATGCAGCAGCGCGGCCCACCACCCATCTCACGGTCGCGCCGTCTTGCCTCCGCAGCTGGAGGTTTAATTACTAGCGCAGGTAGTAGCAGCTCGAGCGATGTGGCCGCTTCCGGCGGCACGATGAGCCGACTTGCCGCACAACCGCGACTCCCTCCTCGAACGACAAAAGTTAGCGAGAAGCTGGTTCTTCTGCCCGACACCGGCGAGATAGAGGAGGGTGAAACGGAAGAAGAAGACGATGACTCCGATGGTGCGGACCTCGTGGATGAGGAACTTGTTGCACGTCTGGCCAAGGAGAAAAATGTCGACCCGGAAAGGATCAGACACCAATTGCTTATGTCCAAACGACGCGGAGGCGATTTTGACGTCGATAATGATCTGGCACCCCTGCTGGCTCAAGAGGAGGTCTTGAAGAAACGCCGTATCGCGCCCGAGCGCGCGAAAAGTTATGCCGAGCGGTTGCCGAAAGCGCGGCGGACGGAGAAGCTTGCGCGTGTCACGGCGTACTGTACGGCTCAGGCGTACAAGATGGGATCGCTTGCTGCTTTCGTTAAGGAGCAGCATGGTGGGCGGACGAAGCTTTATGATGATTGTCTGTACACCGCGTATCATCTCCCTCTTTTGCCAGGCCATGAGGGGTACCGTCTGCGGAGTAGCCCTGTGTTGAAATATCCTGGTGGCAAATCACTTTTGGATGAGGAGATTGAACGGAACGAACTTCGTGATTATCATGATGAGTACATGCTCGAGACGGAGGAGCATTCGGTTGGTGGACACAATCGTCCTGAGGATGAGCACCATTATGAAGCGTCGCCGCGACAGTCCGAGGGTCTTGGTCATGATTCTCGGGAGGAAAATCGTGAGGAGTTCTTGAATCGGATCACCGAAGAAGTTCGGGGCCACCCCAATGGCCATGAACATGCTGCCAACTCCGGCGAAAGTTTCGATGGGTTGCAACTTAACCCGCAACAAGACAGCAATGAAGTAGCTCGGCAATCTTCGCCTGAACCTGCAGTCCGCCGCCGAAGGCACAGTACGGACGACACCCACGCTTTGATTCGAGACCGACCTTCGCTGCCAGCCACTATACCCTCCTCGTCTTCATCACCGCCGGCTTCAACGCCGCCAGCCCCAGCTCGGACGTTATATAATGTTGCTGAAATGTTCGTCTTCAGCTACGGCGTCGTCGTCTTCTGGAACTTTACCGAGCGACAGGAGAAAGACCTGCTGGCAGATTTGGCCTTTGCAACATCATCGGCAACCGGTATCCCTACTCCTCTGGCGACGATGCCTCTTGACGAGGAAGACTTTGAGACAGAAGAATTCCATTTCGAGTATTCGACCGAAATCTCGCGCCCACGAGTTTACAACGACATGATTACTCTTCGCAGTGGCGACCACATGATCAAACTCGCTATCAGTCATGGTATTTCACAGAGTACCAAGCTGTGCTTCTTTGAGGAAGTTATGGCCCGGCAGATGGCGGACGCTAAAGACGTTCCCAGACGTCTCGCTGTTACAGGCCAGCTGGGCATGAAGCGCGAAGAGGTTTTCCGGATCTTAGGTCGTTTGTTTAAGAGTCGGGTTGAGGTCAATCTTTGTAAGTCCCCAATCCCCTTTATAAATTATCTTGCACGCTATGTTGCAGAGATACTTTGTTCCATACTAATATTTTCCACCAGCGTCTAATATGCTCGATGTCCCTAACTTCTTCTGGGAGAGCGAGCCAACCCTTTACCCGCTCTACATTGCTGTGCGCGAGTATCTGGAGATCAAACCACGTATTCAGGTCCTCAACGAGAGATGTCGAGTATTCCTTGATCTTGCGGAGATCCTATCTGACTCGATTGCCGACAACCGCACTTCCCGTATGTTTTGACCTTCTCTTCCCTCTCTAGCCTCTCAACTGACCACATTCTAGACCAAACCTGGATCATCATTGTGCTCATCGTTATTTCAATCATCGTTACACTCTCCGAAGCCTTCCTCCGTTTCGGCCTCCTCCATGCCAGTCAGGGTGCCGCTGGCACACCTGCCAGTATCTTAGCCCGTGTCATGGGCCGATCCGTTACTCCCTCTCCATCCCCAGAATGGAACCCATACTCTACCGCCAACGCGCCACCAGGCTGCATTTGTCCCTCTGTCGGCCCTGCGGGCGCTGGCGCAGATATGGGCGTTAGTGGAATGATGAGATACTAATTCATTTTCTTTTCTAAAAGGTGGACATTATGGCGCAATTGGTGTTATGGAAAAGGACACTGGACAAATTTTACTTTAGTTACATATTACCTCAAAACTGACAGATTCCTAATGCTTGTTGACTTTTTGATTGACTTTGTTAATTTCTTCCTTAACCTGCGGCTTTAGCAACAATCTACTTCACATTCCTAGTCTTCATACGCTCCAACTGCGTAGACATGCAGTCGGCCCCCAATATTGGCTCCCTCATACGTAATAGCTGCCCCTTGCATCTGCCCCCTCATGTCGACCACATGACACTAGGTGCCTTTTCAACGCCTCTTCAGCGCCTGCATTGGGGGCTTGGATTGCCTAGACGCATGTAATTCGACTGGAAATTTCACATGGCGACTTTCGCAATCTTTGGGGCGTACAAAAGCCAGCAGTAAATTGATTTGACTACTATAGAACCCATATTATGAAAATGGCTACAAACTCCATCTCATTTCGGGGCCATCGTCATACTTGAATGATATTTGATTGAATACTTATCGTCCTACTGTTAACATCCAGCTCTACTACCTCGCAACAAGCTTGGTTAGTAGTGGCTTCTTGGCCCATACAACAAAAGCTTTCTGATCAGCCCATTGGGTACACTCCGGAGAGAGGTGTAGGTCAAATCGCCACAGAATATTTACCAGAATCAGCTTCATCTCAGCTTTTGCTAGACTAGATGTATATATCTGCTGGTTAATACTTCCAAGCTTGTCTTTGTCATCAGGAGGGAATCATATCCTCTACATACCTCTGTCCAAGACAGCCTCGAGGACCATCCGAAAATGGCCGTAGGAGATCCTTGTTGTCACCAGCAAACTGATCGTTTTCTCCCTTCAGCCATCGCTCTGGCAAAAACCGATCTGCCTGAGTGAATTTGGTTGGCGATCGGTAGGAAGCAAAGTGTGGAACGGAAACAGCAGTCTATAACAGGTTAGAAAATAGGACACGACGGCGGAGGTGGTTCCTGACTTTTCCAGGTACAAATTTGCCGAGGATAGTAGCGCCGCCTTCGGGGACGACTCGCGGCATCCCAAGCGGCGCTGCTGGGTACATGCGCAGGGATTCTTGCAGGACGGCATCGAGATAAGGAAGATCAGCCACCGAGACAAACGTGATCTCCGAGGAAGATTGAAATCGCGAGCGGATCTCTGATACTAGTCTCCGGTAGGTCTCTGGCCTATCTAATAGCAGGAAAGTACACCCTGACAAAGTAGTTGCCGTGGTCTCACTGCCAGCAATGATCAGAAAGGTGGCATTAGAACGTATCTCGTCCTCGGACATTTTCGCTTTGAGACTTTGTTTGGAGTTCACATGGGCGATGTAGTCTGGGGTGGACGAGTTCTGATCTCTTTCCATCCGTTGAGCAATCTTAGAATAAGTAAAGCTGACGCTCTCTGCGCGAGTGCGGAACAAGTCGCGATATAGAAAAGAAGCGATACCTTTGATCGGATATGATAGTAGAGAAATATACTTGGACATGCTGATAATAGTCCACAGCTTGAGCGAAGCGAATTGCATAGAGACAAAAGGATGATAGCGGGCGTCTTCCAGACATGAAAGTGATTCGCCGTACACATATTCCGCCATGAAATCGAACGTTGTGTAGGTATACCATTCCACCAGGTCGACAGTGGATCCGGCACTGGCCTTTTCGTGCAGCCTCTTTATCAGGGCATCAACGTATCGCTGGAGCACATGTTCTTGGTACTTGAGTGCCGCATCAGAGAATGCACTAGCTAGTATCCGACGCTGACGGTGATGGACATCATCTGTGGGAGCAACTGCTAGATTAGAAGCGCCGCTTTTTGCAACGTTGAAAAACCGCGGGTCCTTCGGGAAATTGGTTGAAAACCCGTAGATATCCTTCCACGCTTGCTCTGTTCGAAAGCTCAGCTCATCGGGAGCGATCCGGACAACATCGCCATACTGCTCGTGTAGGCTTCTGGCATAGGTGTGGAGCCGGCCGCTAGTGTAGGCGCCAGCATGGGGGAGCCTTGAGATGGATGCCAGAAAGGGTCCTGGATACTGACTGAGCGGATGGACATATCGATTGTAAATCGCCGTCCAGATAATATATACTATGATTCCCTGGGCAAAAAAGACATGAACTGTCTGTCAAGTTTGAGAGACAGAGGGTGCTCACAAGAGTGGCTAGCTGGAGCATCGGCATATTGTGATGCAAGTTGTAATTTTGCAATGGTAGGCGATACTTGGCAGCAGTTGGAATTGTCGATAAAAGGGCTGAGAGCTAGGCTGTAGTTGCATCACCCACACGATATCCAGACTTGTTTTAGGGTTGATCCTCAGAACCTGATAATGGTTGGTGAACATGTTGGAGTACTTATACGGCATATTAGGTGAGGCCATCGCGCCTAAATAATTTAGTCAGCCCCTTATTTTACCGCATAATCTTTGTCTGTATGCCTAGATCTATATGGCTTCATGACGTCTTGCACGGTCCTCATTTCTCATTTCTCATTTCTCATGGGCTTCGTGGTACAGTCAAGATGCAAGCCCCATTTACCTTGGTGTATAGGTCATATTATTCAAACCAGGTAACTTCCACCGAAACCTAAGGTTCCAGGACTATATAAACCGCTACAACATATGAGACAGACTAGAAACACGGAAAGGGTTAAGAAGCTAGTAGAAACCCCCTATGGTTAATTCCTATTACTTAGCCATGTCGTCTAGCGTTGTATACAGCACCTAGGTAAAATTTGAACGTTCACATGTCTTGGGTAGCCTTAATTGTGATATCAATATTTTATTAACATCCATTGTTGTATCATGGATGTTTTAGTGGCTGCAGCTCCAGAGATCCCGGGGCAAGGGGCAAGCCCCGGCAGTGCATGGCCTACTGGATTTATGTTCAAATCCCACGGGAGTTTGCCAAAACACGCCGGATAAGTATCTCATACGGTATACGAAATGTACTCCACGGTAAGAAACGCGTGGAAAGAGCGGTGTACAGGCGGAGAAAGATTTCAAACAGGCAGGTATATGCATGTATTATTTAGACTTGTCAGATCGAAGCAAGGCGCTTGTTATATACAGGCGTGGGCTACGCATTTGGCTTAATTCGGCTCTCTACGACATCCGAACAAACCTTTGTTTACGAGGATGACCAGGCTCGATCGCTATGTAAAAATGGGGCATATATATATATATATATAGATAGATAGATAGATCACGACATACCCGGCGCTCAGGAGTGTCCTTGATATCTTTCTTTTCGCGGATGTTATTATTTCTGAAATGACTCGATCCACGCCAGTTACTGTTAATCCCATCAACCTGGTCCTGGACCTCGGAGGGGTACTATTCCATCCACAGTTTGGTCAGGTGAAGCTAGCCACCCACGCATCTCCTATATCGGTGAAAAGGCTAGTTTCTACATCGACGTGGATGGCCTATGAGTGTGGAAAGCTCTCGGAGAAAGAGTGTTACCAACAACTAGCGGATCAATATGGCTTCCAAGCAGATGATCTTGCGATAGCCATAACAAAAGGCCGTGCGGTTGCTGATTATGACAGAAATCTAGTGGCAAGTCTTCGCGACTTTAAAAACGCCATGGCTGGCAAGGTGGTGTTCATACTCGCATCGAACATTTCCAGCCCTGATTACATCGCTCTTCAGGAGCTGTGGGGGAAGGATTTCTGGTCCCTTTTTGACCACTGCTTTCCCTCTTCCACAGTAGGCACTCGCAAGCCAAGTATGCGGTTCTACCGCCACATTCTGGGAGCCAGTGGTGCTGTACCGGAAGACACCATTTTCGTGGATGATCGGCCGGAAAATGTACTAGCGGCTTCTGCTATGGGAGTCAAGGGGATTGTATTTACTGATGGAGAGGATCTCCTGCGGAGTCTCATGAACATGACCGGTGATCCGGTAGAGCGAGGCCAGACATTCCTCCAGGCCAAAGCTGGCCAGCACTGCTCGATCACAGATCGAGGAGAGCAGGTAAAAGAAAACTATTCTCAGCTTTTGATGCTGGATATCACGGGTGATAGGTACGTTCCAATCCTGAGGTAAATGCGACAGCGGAATTAATGAGATTGTCTTGGCCAGCTCACTGGTGTCATTGAATCGTCCTCCAAGGTTCTGGAACTTCTTTGCTGGTGAGTTGCTCGGTATTTGAGTGAATGGGCAATCCCCGAGTTAACTATCGTTCCGTAGGCGCTCCAAAGTTCACTACAGACACCTACCCGGATGACCTTGATACTACCTCTTTGGCATTGGCATCAATGCCCTACGAAGCCTCGGTGGTGCATTCCATACTAGATGAAATGCTGAATAGTGTTGACGAGGATGGCTTGCTTAAGGTTGGAGAGCTACCATTTGACTCCCCTACAATCTAGCTGATGAAATTGGTCCTCTGTAGTTTTACCTCGACGACTCGCGCCCTCGGGTTGACGCAGTCATTTGCCTCAACATTCTCACACTTTTCTGCATCTACAAAAGAGGCTACCAGCTGCCAGAAACTCTGAGCTGGATCTACGATATTTTGCTTAATCGGGCCTATATGCATGGCACTCGATACTACACTACTCCGGAGTGGTTCTTGTATTACATGAGTCGACTCCTCTCTCGAACGAATGATCCTATCTTGAGGGACCGATTTGAGAACCTTCTCCGAACGCGAATTATGGAGCGGATCGGTGCCGAAGGTGATGCACTGTGTTTGGCCATGCGTCTGAATGCATGCAATTTGCTTGGGATCTCAAATCGCCCTGACTTTGATACTTTGACTGCTGCTCAGTGCAGGGATGGAGGCTGGGGGGCTTCGTTGATGTATATCATTCCGGGGTCTAGTAGGAAACTCGGAAACAGAGGCTTGACGACGGCATTCGCAGTCAAGGCACTCCAGGGTGCCGTTGACAGACTGAACTAAATTAATCTTGGATATATGTGGATTATAATATCAGGTGTACAAATGATATACTTCTCATGTTTCAGGTTGAGTGGGATGCAACTCCCTCTCTCTCGCTTCTTTCATAGCTTCCTCTTGTTTTCTCCAATTTGATTTCGGGACTGTTCTTGAGAAATACTCTGCCTTTAAACCAACAAAAATCCGAGAAGCGAAATGCCAGCGTCTTTCACCGTCGCGTCACGACTGAGGATCTGGACATCGAATGAGAGAAACTGAGCCACCCAAAGGACATCAGTTCCAAACAGATCAAAGGTGTTCATACTACTCCATCTTGTTACGTACATGGCAGGGTTCTGAGGTATATTACCCGCCGTAAACAAAGGATTATATGCTGAATAAACGCTAGGAGATCCCAAATAGAATCCCCCAATAATGGGAGACTCCTTATCTTTGCTTTTCCCATCTGCAATAAGAGCGAGAAGGGAGATGTACCGAAATGATCAATGACATCTCAAACGGAATGGCCCTACGTGGCTCTATTGATGCCCAGTCCGGGAGACTTGCAATCGCACTAAAGCCAACCGTGAGTAGCCAGTGACATATTCGCCCTATGATCTAGTTTCGCTCACATACCAGTATCATATCAGGACCAGCACAATGTGCACTAGGTCAAGACTTCCCGATACTTTGGACACGATCGACAAGCCTTGCTAGCAAGTGGTATTATCTACTTACAGCAAGGCTTTGTCCAAGATGGCTCTTTTAGGCTGCCATTACAGACGTTCCGAGATTCCAAAGGCTCTTGTGATGGAATTGTTATCTTCTGGATTGGGATGAGTTAAAGTGCACCCCACAAACATTCAAGAAGGATGGGAGGGTAGATACCGAGCAGCGTTTACAAGCCAGACCAGACGAGTCATGGCAAATCATGAGCTCTTGATTAGATGTACGAAATCCTTAGACCCGAATGAAGAGGTCCTTTTCACAATGGTTTCCCTTTAGCACAGTACAACATCAATGACACATGATGTGTATTTGCAAAAAGCACAATTCTGGAGAGATTGCCATTGAAAAGCTATATATTACATATATTCTCTCAATTCATCAATCCCCAAGCCAATCAAATGTCAATATATAGTCTACTCCCAATATGGTAAGGCCTTTTGGAATTTCAATGCCCAGACGCTAACTGGCTAATCATATGCAATCCTGGACTAGGGCTTACCTCTGCCTCTGGCTTCAAACACTTCCTTTTCTTTTCTCCAATCCAGAGAGATATACGGGGGTACTCCGTCATAGATATTGGGATACTATTGGCACTCAACAAGATACTCTACTCCACCCGAGTTCTTTTGAATCAATTCATTCTCATCTTTGACTTGAGCACATGTTAAATTCTGAAATCAGATCATGACTTTACTCAGCCAAATTGCATCTTCACCTTCGGACACGATCATCCCATTCCATTTTTGGGACGATGTCCCTCATAACAGAGCATTATGCATAAATATCACACTTCGGTTCGACAAAGAGCTTGATCCAGAGAGACTTCGCAGTTCTCTGAGCCGCCTACTGGAGATAGACAACTGGCGAAAACTCGGAGCTCGTGTACGACTGGACGTAAGTGTTTCAACTATCCAAAAAGGCAAAATCAAGCCAACTTGCCCAATAGCTAAACCTATAGACTAGAACTTCGGAAAATTGGTCTATCAACTCCCACCAAAATTCACTGAAGACCGACCAGGCTTCATATTCACTACCGAGGAACATGACAGCAGTATAAAAGCCCATCCTCTAGCATCACAGATGCCCTCTTCAGCACAATTAGACAAGACAGCCAAAATTAAAATCCTAGATGGCATGGCCAAATACTCCCCTCTCGTCCGCCACAAAACAGCTCCAACCAGCATAGCAGATTGGCTAGAAACGGACATCCCGCAGCTGGTCATCCATACAGTCCTCTTCAATGATGCAACGCTCCTCACTTTAACCTTCCAGCACACTCTCATGGATGCAATGGGCCTATCTTCATTCCTGCATGCATGGACGGCGGTACTATCAAACCGCGAAGAAGACATCCCCCCGTTCCTCGGGTTCGATGAAGATCTCATAGAATTACATACTGAAGCCGTGTCCGAAAAGCCAGCACTCGTGGGAATTATATTCGGACAGATTTTGCTTCTGCAGTTTGCTCTGGTGGGGTGGTGGGAGAAGTTCTGGTTTCCGCGCGTCAAGGATAAAGTCCTGTTGATTTCCGGGGGATATGTGCACGAGTTGAGAGAGAGGATGCTACAGGAGATAGATGAAGATGACAAGGCCAACGTAAATATGAACATCCAAAGTGACGAGCAGGTCAAAGCCCAAGACCGTCATCCGCCATTCGTCAGCGAAAGCGACGTCCTCCTCGCGTTGATATCCACACTGCTCGTCACAGCACAGAATCCCAGCCGGCACACTCCAGTCCAGATTTCGAATATCTTCGATATTCGCTCTACGCTTGGTCTCCCGTCTCCGGGCGTGTACATCGGGAACGCGATAATGCCATCGTGTGCTGAGTTCCGGGCGCACGAGTTTGGAGATTCATATAATGGCACGGGGTTCGAGTGCCGGTTAGGCTCTGTTGCATTGAAGATCCGCTCTGCGCTAGAGACGCAGCGGACGAAGGAGCAGGTTCTCGCACGTACAGCGTTGCGGAAAAAGGCGCTCGGCGAGATGGGGTGTCTGCCGCTTGTTAGCCATCCTAGACAGCTTGGTATTTGCTGTACCAATTGGCAGAGGGCTGGGTTCTTTGGGGTTGATTTTGGGAGCATAGTTGTTGGAGGTCAGGCTGGGGAGGAATATCAACCTTGTAGGCCTTCTTATGTTAATACGGCGGGATCAGGACCGTTCACTGGGAATGGGCCGCGGAATATGGTGGTTGTAACTGGGAAGGATAGCATTGGGAACTGGTGGGTGCATATTATTGCGAGAGAGGAGGTTTGGGGACAAATTGAGGGGTGGACAAGAGAGCAGGATGTGCACTACAAATAAGGAATACCATGGGTTTATGAACTATGTTGATACTGGAATCAGGGAAACGGGTCAAAGAAGAAATAGTCAAAGATGAATCCAAAATCCCCGTTGAGACGGACATGCTAATTATGAAACAGAGACAGTAGATATCAGTACAAAGGGGCCGGGATTTCAAAGCACCTGAAATCCAGACCCGGTTTTTCTCACTCCCCAACATTCGTTTTATCGTATATGCTTCAAAATTTCCTTTCTAGGCGATCCTAAATTTAGCCGGTAACCTTGAAGATGGACTCGGCGAGTCTCTCGACGTTGCCGGAGGTGATACCAGCGACGGAGATACGGCCGTCCTTGGTAGCGTAGACGGAGTGCTGTAAGAATTGTTAGCAATGGAACAAGATGAAGTATGGAGATATGAATCTTACCTCCTTGGCAAGGGTGTCCATCTGCTCGGGCTTCAGGCCAGTGTAGGCGAACATGCCGATCTGAATGTCATGTCAGTCATTTAGGCCATAGTGAAATGAAATGAGTTTTCGATGCTTACCTGGCTGGTGATGTGAGACCAGTCGTGCTTGCTGCCAAGCTTCTCAAGGTTGGTGCGGAGAAGAGAGCGCATCTCGATGATACGGCTGGCCATGCCCTCGACCTCACCGAGCCACTGCTTGTTAAGAGCAGGGTCGTTCATGATGGTGGAGGCGATGCGAGCACCGTGAACGGGGGGTTAGAGTAGAAGGGACGAATGAGGATCTTGATCTGCGAATCGACGCGCTTCTTCTCCTCGGCGTTCTCGCAAACGAGGGAGAAAGCACCGACACGCTCGCCGTACAGACCCATGTTCTTGGCGAAACTCTGGCAAAGGGCGATGTTGTGGCCCTGCTCGACGAAGTGGCGGGGAGCAAAGGCATCCTGGTCAGCGTTGCCGCTGGCAAAGCCTTGGTAGGCCATGTCGAAGAAGGCGAAGTGGCCCTTCTGCTTCATGACATCGCTGATCTGGCGCCACTGGGCCTGGGTGGGATCGACACCGGTGGGGTTGTGAGCGCAAGCGTGGAGGAGGATGATGCTGCCCTCGGGGGCGGCCTTGATATCGGCAATCAGACCCTCAAAGTCGAGACCAATGGTGTCCTTGTTGTAGTAGCTGTACGTAGCGACCTCAAGACCGGAGTCGGTGAAGACAGCCTTGTGGTTAGCCCAGCTGGGGTTGGGGATGTAAATCTTCTTGGCGCCGGGGTAGAACTTCTTGAGGAAAGCACCACCAATGCGCAGGGCTCCGGTACCGGAGATGGTCTGGGTGATGACGAGGCGGTTGTCCTTGATGGCGGAGGAGTCGGCGCCGTAAGCGAGCTCAGCAGCGGCGGTGGTGAAAGCGGGAACACCGGTGATGCCAGCGTACTCCTTGTCCAAGCGCGATGCGACAACCTTGTCCTCGGCGGCGCGGACGGAGGGCAGAACGTAAGGCTTGCCCTTGTCGTCACCTGAAACAGCAGGATGGCTCGTCAGCAATCCAATATCTACTCCATTGTGCAACGCGACGATTGTTTGGAGTGAGGCTTACGGTAGGCACCCACGCCCAAGTTGATCTTCTCCTTGAAGGAATCGGCCTTGAAAGCTTCGGTGATGCCAAGAATAGCGTCCTATCAACCGACCTACGTTAGCATTGGCATTTCAAACCAGCAACCTGATGATTGCAAGCTCAGCAAAGCTTACAGGAGGACCCTGGGGAACATTGGCCCAGGCGGAGGCGTGTCTAGCTCCGATCACGACGGTGCGCATATTGACCTCGCGGGAGGCAGCCGACCGGCTGGCGACTCTGAGAGTGGAAAGCATAATGGCAGAGGAGATGGAGAGAAAATTAAAAGGACAACACCTAGATCTCCTAGTTTTGGGGATTGGAAAGGGAAAGGGAAGAACCGGAGGAAAGAAAGAATATAAAAGGATCGGAGACGTAGTCCCGATGTTTTTGCCCTGACTCATGTGATAATGGTACCGAGTACCCGCCAGTTGGTATGTCAACCCGCCTCGGCTGAGGTACCAGGTACAACCAGCCCCGGCGAGATGTGCGAATGGGATTGGCTACATATGCCGGTTAAATTGCAGGGATCATTGTTTTTAGGGGATTTAGTTATGATTCTATAGGTATTTGGTATATAACACATTTGTAGAATGTTTGGAATGTATCGTGAGACCAAGTATTTCAGATCTATATATCCCTTTGTGTACTCCGTACGATAACATGTACAGCTCTGTCTACAGTACATCAGCCCATCTCCAAATGTCTTCTCGGCAAGTCCAATCCCCCGGTGAACTGATCAAGGCTGTTCTCCACATCGTTTCCCCTCACCGTTGGAGTAGAAACGGGAGTCTCCTATTTCCCCGTGTCTCGTAGAGGCCTGACAGTTTACGTCGGTTAAATACGATACATCTGTTTTCTCCGCACACAAGATATCTAAACATTGCCTATTCAAGGCCTAAATATAGTTATACAGCTTAGGTCTTTAGGACTTTTGGGATAAACTTTGAATATCGTAAAATTGGTATCTAACTAGTGAAAAGAGAAAGAAGCATCAGCCCATGCGAACACCAGCCTGGCGATTCTTTCGCGCGGCAGTGTCCATAACAGTGTTCATGCCGGTATTCTGGCTACCGTCCAGCGTGCTCATAGACTCGAGCTTCTTTTCATCTTCAATCTTCTTCAAACGTTTCTCCGTCTTCATCTTTCCACTGCCCTTGCCGTGGAATTGGTGACTGAGTTGCTTGAAGGCTTCCTTTTGGTTCATGTTGCGACCGAATTCATCCACATACCGCAGCTGGACATCTGGCTTGTATTCGCGGTTGAACACCTCAGCCATATGACGTGCTTCCTGCTGGTCACGCTGCTTGTTCTCCCAGCGCGCGTGTTCCTCACGCTCACGGGCTGACATGCGCTCAAGCTTGCCGGAGGTACGGTCTCGCTCACGTTGCTGCCGGGCGCGTCGCTCGGTTTCGGACTCGCGATTCATCTTTTCGGCCAAGAAACGCTGGCGATCGCGCATGAGTGCGTTTTTGCTGCTGCCATCATTGTCTTTGACCAGGCCACGCGACTTCAGCATTGATAGAGTAGCAGCTAGACCCTGGTCCAAACTTGATTCCTCTTCTAGACCTGTGCCGGTGAGCTGTGGGGGCTCGGCCGCAGATTCTTGATCACGCTTAATGCGTGCGGCCAGCTCCTCCTCATCTTCAACATCGCCGTAACGGTCCATATCTATTTCCACGCCCTCCCCTTCCCTTTCGCCTTCGGGCTCTGCGCTGGGGCTTTCGGGCTCCTTGGTCACAGATCTGATATGTTTCTCATCTTGCGCAAGGAGTGTAGGCTTGTGTAGGTTTGACACAAACTCTGATGTTTCGTCAATAACAAGGCCAGGCTCCTCGCCTTCATTATCGGAATTTTCAATCTCCATTGGGGTCTGAGTCTCTTCTTCTCGAAGCTGTTTCGCAAGTTCCTCAGGGCTGATCTTCTTGCGTTTTTTGAATGCTGCGCGTCGTTGCAACGCAAGAGAAGCCTGGAGATCATCATCGTCCACGAAAGAAACATCTTCATTGACGGGCTTCCGGCGAGCAGGAACTGATACTCCACCATTTGAATCGATATCCATGGCCGAGGACCCTTGCGTATCGATCGAATCCGCAGCCGGGGTAATCTCGTCGTCGTCCATGAGGGTCCTCTGTTTTGTAGCTTTCGCCTTCTTCTTCTTGGGCTTCTTGATTTTGACCTCGCTGATATCCATGTAATCGGAGGATGGCACTTCAGGCTCAAAGTCTAGACTGATAATGTTCTTCCGCAATTGGTTCGAAACTTCTTGTCGCTTGGCTTCGCGTTCCTCAGTCGAGCCTTTAGCGTCGAGTGTAAATCTCTTTCGCTTTTTGCCTTCGATCTCATCATCGTATTGTGAAAGGATACCCTGATTCTCCGCTGTAGGATCGTAGACGGGCTTTTTCTTTTTGAGTTCCAGCTTCTCCTCGGTTCTTTCTTTCTCGACCAAATCGAGGTTCTGGAGCTCGTCGTCCTCTTCGTCGTCATCCACTGCGGCGTCCTTCAGTGTCAAGATGTGATCTTCGCCACCCTCGAAGGCACCCGCAGAGTGTCCGACCTTGATACCAGCCAGGTCCGCTGCAGTGTACTCGGCCGCTGCAAGGCGCTCCCGCTCCTCGAGTTCCTCGGCCAGTCTCTGGGCGCGTACCTTCTCGATTTTCTTCTGGCGTTTCTTGGTTTGTGCCAGCCATGCCTTAGTATCCAGTTCCTCGTCATTCGCCTCGCCTAGTGTAGATCCTTGAAGTTGAAGATTCCTTTGGGCGATATCACGCGCTCGCTTGATGGCGGCATTCTTTTCTTCTCGTTTCCGTTTAGCTTCGGCGGCATCCTGAAGCTTCTGCCAGTTGTCATAACTTTCCGCCTGTCGTGTTTCGATAGTGCTGGCTGGTTCTTCTTCCTCGCCGGACTCGCTGTCGTCTTCTCTGAATTCTGGACCAGCGCCGGGGACTGGGAGTGGCTTGAGGCCAAGAGCCACTCGAATCTTGTTATTTTGCTCAATGGATAGAGCGTCCGCCATCTTAACGGTGTGTAGAGAAGGAGGGAGAGGAGATGGTATGGTAATGGCCCTCGGCGCGACGCCTTTGCGTTACTGATAACTGCAATCGGGTCACATGACGTGGCCACATTGTACTACTCCTATCTCGGTTTAGTGTCATAAAATCCTAGCGGCCCCACTTGCGACATAAATAAGATCCTTTCCGCTTTTTCTTTCCTCTTTTCTTCTTCACCATAACCGGATCTGTGTCCAGATTTCCTGTCCATGGACTCCAGTCTGACTGGTTTCTGTGTGATGGTTGAGAGCTGGGCATTTCGACGAGCTTGGAGCCATCATTTTTTGCGTGGATGGCCTTTACGGTTTCCGGTCGACAGATCTCAGAATAATTGTCTGTGCCTTGTGATGCGGGTCTTGAGCTCCCACTGGTGAGCTCGGCTTGACAGCTTGGTTTCGGACGGCGTCATATTTCATATCTCTTTGCCGATTGGCCGTTGGCCGCTGAGGTTAGGGAATAACCATGACTTGCCAACATCTCCTATATAGAACTCGTATTTTGTAAAGAAAACGGAGCCTGATGAATTTCCTCGTTACGAGGACTAGGCTGTCTAGGAAACGTGCTACGAGTATCTTCTCTGCGAGTATAGCTCTGGTGTAGCACCGCTTGTCGCGTGCTAAACGCGATTGTTTCAGTAATGTTAGAAAGCTGTTCGTCGACGTCATGATCATCGCCTATCTACATACAACAAAAGCTCATGTACAGTGTGTAATTTACAGCAGCTTCAAGTGTCCGGTCACCCCGTCAACCACGCTCTTGGGGCCCAAGACTCCCAGCACGGTCTTGCTGCCGCTTGCAATTTGAGTGCGCCCAGCATCCTGGATAACGCGCGTGCAAAGCCCAAGGCTGATAGCCTGAGCCTGCATGACGAGCAGCTCATCTTCGGACTTGACCTGCAATGCGATTTTGGCCTGACCACCGCGTTCCCATTTCTTGAGGATAGGCGAGTTGGGCGCGTATTCGAGGAAGTATTTGTAGCATGCGAGGGTAGCGTGGCCGCATTGAGCAGCGATTTTGCCTAGACGAACGGGATTGTAAGCGCTTGCAACACAAGTGTGACGAATACTTGAATCGTTCGTAGAGCACATACCTTTGGTCATGCCCAAATCCATGCGGACGACGAGCACCAACTTCACCTCCTCGTTGTTGTCCTTGAAGCTGGACAATTCCTCACCGTTGCCCTCATCTTCCTCATCAGTCTCTTCCTCTTCAGATTCTGATTCCTCCTCATCGGAAGAGTGGCTGTGGACCTTCACATCGTAGCTGTTTGGCCACCCTTCTTTCTTCTCTTTGAAAAGGTTGAGCGAGGAACCTTGGCCGATGAAATATCCGGTCACACCTGCAATGATAGCCGTTGCGATCACATATGCAGCTGTTGTGGGAGGTACCCGGTCTAATGGTACTGGGGCGGCCATTTTGTTGGTTGTATGGTGGTTGGCGATCTCGGCGTGGCGCAAAATAAAAATGTTCAGGAAGCTCGACCGCCCTGGACATCACGTTTGTTCGACTGCGCTCACAATGGGCTCATCTTTTTTCCCCCTCAGTTTGACAAAACTCAAATAGAAGATAAGTAAAAAATCATTAGCTGTGAGATCTCATATATTGAGATATTACCTGCCGTGTGCTCGGTTGAGATAGTCCTGGGTGTATCTTCTCATTCCTACTTACAATCTGGAGTACTGATCGAAATATGCTGATATCCGATATGAACACCGTTTCAGAATGGTATGACTACCCGATTTTGCCTCTGGGATTCAAGAACCATCTATTCTAGTTATAGCTTGCGTTTTAATTATGTAGAATACCCGCTCCATCATCTATACAGTTCATCTGTTCCCCATCTGGTAGGGAAATAGTAATTACACCTGGTATTGATAGGTTACAAAATTAGTACCTGTAATTTCTACTTTGAGATCATATAGCAATAACATTCAATAACTTATTATCTTTTTCCGCCTACCGAATTGAGCGTTAATCGAGGAATTATGTATCAAGAAACGTTGCCAAACGTCTGTTTATGCCTACCAGGAGAATAGACATGCAGACATCCATAGCTAAATGTGTCAGAAGATCGAGGCAAATATTCTCTGCTGCCGACAAATCTATGTGGTCCCCGATTTTCCCAATGTTGGAGAAGAGTAAGATATGCGTGGAACGGTCAACGGTGTCCCCAAGGTCATAAATCATGAAAAAGCCAGTGATGGGCC